AACAAAGCAATCTTCATCTTGTCATCTTTTTCACTTTTCCCACTGGCTATTAGATAAATTTCAAAACTTTGCTTAAATCTTCGAAAATTTTCCGCTAAATTTCCATCAAAGGAAAGTGGTTCTGGTAATCTAACATCCATTTTTCCTCTTGAACTTTTCTTTATTTGTTTCACCACAAAAGGACTCTAATAATTTGGCGGGCACTTTTTTTTTTCCGTTTTCCGTTTTTACCACTTAAAGGTTATGTATCCACATGTACTTTTATTTACTTTTAACTTCAATCCACGCCAATTTGTATTGTTTGGTATTATTCCACTTTTTACCCACTACGACTGCGCCATGTAGTATGACTTAAACTACTATTGTTTAATCATATATGTTTATTATTTAAATATAAAATAATACATGAGTTTAACAATTAGGATGCGTAGGAATCTCGCGTTTTTCTCAACTGTCCCCCATTGACCTTCTAGCTATTAGGGAGGGGCACTTTCTAATAATATCAGATAATATTACAGTGATTTACTTAACCACCTAAGTATATAAGATCTATGAATATAACACATTATAGAAGTTGAAGGGGTATTTTTTACACACTCTGTATATTATTCATACAGTCTGCAATTAAAATGTATAAGAAATTTGTGTTAGAAATGTTTACTAAAAATATTTTTATCATAAATTTTTCATATTTAAACTTCATTTTCAATTAAATAGCGAATTTTATCAACAAAATTCCTTTATGGCAATATATTTATTTATAATTTTATTAATTTGGATTCATTTTGATGGAAAATTACGAAACTGATATATTTTAAATAATTTTGATACCATATTATATACTGACAAATACTAGACATGTTTAATTTTATAATAAAGTTTTAAAATTTTATAATTTTTTCATTATTCATAAAAAAATCATCAAAAATGATGATTTTGATTGATTTGATGATGATGACCACCTAAGGAACGTAAAATTACGAAAAAATGTTAGTGCCTTCTTCAAAAGCGAATATCTCCAACAAAAATAAAGCTATTTGAGATGAACCAAAAAAACAAACTATCGAGAAAGGATATAGCTAGATGATAAAATGATTTTTAAATTCTTTGCTCTCTTGACAACTTTTGTTTTCCCTCGTATAATTGACCGATGAGAACTTTATTTATAAAAAAAATTGAAAATGCTTTGTATAAAAGTTGAAACACGCTGTATATGAATTAGACTAAACCTCTTAACGATTTACTAGTTACCGTAAAGAGAAAAAAAATCGCATTATAAGGAAAATTGTTTGTTTTCCATTAGATTTTCCTGGGAAAACCTTCGATTTGCGTTCAGTTTTCCGCAAATATTTACTAAAGGACGGAAAATAATTTACTAGACAGGTAGATGGAGTTTTCGTGTAGAATATACTCTCCGGTTGTTTACAGTTAGTCCTTCCAGTCTTCATATATTCGGAATTTAATGGCAAAAGGTGGTTTCATTTTTTTTGTACTGCAAAATACAGTATGGTTCTAAAAAAACTACCTTAAGGTCGTCGTAAAATCACATTTTGGTTCAAAAGTTACCTCTAATTCACCATTAAACGGCCCACAGACGATCCAATCTGTTGTACAGTGTGTCCCATTTTGGTTGAAATCATGGGGTATCTCCGTTATTAGTGAAGATAGAAGGATGCGGTTTGCACAAACCTGTCCCACTTTTTCGTCAAACGGAAGATGCTGTCAACAAAATTTTCATAGCCCTCTTCATTTCTGAGCTCTTTTCAAAAGGTCTTTTCAAAAATTTTGCAATTTGGGACACCCCCTGTATCTCTGTTATTGTTAAAGGTATCGAGAAGGCGAAAACTGCTTATTGTAGAACTTTTTATGTAGAATACAGTGGCGTAGTCTGTTTTTCTACCAAAAAAATATTTTTGAAAATATGAACTCAAGTTATGTTTTTTCAAATGGAACACCCTGTATATTTATAAATCATATGATCTGTCGTGCTACGAGCTTCTCAAAAATATATATCACTCTATATTTATTTTCACTATTTACTGCAATATTTAAAATATATCATTTTCTTATTAGTAGGCCGTGATAAATAACAAAAGATCAAAATGGTATTTACTAAAATAGTCATACACATATTAAAATTTATTTGGAATTGATATATTTTACTTTTGAAATAACTGTTACCACTGAAACTGTGAATATATTTTTCTTTTTTTTATAACGGGATGGGTTTGCAAATATCTAAATCTTGAATTATTAAAGCATTTTTCAGGTGTTCGACATTGTTGTAGTGCCCACGATATATTTCGTATTTCAAAAATCCCCAAAATCAGAAATCGAGAACGGCGAAATCCAGGAATCGAGGAGGCTATCAATATGCGTTCATTGGTTCCAATTCATTGATTTGAAAAATAATAATTTAACAGTATTCTAATATTTCCATAGTTATGAGGGGGAATGTTCCCCATCTTGCTGAAAGTATATTTCACGTAAATTAGCTAAAGGAATATCTAAAATTTCCGATACGATAGATTATTCTCACGTATACACGTATTCCAAGATTTACAAATAGCGGTAGAGAGTTAAGTTTCCATAATATATAAAGAATTTATTAGCGGCTCCCAAAATAAAACAAGAGAAGAGACAGATAGCCGTATACTTTTAATAATTCTTTAGTTTCTTTTATTATCAATCATGGCCTACTAATAAATATTGATATTTTTAGACGTATCCGTATTAGGGATAAACAAATTTGTTGGTCTATTAATAGTTCATTACTGCGCTCCATTAAAAAAATAGTTAAAAAAAAGCTGTCTAACTACCTGCGAACAACCGGTTTGAGACGTAAATAACAACAACAAAATGTTTTATTTATTTATAAATTATCACAGAGGTGAGATTCGTAGAAATAAACTGGTATGAGATTGAAATATAATTACATATATTTGATATCAATTAAACTCTTTGAATAAGAAGACTAAGGAAGCAGCATAATGCTATCGATGTATCCATGCATGGTGGGCGGAAAAAGGACTCTAGGGTTGGGATCCTTGACAGTTCTGTTTGACGGTTCATTTGACACATTTGAATTTGATTTAAAATTTTGTGGATTTGTCAGACTTTACGGAATTTATTTTATGTTATTTATTATTGATTCTACTACTGATAGTTGTATAAAGGTAGTAAATCTAGATGGAAATTGTGGCAGAACTTAAATTAACAGTGACACTATCGCGATTTATCGAAAAAGACTCTAAAATAGTTGGTTGTGTAGCGTGCGGAAGATCTCGGCAAAAATTGAGTGAAATAATGGAACAACTTTTCGCTAGTAAGTGACTATATAATATACATACGTGTAGTAAACCGATCATTTATGAAATTCACTTAAATTATCTAAATTATATATATTTTTTTTGGCATTTTAGCTTTTATTTACTACTTGTCAAAGAATTTTGATACATTAATTTGACTTACCTGCTTCAGTAGCGTATCGGATGTTTGTGTTAATAAATACTTATTATAACTTATCTATTTTTATTAGAATTATATATTTTTATAACAATTTTAATAAGTACCAACATTTATTCACAACGTAAAATAAAACAACAAATTATTGAGTCTACCCCACGTCTACCCTACATCATAGTTTTACATTTTTTAAATAAAATTAGAACGGCACTGATAAACCGGAATTTAAGTCGGCCATATTTGAGGCCTATCGCGGTGTACCTATGATTTTTGATATGCTCCTTCCTTAGTCTTCTTATTCACAGATTCAGGGTTATAGGATTTAGGAATAATACGCGGAAGATCGCATGGTACCAAATCAGGTGACGAAAGCGGTAGGTACTCTACTGCTTGTAATAAGTTATGCATACAGAGAACTCTAGTCAATTTAAAGGCTGACTGCGAAGACGGCAAATAATTGTTTACCAAATTTATTAACAAGCGCCTCACGTGCTCTTCAACCAGAACATAAAAATTATATACAAGGTGTTCATCATTCGTTTCGCATTATAAGGTACCTATCTGTTAAACTACGAGATATATTTAACTCTTTTTTAGATGAAAATAAAAAATTCTAGCTGGCACTTAGTTACAGCTCTTTTTTGGGATTTAAAGTTGTCTGTTATGATTGGAAATATTTTCATTTGGAATAAAGGAACATACGCAATTTTTGGCAAAAATGATACAGGGAAATTATGTTTGTCATTTTTTAGAGTGAGAGTCCATTTCATTAGTCCGAAAAAGCAGCAAAATATGCCTTCGGCATTTAACGTTTTATGTAAGACTGGCTAGGTATTTTTACACAAATGAAGAAGGAAATTAAAGGTAAAGGATTATATTATATCCGTATTGTAGCACATTTTTAGACAACTTAGACAACTTTTTTATTTTTACGATTTTGGTGGTCAAACATCAACAAAATATTCCTTATCTTTGGACTAAATTTTCTCGAAAATAAAGACATAATTCAAAATTCCGTTACAATACGGAAATAGATTGAAGTTTTGTGATTACAGTGGTATATAATTTATATCGTTTTGTAACAAATTCCTCGCTATTTTATGGAATTTGGGTATGGCGTAACACGACAGGATCGGTCTAAGCCGGCAAATTTCTGAAATATAATATATATTTCCTTCGGCCCTGCACCCACTTTACCCAACCCCTGAGAGCAACCCGAACAGTACTGCGTAATAGACTCTTAATTATTACCGAGTCCCGAAAGCACAGAAAGAACTTGGAGTTATTAATTTCGAGTCGCGGTTCTGAACGATGGATGGAGAACTAACTATAAAACTGTCTCACCACTGGCTTCTGTCAAAGTCCTGAGACTGTATGATGAGTTATAACTCAAGAAAGATAATAAAATCTAGAATCTAACATAAAATAAGCGAATATCTAAGTAGACACGCAGTATAAGATAGTAAAGATAATATAACGTAGTATAAGATAATAAAATAGAGATATAATATTGATATTGTTGTGTTTTGTTGCAGGTGTTGCTGGAGGTTTAGCCGAGGGGAAGCCCGGCCATGAGCCTCGGCCTGGCTTCTCTGTGGATCGCATTGCCTCTCTTCGTCTGCCTCCTTGCTCTGTCTCCCGGAGTCCATCCGTTGCTGCATCCTGATTGGTCGGCCGCTACCACTACCATACCAGACGAAATCTTCGATAACGGTAATTTTCATAGTTTAATAATAGTTATTTTTTATACGATAAAATGGTATTTTATCGTCGACCGAAAAGATTCCTTCTGGAGACGATAATGCAATTTTATCGTCGTGTATAAAACAATATTTTTTCAATAGCGAGTTACGTTTTAAAAAATATTCAGAAATTATTATTTCACGGAATCTATTACGAGTAGAAAAAATATTGTGCTGGGTTGTCGTTGGTTTCTATGTAATTTGACAAATAAATAAAGCTGTCTCTTTAGTTGTCAGTTTTGAGTCAATATTTTGAATTCTCTTTCGTGTCGATTGCTGATTGAATTGGAGCCAGAAATGGCTCAAAACGAAATAAGTAAATTACCTACAGATATTCAGACTGAGCCGACAAACGCCATATCCATTTAAATCCCGAATAACTTATGAAAAAGACTACAAACATTTTCAAAAATGAAAGCAATTAAAAAACGTGCGAGAAGAAATAAAGTTTTTAACCTATCCTCGCTGTTAAAGTATCATTTAATCTACCCTTGGGGTTATAGTACTATTTTATCTACTATTTTTGACAGATATAAGGCAATTTTAACAGTTGCTATGGAAAAAATATTTTTTTTTGCTCGGAATTCTTGACACCCGCACCGATTGACGTGAACTTTAACAGTGAATAGAAATATGTATAGTCTGTCCAATGAGAAGATCCTTGACAGTGATAGATGTGTCTGTCATTTTAATTTCAAAGTAGTTTATTTTATTTTACAAATAAATAAGTTGGTACAACTGGAACTCATAGCAGGAAATTAATATATGTATTTAAAATTTGACTGACAAGTAACTTCAAAATATTGTGAGAAAAACTGTATAAAACTGAAAAAATGTAATCGAGTTATTTTATTTAATAAAAAACGGTATGTGTTAATACAAAACAAACAAAAACAAGACACCACATACCAAAAAATATAAAAAAGAACGATTTCTTACTTTCAAGCTTTATGAAACTTCCCGCATTTGATTATATTTATCAATATAACTTATGTACAAATACAAATTTGTAATATTCCGCAGGAATAAATAAAACATCATAAATAAAACAAACTATTTTATTAATAATAACACTTACCAAATTTTATACCTCACAGGTTGATTAATTAACTTTAATCTTAATTTTTTTAAACCAGTACCTTTTGACATTATTTTTCTGCAGTACTAAAATCCATTATTTACCTATCGTGTGATGTCGATATTTTTCAGCTACGCCAGTTTTTAGTATGTGTTTAGTATGGTTCTTCTACCATATTCGAGATGCACTTATCTACGACGAGATGGTATACGAACTTTATTGATAGTAACTTTATTGGTGTATCTGTATAAGACTTTCTCCCTGGGCAGCAAGTATTAACCATAAACTGTGCTCTGGGTTCTACAGTTAATTTTCACTCGATTTTTCCTACACTTGACTTCAAAAGACACAAAACACTCGTAATAACACGAATCAAAATGCATCATCTTCCAAAACGCAGGGTATTTGACAAAAGTTGTCACAAGATTATAACCTATAATTTGGCAAGACTTTGACAAACGTCAAAAATCTAAAGGCGAGTTCATACGCATCGGCGTCCGTTTGTCGTTCATCGTTCCGTCAAACCAATAAAATTATACGATCTGTCATTTTTGAAATAAACCAATAAAACTGGTTAAAAACAACAAGTGACGACGCATGACGAATTTATATTTAAATCCATCCATAGTTAACTTAAAAATTATTAGAAACTTTTTTTAGTAAAATAAATAGATTGGTATGGGACGTCATCTGCTTTTCTTCTGTCATCGTCTGTCGAAATCTTACCTGAGAAAAATTTTTTATTTTCCGAAAATTAAATTGCAACCTTTTACTGTAAAATAATGGTGAAAGAACACATTTTTCGAAGAAAATGAATATGACTGCTTTTAATTGCTTTTTAAAAGGTCTTTACAAGTTTGTAGCTCAAAAACTCCCGGAGTAATTTGGTAAAAAAACCAAATAAATTATGCTTGTCCAAGCGTTTTCCCGAAAGACTAACTGTTTTTTAAATAACAAATATTGTAATATTTGAGGCGCGTTTTCACCCTCTTGGAATTTGAGATTCGAGAAACCCCTCCTTATCGAACCTCTACACTCCACAGTCAATCCGTTTGCCAAAAATCAGCTTTAAACGTCAAGCGGTTTAAGCAGAATCTCGTGACTACTCAATGGTCATATTTCATGAAACACCCTGTATAAATTTATAAAAAATCTTAAAATATGTAAAACAACAAAATAAGATATACGTGTTTAAGAGTTTTTCCGAAAAACTCACCGGTTTTTAAATAAAAAATATTTTAATAATTGAGGGATAGTTTCACCCCCTTAGAATTCGAGTTTCGAAAAATCCCTTCTTATCGAACCTCTACACCCTAAAGTCAGTCTGTTTTCCAAAAATCAGCTTTTTACGTCAAGCGCTTTAAGCAGGATCGTGATTAATCAATGACCAGATTTTTCGTAACACCCTGTATACATTTTTAAAAAATCTTAAAATATGTAAAAAAACAAAATGATATACGTGTTTAAGGGTTTTTTCGGAAACTTGACCGTTTTTTAAATAAAAAATATTGTAATATTTGATTACTCTTGTTTTGACTTCTTGGTATATATTGGCGAGAGTTTCTATATAAGGTTTTTCAATATCTTGTTTCACTAGGGCTCCTATTGTTGCTTTAAAATATATAAAACCGAAATCCTTCTCAAAGTCTCTAAAGGCTATGGCTAGTGGAAGTTCGTATTCTTTTGTTCGGCTGATTATCTGATAGTTTCTCTTACTGTATCTATGTGATCAATCGTGCTAAATCCGCTTCTAAAGCCTGCTTGTTCTCGTGATTGTACAGCGTCTAGCGTGTTTTGTATTTTACTATAGTAAGTTTTACAAGAGTCCTTATGTTCAGTTTTTTTATTATTCCAAACTATAAAATAATGTAATCTTCATTAGCACATCTCTATAGTGCTTCGTTTCATTTTCAGGAATTCAGTACAGTAGTGACACAGGTATCAGAACCGAGGAACGTGTTCCTAAAGTGGGCGATCTGAAAAAGGAACCACCCGCCGAAAATGTCAAGCTAGTGCTGGGCTACCTCACAGCTGTCAAAGGCGAACTGAAAGAACGACAGGGCCTGGCCATATCCGGGGCCATCTTGATGGCAGTAGAAGAGGTAAGAAACATTCCTATATTTCATCGAACTAAACGATATGATCACAGGGTGAGTCAACAATAGAGTAAAGTCCATTATCTCATTTGTTTCGAGGTTTACAAAAAAATATTAAATATAAAAGTTATAGGGACGGTTAAGATACACATTCTAAAATGATTATAGAGTATACAGGGCGCTTCAAAAAAGTGTGGCGACTATAACATATGTTTTTTTAAATGAAATACCCTATTTTTTATTTTATTTTTAGATTCTGCGTAAAATTCCATAACTTTTATATATATAATGTTATATACCTAAAACTAATAGTTTTAGTAATATTTAAATTTGTTTAAACAAATGTTAGATTGCAGTGTAATAAAAAATTGTCAGTGATGCCGTTGTTTCTGAAGTTGGACAACTTAAATTTGATAGGAGAATTTTATAGAGACATAGAAAAAGACCTATGTAAAGATATTTTAGTTAGATGCTACAGGGTGTTCAAAATATATTTATGAATTTCAACTACATAAAATTAAGAAATTTCAAATTTTTTAAATGGTACACCCTATATATTATCATTTTTTCTGATAGATTCTACAAAACTCTACGCTATGACATCATAGTTACCATGACAAAAAGTAATAATTATAAAAGTTTCTGGTTTTTTAAGCAAGTTAAGAACAAAATTTGAATTTTAGTAATTTGTTGTAATAAGTATAAATGGTAGAGATAATAGTTACAGATTTTCCTGAAATGAATTATATAGTCAGTGTGACTGATATACACGAACAAGCCAAGAAAAACATATAATTATAATATATTATAAACCAGAATTACTGCGAGAAAAATATTTACTGTATGTCCAAAAAAAATCCTATATCAGTAGTCTTCAACAATTTATTATTAGGTAATCTAGTATTACTTTAATCTGTGGCTATTCGTGCCTACGAATAATCCAAGTGTTATCTATCATAATATAGAAATAGGTACACCAAGAAATTCACGACTGCGATTTTAGTTTATTTGAGTAAAGTTAATTAATTTTGACTAATACCAACAATTGTAACTAATTATTAAGCTACTTGTTAAAGATAAGTAATAAATAGTTTGTTTTGTCATGGCAACTATGATTTTATAGGGTAAATTTATTAAAAATATTGGTAAAAATAGAAAGAATTGGAATAACTCGCAAACTATTAAAAATAGGTATAAGACATACTTAATAAAAGTTAAAGAGTTTTGTAAAATCTACCAGAAAAAATGATAATATATAGGGTGTTCCATTTAAAAAATTAGAGATTTTTTAATTTTAAGTAGGTAGTTGAAATTCATAAATATATTTTGAACACCCTGTATCATTTAACTAAAATATCTTTACATATATCTTTTTTTTCATCTCTATAAAACTCGCCTACCAAATAAAATAAAAAATATAGTGTTGCATTTAAAAAAACATGTTATATCCGCCACACTTTTTTCAAGCACTTTGTATACTCTATAATAATTTTAAAATATGTATCTTAACCTTCCCTATAACTTTTATATTTAAATTTTTTTTGTAAAGCTCGAAACAAATGAGATAATGGACTTTACTCTATCGTTGACTCACCCTGTACTGTTCGAGTCGCTTTCAGGGCTCGGATATGGCCAAAGGAAATATATACGAGCCCTAACAACTATATGTTGGGACAAGATCATATTTTGGAATTATTGTCCTGGTTTTTCAAAATGACTGAAAAATATATGTTTAATTTTTTAAATATAAAAATAGCCATATATCCTAAACAACTTGACAATATTTTCATGAATTTGTAAATCAATCCATATTTACAGTAGCGGATTTTGTTCATAAAAGGATAAATTTGCTGACAACTAAATGTTGATCCGTGGAAAAGCTACAAATCAAAAACTACGCGAAATTATCATTCGTCAATACAGTACGGGAAAAACAATTCGAAAGTAGTATTCCAAAAAAAACGGTTTTTAATATAATAAAAAAAATACGGCGAATCTGCCAATGTAGACGTTAGAGGTAAAAGTTCGGGAAGGCCAAAAGTTGTATCTCAGAGAGATTTACGAAATTTAGTAAAAATTTGCAAGTCTGCGAGAAGAAGTACTCTTCGCGAAGTAACAGTTAAATGGAATACTGTAACTGGTTTAAATATATCAAGAGAATGTTGCCGAAAATATATCCATAAATGCGGTCTGGGGTTTTACAAGGTAAACTTTATTTTGTGTGGATAATCAATTACCTGAAGATTATTGATACAAATTCTTATTTAGGCCAAAGAAAAACCGCTACTGACAGAAATTCAAAAGAAAAATCGTTACAATTGGGCAAAATCTAAATTATCGTGAACACAAAATGATTGGAATAAGGTCATATTTAGCGATGAGTCTAAATTTGATGTTTGTGTTGGAGATCATCGAAAACGAATAATACGAAATAAAGTAGAAGCCTTTCATAAAGATTGCTTAAAGAGGGTTGTTAAATTTCCTAAGGGGATTATGGTTTAGGGTTGCATGTCAGCAAGAGGTTTGGGCAAATTAAATTTTATAGATGGCACTGTTAACGCCTAAAAATATCAACATATCCTTGAGACCCCACATTTGCCTAGTGCTCAAGAATTGTTTCCAAACCAAGACTATATTTTCCAACAAGATGGAACATCGTGCCATTCAGCAAAATCAACTAAAAATTGTTTCGGTAATAATAATATAAAAGTTCTATCCCATCCTGTTATAGAAACTGTGTGGCTTAAGATGAAGCAATATTTAAGAAACCACCTTCAACGAACAATTTTTGATTTGCGGACAAAACTGCAGGAAATTTGGGATAATTTTTCTCCTCAAATGTGCCAATTTTTGGTTAATACAATGCCATTAAGAGTTCAGGCAGTTGTTAAGGCGTTAAAATTTCAAATCAAATTCAAATGTGTCAAATGAATCGTCAAACAGAACTGTCAAGGATCCCCACCCTAGCGTGCTTTTTCCGCCCACCATGCATGAATACATGGATAGCATTATGCTCCTTCCTTAGTCTTCTTATTCAAAGCTTTGTATTCTATTTTCAGATTAATAATGATCCTGACATCTTGCCCAACATTACCCTGGAGCTGAAATGGAACGACACCAGAGGGGATACCGTGGTAGCCACCAGGGCAATGACAGATATGATATGCGAAGGAGTATCTGCTTTTTTCGGACCGGAGGGATCTTGCTACGTGGAGGCAATCGTTTCACAAGCCAGAAACATTCCTATGATCAGTTATGTAAGTTTTTTCTCCATAGTTTTTTCTCCATTACTTATTACACCATATTTTCTGATCATTGATAACTGATTACTTAGTTTAAAACTTATTTTTGACCCATTTTTACAGAAATGTTCAGACTACAAGGCTTCCAGCGTTCCTACCTTTGCCCGTACCGAACCACCAGACACACAGGTAAGTACCACTGCCTTAAATTACGCCCACGTCAAACACGGTACTTGTATTTGTACCCTTGCGCGTGTTTTAGTATTCTGCACGCTTTCTTAGGTCACCAAATCCATCATTTCCCTGCTCAAGTACTACAACTGGAACAAGTTCAGCATCATCTACGAGGAAGGCTGGGATACAGTGGCGCACTCGCTGGAATACGAGACAAAAGGGAAGAATATGTCGGTGCAACACAAGAAGAACGCTAGGGATAGGCATAAGTGTTGTGAGAACAGGTTGAAGTGTTGTCAGACTGGGTTTTGGTACGAGTTCATTCAGGATACGAAAAACAGGACAAGAAGTAAGTTGTTTTAAATTTGCGTCATTAAATTCTGGGGCTTTGTATATCTTCCTTTTGTACAACAAGGTTTGTCTATTTATGTAATTTATCTAAGTTTTATCGCATCATAAAAGTCATCAGGTGTGTAATGGCGTCTATTTTTAGATCGTTTAATCCCGATAATATAAACTTTTTATCTAGATATAGGATTCCTTTTCAAATTTCATAATTTAGTGTTTTAAAAATATACAGGGTGGTCCGAACTGTATTCCGGAAACTTCGGCAGCATATTCTGCAGATGAAAATAAGTATAAGTAATAACTTTGAATTTGACAGTTCCCGCGGACTTTTCTAGTGTAAATTTTATTAGGTTAGCAACTTGCGGCCATGCTGACGCCATGCCGTCTCTAATAGAACAGCCTTGGACCGAGATTTATGACGTCACGCTAGTTAGATAGTACGGATTAATAAATATAATGTAGAATGCATGGAAAACATAATTATTCCTCGTATTTTTGGTCTGTATTTTAAAAATGATATAGTTTACATGAAATATCATACATAATATACAGTTAATAAATACAATATAATATATACCTATTTATTGTAATGAATACTTTGGCAAATAAACTATGAACCATACAAATGCAGCAAATGTTTTACAATATACAAATAATGAATAGGTACATAAGATAATGGGTAAAATGTAAAATATATTTTAAATTTTGGGGTTTGAAAATCGATCTAATTTAACAAAAAACATTCAATATCTACTAATAGCGATGTATTATTATTTACATTCACAAAATTTACATGTATATTTTGCAGGTATCAATGTTGGAAAAATTATATTTGCAAATAATACAATATCATAGAAAAAACGGCGTCAGCGATGGCTATGAAATAAAGAACTATTTGTTTTTAATTTTCTTGGGATTTAGGTTCGGGAAAAACGCTGATTAAGTTTTCATTTGGTTTTTCATTATTTTTTTAGTTAAAAAAACCTTTCGGCTAACATCATAACCTTCATCATACATATATATCACTATTAGTAGATATTGAATGTTTTTTTGTTAAATTAGATCGATTTTCAAACCCCAAAATTTAATATATATTTTACATTTTACCCATTATCATATGTACCTATTCATTATTTGTATATTCTAAAACATTTGCTGCATTTGTATGGTTCATAGCTTATTTGTCAAAGTATTTATTACTATAAATAGGTATATATATTGTATTTATTAACTGTATATTATGTATATTTCATGTAAACTATATCATTTTAAAAATACAAACCAAAAATACGAGGAATAATTATGTTTTCCATGTATTCTACAACATATGTATTAATCCGTAGTATCTAACTAGCGTGACGTCATAAATCTCGCTCCGAGGCTGTTCTATTAGAGACGGCATTGGTCTGATATTTAGAAATGTCAAAAGCTGATGACCGGAATACAGTTCTGACCACCCTGTATATTTCAAAACATGAAATATTAATTTCTTGGAAAAATTATACATTTTCTTAAACAAAAATTCTTGTAGGTATAGCTGCATTAAAATATTTCGACATAATTATTTATTTTCGTAGTTTACATCTTCCTGGGCACTTCCATATCGTTGGTAGACTTCATGGACACCATGCAGAGAGCTCAGCTGTTCGAAAATGGCGAATACATCGTTATTTATGTGGATATGAACACTTACAGGCAACAGGAAGTACACAAATACATTTACAGTAAGTTTATTGATATTGCAGTACTTAAATTATAAACCTATTTAGCTTTATCGTATGCTTACGATCATTAATATCACTTAAAAAGAATAGGTAATATACAGGGTATCCCAATATTCCAACAATTTTGTATATTAATTAACTAATTTTAATTCCAAAAATATTGTAGTTCTAAGTATATGGAATATTTAGACAATCTGTATAGCTTGGAGTGTCTTATTTATTGATTTTTCTAATAAATTTTCAATTTTTTTCAGAATTTGATGAGCTGGAAAAATACAAAAGCTGTAGCGAACTATCGGACTACGACAGTTTACAAAAAAGAGTTCAATCTTTATTTGTGGTCGTACCGACGGCTCCTGCGGAGAACTACACGAATTTTTCGAAGAAAGTCAGAGAATACAATGAAAAGAAACCTTTTGACTTCAAAACCACCACACATTTCCCGAAACAATTCGAAAAAGTAACTTTAAAACACTCATCTCGTCACTTTCTCGAGTTAAAAACATTTTTTTTTAGTTTGTCAGTATCTACGCAGCATATCTCTATGACTCTGTGAAGCTGTATGCTTCAGCATTACACCATCTGCTTGCCAAGGAACAACCATTGAACGAAACAGGTATTAAGGAGATTGCGAGTAATGGTACACGGATTATTGAAACCATCAATACCATCAATAAGACCTACAAAAGTGAGTAAGTTTAAATTTTCTAGTTTTTAAAGAGTTTGTTCAGATATTCAAAAGTCTTATTAAAAATAGATACAGTACAAACAACAATGATTGAAATGGTTGGGTATTCTGATTTTGCTCAATAAATTGGTAAATACACTATAGTTGCATTGAAAGATAATTTGTTTTGGCATCTCTAGGTACCAATCACTAATTTTAAAATCTCTAGCACAGTACTACCAACTATTTCGATTAATTTTGATTGTTCCGTAGTTTCTGTTAAGTTTGGTGGTTTGCTGTTTAGGTATAACAGGAGCTGTAATGAAGCTAGACAAGAACGGTGACTCCGAGGGCAATTTTTCTGTGCTGGCCTTCAAAAATTGTAGCAAACCCGTGTACGTTGGCGGTAGCAATAATTTTAGTTGTCCCTTCCACATGGTACCAGTTGGTCAGTTTTTTCAATCTGAATTTCTACAGACATTGGTAAGTAAGTACCGGGTTTTATGTGTTTTCCTTAAATACGATTTTCCTGGCTTAAAATAGTTCTGAATTAATTCAAATTCAAAATCAGGGTTTTAAAATTAAAAATCAAATGCTATTGAATTTCTGCTCAATGGGATTGATGTATATCTTGATGAGATATGGGATACCAAAATAAATTTTGATGAATCCAACGATGAAACTGAATTTCTATTAAATGAAATTGCTGTTAATTTTGATAACATATAGGATACCAATACAAGTTCTGATGATAAGATTGATATTATGTCTTTAAAATTAAAAAATATAATCTTTAATGATGACATTGCATTTATACTAAAATAAATCGATGTTAAACTTGACAAAATACATGATGTCGGTTTTATTTTTGAAGAAAACATCCCCAATCGTTTTTAAATTAAGAAAAAATAAGTAGTAGATGATATAGACTTTTCTATAATAAAAATTAAGGTAAAACTTGATATTATAGAAGAAGTTAATGTATTTTTTGATGATATCTTTATAATTATTGATAAATTTCTTGGTATTTCATTTTCTAGTCGTACAAAATCAACCCAAGTGCAGAAGTTGACTGGGCAGGTGGTGAAAAACCAAACGATGAACCCAGCTGTGGGTTCGACAATAAACTCTGCCCCAAATCGAACACCCACAGAGACAGCATAATAGCCGCTGCAGTACTGGCGGTACTACTGTTTTGTGCTGTAGTCATCACTGTCAGCATCTACCGAAAGTGGAAGATAGAGCAGGAAATAGAAGGATTGTTGTGGAAGATTGACAGAGACGATATTCAGAGTTACTTTGACAAAGACGCTTTAATATCTAGTCCAAGTAGAGTAAGTACTATGGGTATTGTACAGGGGGTCCCATTTTTGTTGAAATCATACGGTATATCGGTTAATAGTGAAGATAGAAGTGTTGCCAAAAATTTTGTGAAAAATCTTGTGAAAAATTACCATATTTCGATACTCATCAACCGACAAAATATGGCTTTAGAATTCTGGCAACACTGTAACAAACCCTTATAAAAATATAATATGGGCCTATTTTTCTGCCAGATCAGTTTAGCTAGCGCCAGTGTGACGTCGTACGAGTCCAAGATAGGCTTGCAAGTGTTCACGACCACGGCCCACTACAGAGGTGTGATGGTCAGGATCAAGGAGCTGACGTTTTCCAGGAAAAAGGACATTTCCAGGGAAGTGATGAAGGAGATGAGACTGTTGCGTGATCTACGTCACGACAACGTGAATTCTTTCATCGGGGCTTGTGTCCAACCCACCTCTTTACTCTTAGTTACCGATTATTGTGCCAAAGGAAGTATATATGTAAGTATATATAGGATGTTCAGTCATTGTTCAACGTTACGTCATATATTTTGTCGAACTCTCTCAGTCATTTGCCAACCTAGATCATATATACTAACGTGGATAAATCAACGCCATAAGTTTAGCATTAAAAAATATGTCTCCAACATCACGACATGTCATTTTCATTTGAAGGTGTTTGATAAGATTTTTCTTTAAATTTCGTTAACAGGAATGATAGGGGTAGTTTATTTCAACCCCTTCCACTTATTTCAAAAACGTGAGAAAATTACCAGAAAGTGTGTTTTCATAACAGTAATGCTTCCATAAAATCTCATTAGTCTATCGCTTTTCGTTTTCAAGATAAAACATAAAAACATTATTTTTCCGCCATCTTTGTATCACGATATCTCCCGAATGGTTGACTTTTGACCCAACGTTTATAAAGCAAACTACCCTTTATTTTGAACAAGGAATCACTCCCTGAAGGTTTTCGCATTTGTTTTGAAACACCCTGTATAAAGGTCCCCGAATTATCTTTTCTTAGACAAGTATTCAGTTGGTTTTTTATTTATATTAAGCCACATGCATACTTTCTGGTTATGTTTTCTAAGAATATTGATATTCGTACGGAGTGGCTAAATTAATTTTTTATATAATTTAATTTTTGTGATAGTAAACATTCAATTTATTTTTATTGTTCGTTTATTAACCGTTTATTAAAAAACGGTTCAAATAATTTTTCATTTCTAGGATATCGTCGAAAACGAGGATATCAAGCTAGACAAGATGTTCATAGCATCGCTGGTCCACGATCTGATCAAGGGCATGCTGTATCTCCACAATTCCATGCTGGGTTGTCATGGAAACTTGAAAAGTTCGAATTGCGTTGTTACTAGTCGCTGGGTGCTGCAAGTAGCTGACTTTGGATTGGCCGAAATGAGGCATTGTGCTGAGAACGATAGCATAGGAGAGCATCAGTACTATCAAAGTAAGTAAAAATTTTTTTTATTAAAGTTTAGCATCATCAGCAGATGATGCTAAACTTTAAGTTTAGCATCATCTGCTAACTAAAGTTTAGCATCATCAGCATTTTTAGTTTTAAGTGTCGATTGCTGATTGAATTGGAGACAGAAATGGCTCAAAACGAAATAAGTAAATTACCAACAGATATTCAGGCTGAGGCGACAAACGCCTTATCCAAACTACTTTCATTTAAATCCCGAATAACTTGAAAAGGAATACAAACATTTTCAAAAATTGAAGCAATTAAAAACGTTCGAGAAGAAATAAAGTTTTTAACCTATCCTCGCTGTTAAAGTATCATTTAATCTACCCTTGGGGTTAAAGTACTATTTTATCTACTATTTTTGATAGATATAACAGTTGCTATGAAAAAAAACTATTACTTAACACCTATTATCTCTGGTCGTCTTCTGATTTCCCTCTCCCTGGTTTTGCGAATATTATTTAAAAGTCTTTGAATAAGAAGACTGAAGAAGACTAAGGAAGGAGCATATCAAAAACCTTGGGTGCACCCTTTGAATAAGAAGACTAAGGAAGGAGCATAATGCTATCCATGTATTCATGCATGGTGGGCGGAAAAGGCACCATAAAAGCTCTCTAGGATGGGGATCCTTGACAGTTCTGTTTGACGATTCATTTGACACATTTGAATTTGATTTGAAATTTTGTGGATTTGTCAGTCTTTACGGAGCTTATTTTATGTTATTTATTATTTATTCTACTACTGATAGTTGTATAAAGGTAGTAAATCTAGATGGAAATTGTGGCAGAACTTAAATTAACAGTGACATTATCGCGATTTATCGAAAAAGACTCTAAAATAGTTGGTTGTGTAGCGTGCGGTAGATCTCGGCAAAAATTGAGTGAAATAATGGAACAACTTTTCGCTAATAAGTGACTGTATAATATACATACGTGTAGTAAACCAATAATTTATGAAATTCACTTAAATTAACTAAATTATATATTTTCTTGCATTTTAGCTTTTATTTACTACTTGTCAAAGATCAGATGTCAAAGAATTTTGATACGTTAATTTGACTTACCTGCTTCAGTAGCGTATCGGATGTTTGTGTTAATAAATACTTATTATAACTTATCTATTTTTATTAGAATTATATATTTTTATAACAATTTTAATAACTACCAACATTTATTCACAACGTAAAATAAAATAACAAATTATTGAGTCTACCCTACATCATAGTTTTACATTTTTTAAATAAAATTAGAACGACACTGATAAACCGGAATTTAAGTCGGCCATAGTTGAGGCCCATCGCGGTGTACCTAAGATTTTTGATATGCTCCTTCCTTAGTCTTCTTATTCAAAGGGTGCACCGCGATGGGCCTCAAATATGGCCGACTTCAATTCCGGTTTATCAGTGCCGTTCTAATTTTATTTAAAAAATGTAAAACTATGATGTAGGGTAGACTCAATAATTTGTTATTTTATTTTACGTTGTGAATAAATGTTGGTAGTTATTAAAATTGTTATAAAAATATATAATTCTAATAAAAATAGATAAGTTATAATAAGTATTTATTAACACAAACATCCGATACGCTACTGAAGCAGGTAAGTCAAATTAACGTATCAAAATTCTTTGACATCTGATCTTTGACAAGTAGTAAATAAAAGCTAAAATGCAAGAAAATATATAATTTAGTTAATTTAAGTGAATTTCATAAATTATTGGTTTACTACACGTATGTATATTATACAGTCACTTATTAGCGAAAAGTTGTTCCATTATTTCACTCAATTTTTGCCGAGATCTACCGCACGCTACACAACCAACTATTTTAGAGTCTTTTTCGATAAATCGCGATAATGTCACTGTTAATTTAAGTTCTGCCACAATTTCCATCTAGATTTACTACCTTTATACAACTATCAGTAGTAGAATAAATAATAAATAACATAAAATAAGCTCCGTACAGACTGACAAATCCACACAATTTCAAATCAAATTCAAATGTGTCAAATGAATCGTCAAACAGAACTGTCAAGGATCCCCACCCTAGAGTGCTTTTTCCGCCCACCATGCATGAATATATGGATAGCATTATGCTCCTTCCTTAGTCTTCTTATTCAAAGTTAAAAGTCGATAATTTTATTTATGTATACAGGGCGTCTTCAAATGAATGTTTTGAATTTAAAGAAATATGATTATTTTTAAATAGGCATTCATCTCAAACTGAAGTCTTAACAATCATTTTACATATATTTTTAATGAGGAATAACCTACTCGAAATTTGACTGTGTATTTTTTAAACGCCCTGTTAGCCGTTCTACATATGTGTGATTTATTTTTTCACAAATCACAGATGTTTCTAAATACTCTTTGTCCTTAATACACCTATTTTTAAATTACTAAGAAAATATTAGAAACAGTTCACATACAGGCATTTTACTGGACCTTTTCCAAAAAACACACTTCAAATGAATAAAATAATATTTTTTTAGCCTATTTATTTTAATTTTAAAAGTTTTTCAAACACCGACCAGTTGATGGAAATGTTTCTGGAAATATTCTAGATATTTTTTGTTTCAGGTTTGTTTTGGAAAGCTCCGGAAATTCTGAGGCATCCCAGCGTCTATATCAGGGGCACTCAAAAAGGAGACGTTTACGCTTTTGGTATTATTTTATTCGAGATGTTGGGCAGAAGAGGACCTTTTGGTATTACAGGATTGGAACCAAAAGGTACGTTGAATAGAATCACTATCTGTAGAATCACCCACCACAGTTACACTATTTTTTGACACCCTGTATAATTTTTCTATTGTTTAAAACAACCTAATTTTTTCACATTAATTTTTTATTGCTAGATATAATTGAGGCAGTGAAACGGGAGCCTTTCGAAGGTGAAGAACCTTTCAGGCCCTTGGTGAACATCCTGTACGATTCCGAGAATGGCTGTGATGAATCGGTACTCCAAGTGATGAGGGAGTGTTGGAGTGAGTACCCCGAGCAAAGACCTGACTTTGCTACCATTAGGACCAGATTGAAACGAATGAAAGAGGGAAAGTAAGCATTTTGTTTGTTATACAGGGTGGACCATTTTGGTTGTTTCTATAGGGTATCTAGGAAACCGTGAGAAATATTCAAATTTTGATGCTGGAGCCTAGGGGTTCTTTTTTTGAAAAAAATTACAATGGCGCAAACGGATCGTGGCTATCTTGATCGGTTTCGAAGCTACAGGTGCTATCGAACATCTTCAAAAAGTACAAAATTTGAGAATCCCCCTGTAGCTTCGAAACCGATCAAGATAGCCACGATCCGTTTGCGCCATTGTAATTTTTTCAAAAAAAGAACCCGAGACTGCAGTATCAAAATTTGAATATTTCTCACGGTTTCCTAGATACCCTATAGGAACAACCAAAATGGTCCACCCTGTACAGGTTTTTGTGCATTTACTCTGTTTTTTAAGCTATACTTGATCTTTTGATTCAGCATTTCAATTCTCAGTACTTAATGATATGACTTATATGAATTTCAGAAGCAAAAATATAATGGACCAAATGATGGAAATGATGGAAAAGCATGCCAATAATTTAGAAGAATTAGTGAATGAAAGGACCAGGCTACTGTACGAAGAAAAGAATAAGACAGAAGACTTACTACATAGAATGTTACCAAAGTATGTGTTGATTTTATTTACTCTATCTCTATAATCCCTTATCAACAATTACTTTTTCATTCTTGACACCCTGTATATATTTTTTAATAAACGTTTTCGATATTCCCTAGACCCGTAGCAGCAAGACTAACCAAAGGTTACGGCATTGAACCGGAATCCTTCAATTTGGTCACTATCTACTTCAGTGACATTGTGGGATTCACCGCTATGTCAGCCGAAAGCACACCCCTACAAGTGGTTCAGTTTTTGAACGACCTGTATACAGTTTTTGACAGAATCATCAAAGGATATGACGTGTACAAAGTTGAAACGATCGGAGATGCGTACATGGTGGTAAGAGATATTTTATTTATTCTAAACACCACAAAAAAACACAACCGGAAAAAAAATAAAATAAATATTTCACCTATTAATTTAATAGAACACACTGTATATTATTACGTTGTTGGGTTCACCTTCCCCTGATACTGTAGTTTATATCGAAATTAAATTCTGGCAGCGTATTTATGAAAATATATAGAATTATACAAGGTGTCCCCAAAAAAAGTTGCACATCAAAGTTGTGTTTTTTCTAATGGAACACCCTATATATTAATTGATTTTCGGATTCAAGGAAAAAAATAAAGGTGAGTTTTATTAAAGAAACATATACCTAAAATCTAAGGATTTTGACATATTTCACATTTTGTAAAAATGAAGAGTAAATTTTAAATTTTAATAATAGCTACCTAAATTTTAATTGACCTTGTATAGTCTGATATTTAATTACAGTAACCATTGTATGTTAAACGTAATTGAAATTTGACCCGAAAAGTTATACAGGGTGAGACAAAATTAATATGGAACATTAGTCACTTTTAAAAGCAAGTTACTCCTTTATTTTAAATGGAACACCCAGTATATTTTTGCGGTATTCAATGGGAAATTTCTATATCTTCAAAATATTATTAAGGTTGCCTACCCCTCAGACGAAGATTTTCCTAGATATTTTAATTTTTGTGATTTTCCGTCAGTAGATCTTTATTTTTTGAAAACATCTAGGGTGGCTGTGTGATATACCTACCTTTTGATTATTTAACAAAAATTAAAGATTGTAGAGTAAAATACTCAACGGTAATGAAAAGATCCACGTTTAAAACATATTTTAATTATTACAGAATTAAAACTAGATATAAACATATAATTATGTGACAAAAATTAGCTAGATGAAATCAAATACTCAAAATGCTTCCTTTCCTGTTAACTCCAAAAAATGATTCTTTTCAAAAGAATATTTTCATTTAGCTTTGATTGTAATTTAAAAATTGTTGTTTATTTCTGGAAAATGTTAAATATATCCAAAACCTTACATTTTAGTCATATACAGTGTTGTTCACCACATACGACACGGAGTATTGTAGCTAAACGATGAGATTTTTACAAATTGTAAGTTTGGGGTTCGTTGAAGGACTATTAGAGCTACAATTTAAAAATATTTTTACAAGATAAAGAGTGTCCCAAATAAATAAAAAATATCTAAGTTGTATTTTTTTAAACGGAACACCCTGTATATTATTACATTTCTAGTTTCTGCGATTAAAATAAAGGTAAATTTGATTAAGGTTTATTATACTTAAACCTTACCGTTTTTGAAATATTTTCAATTTTGTGAAATTGCAGTCAAAATTTTAAAGCTTCATTTCTCGAAGGGTATCAAAGTTTTTAATACTAAATATTTAATGAAGTTTATTTATTGATCAGTTATTGTGTTGCAATAATAAAAATAATACTACCTTATACAGAGTGTCCAAAAATTTATTTTAAATAATTATTAGCTTCAAACGGCAATAACTTCTTTAATTTAAATGGAAAGCCCTGTATATTTTAGGAGAATCAGATGCACAATTAAATTGTCTATCAAATTGTATTATACTATTTTTTACCTATTCCTTCAAGTTTTCGTAGAAAATGCAATTTCTTATAATTTAGACCTCATTTATCAATATATCCATGGAATATTGACATTTTAGATTGTTTTTAAAGCAACAAATGTACAAAATGTACAGACTAGTAATATTATCGTTTTTAGCAAAACGATAATATTACTAGCCCATTTGTATGCAAAAAGAAAACTATTTAAATCTTTATAAAAGAGTATACCATTAATTAAATATAACACCATTATTTCCGCCCATATACTAATTAATTACATACTTAATTATGTTCGTTAATAAATTATTCTAAATAAATGTGGATTTTTGAGTCAGAAATCAATATAATAATAAGTTATCAAATTAAAGTCTTTGTTGTTATAAATAAGCATTTATTAAAAAATGTAAATATAATTTTTAAGGTGTTACTTTTTATCACACTGTCTAATGCCCATACAAAATTCAGTTTTTTAGTATTTGGAGCAATTATTATTAATCAACGCAAACAGTCAGTTAATGTAGTTTGAATACTGGAATCATATTAATTGGTCCTCTTTAACAAATATTTAAACAGTTTTTTCTTATTTTTTAATGAAATAAACGAATTATATCGACAATATTTGTATCTGTACTCTTTAAAAATTTGGTACATCTTTAAAAATAATCTAAAATGTCAATAGTCCATGGGTATATTGATAAATAAGTTCTAAATTACAAGAAAATGCATTTTCTACGGAAACTTAAAGAGATAGGTAAAAATGGTATAATATAATTTGATAGACAATTAAATTGTGCATCTGATTCTCGTAAAATATACAGGGTGTTCCATTTAAATTAAACAAGTTATTTCCGTTTGAAGCTAATAATTATTTAAAATAAATTTTTAGACACTCTGTATAAGGTAGTATTATTTTTATTATTGCAACACAATAACTGATCAATAAGTAAACTTCAGTAAATATTTAGTATTAAAAACTTTGATACCCTTGGAGAAATGAAGCCTTAAAATTTTTACTACAATTTCACAAAATTGAAAATATTTCAAAAACGGTAAGGTTTAAGTATAATAAATCTTAATCAAATTTTTCCTTTATTTTAATCGTAGAAACTAAAAATGTAATAATATACAGGGTGTTCCATTTAAAAAAATACAACTTTGGTATTTTTTACTTATTTGGGACACTCTGTATCTTGTAAAATTATTTTTAAATTGTAGTTCTAATAGTCCTTCAACGAACCCAAAACTTACAATTTGTAAAAATCTCATCGTTTAGCTACAATACTCCGTGTCGTATGTGGTGAACAACCCTGTATACTTCTCTTAAAAAACTCACCTTTATTTTTCTGCCAGAATCCGAAAATCAATTAATATATATGGTGTTTCATTACAAAAAACACAACTTTGATATGTAACTTTTTTGGGGACACCCTGTAGAACTCTCTATATTTTTAAAAAGTGTTCTGAATTAACCTACATATGCTCACAAATCAAACTGTCGTTCTCCTTGGATCCTCCGCGGCGTATGAGAGGCGCCACCCTGTATATGAATTATTTGTTGAATTACTTCTTGTAGGTATCGGGACTTCCAATAAGAAATGGTGATAGGCATGCTGGTGAAGTAGCCTCTATGGCTTTGGACTTGCTCTCGGCTGTGAAAAAGCATTCCATAGCCCACAGACCCAACGAAACTCTGAAATTGAGAATAGGAATGCATACAGGTAATTTTTTACCATACCGGGCTGTTCCGGTTTGCAAGCTGTTAAAAGTGTATTAAACATAATGTATCATAATTTTTCAACACTCCATAATAGTACAAAATTCATATTTTCTCAGGCCCAGTGGTCGCTGGAGTTGTCGGTCTCACCATGCCCCGATACTGTCTCTTCGGGGACACAGTGAACACCGCCTCGCGCATGGAGAGCAACGGGGAAGCCCTGAAAATCCACATCAGCCTCCAGTGCAAAGACGCCCTCGAAAAACTAGGTGGCTACGTCATAGAGGAACGAGGATTGGTCAGTATGAAGGGCAAGGGAGAAGTTAAAACCTTCTGGTTGGTTGGGGCGACGGACCAAGCTATCCAGAGACGCGAGGTTGACTTGACTGAGCTGCCTCCTTTGTTCTGCAGACCTAGGAGAAGTCCAAAGTTGAATAATGACTCCAGGCAGCCTTCAATTTGTGGAGGGTATGGTGGGATAACCAGTAGAAGACATTCTAGTGTTCCTAGAGGTATGTAAGAGTGTTCTAGGTAGGTTTTTTTATGAGATGTTGAGCTAGAAAATACTTAAAAATTATCAGTACTTATAAATGACATTTATACACAATCGTTGTTGCTTCTTGAGCTTCCACAAAAATTGTTGAAGTACCATCATCAACTTTTTGCATTTAGCGTAACCATCGTCTTTGATAAAAACCTTTGCAAACTCTCATGGCACAATAAGCTCCGAGTTTTACATTTATCAAGCTTTTGTTAATTTCAATGCTAAACAACATAGTTACCATGTAGAATGTAGAATATGCTGCCGAAGCCTCCGGAATACAGTTCAGACCACCCTGTATATTATATTTCTTTATTTGTTAATACATTTTGCTTCTATTATTATTATTACTTATTAGAAACCACTTTGAATAACTTCATATTACTTAAACTCAATTCAATATTTTTTATTTCATATTGAATTAAATTTAATTCAAATAGACTGTAATTTTGAAGCAGTTAAAATACAAAAGCCTGATTTTTTAGTCTGTTTTTTTTTGCACTGCGTCATTTTTTATTTGGTGATGGAAGTTTTTTTTTATTTCTTGTTTATATTGTTTTATTTCTTGTTTATATTTCTTGTCTTTTCGTTTTATTATAATTTAATTTCTTTACTTTACTTTTAGTTCGCCATACATTTAATAATTTAAATATTGTTTGGTTTGCTTCAAATTTTTGTTATTTTTTTTATAAAAGTTATTAACTAAAAAAAACTGAATAAATTATCTTAAACAAAATTGAAAAAAAAAACAATATCTGGAAAGTGAATGTTAAAAAAATCGACATGTAGAAACAAAAACACCATTCCTCCACAGAAAAATAATATAAATGTTACCTCGACAAAATTGTTCACTCGTCATTCCCATTTTTTTCGATCGTATGACATCTTAATCAACCAATGAAATGCAATTTTATTTTCACAAACAATATATCCGTATACTAGATTTTTAGGAAGATTTCTAAGAATGTAGCTATTTAAACATATAAAAAAACCACTACTAGTTCATACCGTTCTCATTAATTTGCACATATAATACAAAAACTCATGATCAACATTTCTAAAATTTACATAAACCATACCCGTTTAATTTATAACAATTATCAAAAGTTAATTTGTACACATTCCAAGCCATCACCAAATAAAATTTGCAGGCACCAACGCAGAGTTCGACACATGGTCGAACTGTAGCCCTATCATTCAACGCCCTCTGCTCACAGTAACCGGCACAAATCTGCTCGTTCCAGAAGCCATCGGGTCCAAAACCACCATCAACACGGCTTTTGGAAGCCAGGCAATCGACCTCATCGACCACGAAGGCAATAGACCCAAACCCAGACCCAGAAGGATACTGTCCAGTATAGCTTCCAGTTCTGACGAGCCCCACAAGAGTCGGAACACTTTGAATAAGGTCAGGGAGTCGAAATCTTTGGATCCTTTACCTCTGGTTCGAAGACCAACAGCTACAGCATCGGAGTTGATCGAAAACTTTATCAGGGGGACGAAGAGATCAACAAGAAGTCTGGATAATTGTGAAAAGTGTGGTGGGGATATTCAGATCATTGCCATACCCAAAGACAAACTAGTGAACAACAATATACGTAATGGAAACCTTTTAACAACGCAAGAAGAACAGCTTTTGGGGGCTTTTGTTGAAGATGCCCAGATGCCGCTGTTGACACCTCCTCAAATTCCTAATCCGGTCGTGGTCAGGAGGAGAGGCGGTAGTGACGTCAACGATTTTCCTGGAGACTCAACCAAACAGAAATTGTAAGTATAGATTTATCAGCTTTATTTTTTCTTGTACAGGGTGAGTCAACGATAGAGCAAAGTCCATTATCTCATTTCTTTTGAGGTTTACAAAAAATAATAAATATGAAAGTTATAGGGAAGGTTAAGATACTCATTTTAAAATTATTATAAGTAGTTGAAATTCATAAATATATTTTGAACACCCTGTATCATTTAACTAAAATATATTTACATATATCTTTTTTTCATCTCTATAAAACTCTCCTACCAAATTTTGGTATTGCAACTTTAGAAACAATGGCACCACTGACAATTTTTTACCACACTGCAATTTAACATTTGTTTAAACAAATTGAAATATTACAAAAATTATTAATTTTAGGTATATAACATTATTATAAACAAAAAAGTTATGGAATTCTACGCAGAATCTAAAAATAAAATAAAAAAGACGGTGTTGCATTTAAAAAAACATATGTTATATCCGCAACACTTTTTTGAAGCACCCTGTACTCTATAATAATTTTAAAATGTGTATCTTAACCTTCCCTATAACATTTTTATTTAACATTTTTTTGTAAACCCCGAAACAACTGAGATTTTTGAGACTTTACTCTATCGTTGACTCACCCTGTACATCAGAGTGTCCTATTTTCGTGTGTTTTATGGGATTTCTCGTTTATGAGTAGAGATACAAAGATGCGGATTTCAAAATGAAAAAACACCCTATTTAGAGTACCAAAAAGAAACAGATATATTTTATTAACCATATTTAATATTAGTATAAGGTATTCTATGTAAAGTAATTGCAAAACAATTTCCGATGTACCTGATCAACTTGAGTGACAATCGATGGCGACAGCGCTGCCAGATTGTGATAGATTTATGAGATGAATCTTAATGTAAATTGGGAAACAATATGTCGATCAATGCCGTCTCTAATAGAACAGCCTTAAGGCGAGATTTATGACGTCACGCTAGTTAGATACTACGGATTAATAAATATGTTGTAGAATACATGGAAAACATAATTATTCCTCAGATTTTTGGTTTGTATTTTAAAAATGATATAGTTTACATGAAATATTCATAGTATACAGTTAATAACTACAACCTATATACCTATTTATAGTAATAAATACTTTGGCAAATAATCTATGAACCACACAAATGCAGCAAATGTTTTACAATATACAAATAATGTATAGGTACATAAGATATTGGGTAAAATGTAAATATATTTTAAATTTTGTGGTTTGAAAATCGATCTAATTTAACAAAAAATGTTCAATATCTACTAATAGTGATGTATTATTATTTGCATTCACAAAATTTATATGTATATTTTGCAAGTATCAATGTTCGAAAAATTATATTTACAAATAATACAATATCATCTAAAAAAAGGTGTCAGCAATGGCTGTGAAATGAAGATCGCTGGCATTTTATATGTAAAATTATTCTAAAATTTTTGATTTTCTTGGGATTTTTTTTAAGGTTCGGGAAAAACGCTGATTTAAGTTTTCATTTTGGTTTTCATTATTTTTATTTATATATCTTAATACCTACTTACGTGTTTATCTTACGTGTTTGAATCTATCGAAGCTGAACCAACAACACTTGGAGTGGAGATTCCACAATATGAATAAAATAAACATAATTGTCCAGTTTTCTTTAATACCATCCTGGAAGAATATTATTTTTAAATTTATTAAAGATATTTTCAATAGAATTGTCTTGATTTATAACTCGTACCCACTTTTCTTGCTCTTCCGGATACTTTAGGCTGCCTAGTATAACTATCCTTTCCACCAGGAACACAACAAAGATGAGGCATAGCACCAAAAACACACTCCACTTAAGCTTTATTGATGAATTGTTAGAGTCTTAAAAAACACACACAAAAATCACGATAAATAAAAAATGTATGAGCACTTTTAGGTTAAAGCACTTAACAAAACGTGTAATATTTCGTGTTTTTTTTATGAGAAACAGAGTGACCATCATAGTAACCATATATCTGGTAGTACTTTATGTCACTTAAACACCAAAATAATTAGTTTTTTAGCACTACAATAACAAATAATACCAAAAATCAACCGACAAAATATGAATACAGAATCTAACCCAATATCTAAGTATGTACAGCTGATGAAGTAAACAAAAGTCCGCCCGTAGGCTGATCTTTTATAGAAGGCATTGTGTAGATATGATTGATGACGTACATCGGAAAATATTTTGCCATTATACCGTATGATCGAAAAAAAATGGCGTCCAGTTGGCTGGGAAATGACGATCGATGACATTTCCCATATAAATTTACATATAAAATGACAGCGATCTTCATTTCCCAGCCAACTGGACGCCGTTTTTTCTCGATCATACGGTACCTTATTCTGTTTTTCAAAGTACTTTGTAATAAACTGTCATTATATTATCCATTGCAGGTGCCATTCATTGGACGTGTTACCAACGGGTGATTCCCCTAGCAGGCCCTTACAGAAAACATCAATCAAAAAATGGCTGGTAGGTATTTTCAATGGGAACAGCTTTAAATCGAGCAATGCCTCCTTAAGAAAAGGCATCAACGATTACAACAACCTTCAGCCGGACAAAGAGAGCATAGTTTGAGAAAAGAAGTCTCAAGACATCTTGAGACTTGAAAAGGAAAAGCATTTTTTTAATAGCAGGGATTCCCCGGTCATTGGAGCACGCAGTCAAAGTTTACTAGCTCAAAAAAGAGGCAGTATTTGTTGAAAAAAATAATATTTTCTCTATAATTAAGATGTTTAAATTTTAAATGCTTATTCTGCAAGTCTGTGACTCAGATAGTTGCAAAATAAAGTGGATTGCTGTCTTCTGGAGTTCTAGACTATTCTTGATTTTCTTTTTATACATTCATATGATTATACACACACCGGAAAAATCTAGGGATATTACAATTTTATCCAACCATCGTCAGTAATTTTATTAATTGCATTTCTGATATAATAAAATTAAAATAAACAAATAGTTTAAAGGACGTATTGGAAATAAATATGCGAAATTTACCAAATTTTTCAAATTTACCTTGATTTTTATTGAACAACAAAAATACACACATTTTTTTTATTCTAAACTGTGAATTAAAAAAAAAGATAAAACCATTTTTACTTAATAAAGGGTATGGCCTCCTCTACTGTTCATTACAGCCCTACATCGTCTCTCCATGTTCCTGATCAGGTTGTCGATCTCTTCTTGAGGTGCATCCTGCCACGCTGCATTCACGGCCGGAACCAGATCCCTACGAGTTTCCCGAGGCATACCCATTCTCGAAATTCTTCTTTGGACCGCGTCCCATACGTGCTCGATGGGGTTGAGGTCAGGAGATTGTGCCGGCCAGGGTAAGATGTTTAATTGATGAGCATTGATAAACTCACTTACCAGTCTGGCGGTATGAGTCCGTGCATTGTCATGCATGAGAATGAAGTTTCTCCCAAAATCATTGGCATATGGTAACACGACAGGCTCAAGAATTAAATCACGATATGTGATTCCTGTTGGAAACCTTTCAAGAAAAACGAGATCGGTTTTTCGGCCTAACTGGACTCCTCCCCAGACCATAACTGTTCCACCTTGATAAGGGTGCACTTCCTGAACATGACCCAACCGAATAAGATTTCCTGGTTCTCTCCATACCTAAGCCTTCTCGAATCCGGATGAATTCAAAAGCGTGACTCATGCGTGAAGAGAACATTGGCCCATTGTTCATTCGACCACTGAACATGATCTTGAGCCCACAAATATCATACCTCTCGATTTCCTCTCGTTAAGGGTTGAGCTCTCCAGGGGAGTCTGCTTCTTAAGTTGACCTCTCTTAATCTATTGCGAACAGTGTCAGGACTAACGGTTACATTATGTGTTTCCTGGAGAATTAAACTAAGCTCTGGTGCTGTAAGAGTCGGTCGGCGTCGAGCATTTAATTGTAAAAAATGATCTTGCTGAGGGGTACTAATGCGATGTCGCCCTGTGTGCCTTTCAGCAACATCACCACTTTCACGGTAGCGTGCACTTAATCGCGATATTACACTTTGCGTTGTATTTAATGCTCTAGCTACGTCGATTTGGCGAATTCCAGCTTCGAGCATACACATGGTCCTTAGCATTTCGTCTCTGTTAAGATGTCTACGCTCCATAATGTCGTTTAATACTAAACAGTGTTATTTGAATGAATTCTGGCCAGTTATCATAAAAACATAGCCGGTACAGGTTAAATTCGAACAATTGATGCTAGGTGCTTTTTATACATTTGACAAAAAATGCACAAACACTTCTGCAAATATCCCAAATTTAGAAATAACTAGTGTGACTACTTCGTTTCAATCGAAGTAGAAAGAATCGGCCTACAAATATGTGGTTGTTTATTCAAAACATTTATTTTTAACTTTTATAAAATGATATCCCTAGATTTTTCCGGTGTGTGTATTATCGAGATATATCAAACCAAGAAGCAATTTTGACCTAGTAAACTTGTGCGTGTTGGTGTGGTGCTGATTTTGTGATATAGAGATCTCATTTTTTGCTTGCTAAAAATATATACTGGACGAATTTTTGCAAAATACCATATCCTAACCGTGTTTTGGACATATTCCTTCAAAACGCTGTTCAAACCTAAATATATTTCAGCAATATCATATTCTTACAATATATTTGAGGTTTTTAAAAAAACCTCTAGTAAATAATTGAATTTTGATTTAATATTTTTTTTCAAAATTCAAGGAGAAATGCTATGAGATTTATCGAAGAAGGTTTCTAATATCCAGTGGCGTATCATATTTCCATCTAAATACAGTTTTGAGGCATATTTCAGGCTGTATATTTTTTAATAATTGTAAAATATTATAAAGTTTTTTCAAAAGGAAAAAAGTTTTTAAAGACATAAAATATCGCAATTTTTTTAGTATACAAGGGGCACAAAACCACAGACTATTGCATTTTTTCCATGTTTCTATGTTAATTAAATTATTAGGTTTGTATTCTTCAAAACTGTCGCTTTAAACACCCTTATACAGGGTTTTATTTAAAGTAAGTGCAAAATCATTATTTTTACAATATTTTTACCCCAGGTAAACGCCTATGAGGATTTTTACAAATATTTTTACAAGCAGAGATTCATATGGAATTTTTTCTCATGACTTTGTCACTTGTTAGTATTTTACTTTATAATATTTTTATTCCCTTGATCAAGACAACCTACGCCACTGGAGAAAACCTCTCAATTTCTTAATTCTTCTAAGTGCAAATTGATTATAAGAATTTTAATCTGTATATATCATACATCTTAAAACGTTTTATAATTTTTATAGTTATATTTTGATTTAAATCAACACAGTGAAGTAGACTGTAATAAAATAATGAATAATCTTCCAAAATCTGCTATAATTATAAAAGTTTTAGATCATATGATATATATTTTTTTATTTGAATTGAAGTAGAGGTACAACAAAACTTTAAAACATCTTTTAATTTCATTATTGTTTACTAAGTGTTTAAATTTTATTAGTATATATTTTTTTATTTTATTAAAGTTTCTGTTCTATTATTATATTAAAACAAAAATCAAGAGAATCTGTTACATATCATGGAAGCAAATATTTTTAAGGTATAAGTTTGTTTTCTTTAAAATCTAAATAATGTAATATACAAAAAAAAGTAATTATAATTATTGAAATAAAATTATTCATGAATGTATTTTTTAAAAGGCTAAAAAATACTCAGCACGTCAAAATTGAGAAAGGTCATGGTAATGTCCACACTAAAATTCACGTAGGTACATTTTTCAAAACACTGAAAACACTATACAGGGTATTTCTAAGTAAGTGTTTGATATTTTACAATGTACCTCAAAAACGAAGCATTTTAGAATAGCGATGTTTATAGGAACTTCTAATATTAAAAATACCTTAAAAACACCCTATAGAATATCGGACACTTTCTTCAGAAATGTCCTGTATAGACTTTTTTGATGCTACGTGAATTTCAAGTACGGAAAATTTAAGATAATGTGGTTTTTGAAGAACCTGATTGTGTTAGAGGCTGTGAGACGTGTTTTTTACCGCCCTGTACAATCCATAGTACTGGGTGGTCACGAAAAGCACGAAAAATAAAAAAAAATCAGTGTAAATAAATAGTCTTTTATTTTTTAGTTATTATTATAAAATAATACGGATATAGCGTATGATCGAGTAAAAAAACGGCGTCGAGTTGGCTCGGAAATGAACATAGATGAAAATATATCCAGATAATTTTACATAATAAAATGACAGCGATCTTCATTTCATAGCCTTCGCGGACGTCGTTTTTTTTTCGATCGTATTGTAGCTGTGTATACTATATCTGCAGCACCTTTTCAGTAAATGTGCCATCTTAACTTAAATGTACGTTTTTTTTGTTAGCTCTGCTGCTGTCATACCAAGTCCGTCTCTGCGTTTTTATCAAACGCAGAAACGGTCTTTGAGAATTTGTACATAATATAAATGTTACTATTTTAGGTATTGTTTAATAAATATACATATTTATTTATTTGTTATTTGTTTTTTTCTCTATTGTTACGCCACTGTCACCGCCGTTCGTCGATGTAGTTCTTTTTTAAGTCCTTGAGAATGTCCCAGAATAGAAGGCAGAATAGTGAGTGAGGTGCCAGTCTCATGTAGTTGGCTACCACCCCTTTATACATGCCACTTAGACCTTCGGTTTTGAAGATTTTCCGAAAACAGTCTGATACGCCACTGTATAGGACGCCCTTCCCATTAGCGTCCACTTCTGTAAATAAATTTAATTAATAATAATATTTATGTACGAAGGGCTGGCAAAGGTTAGTCTCGGGTCGAGATTTCCGTATGTAAGAAGATTACAATGGGCGTTTATAATGTACTGAACAAAGAGAGGACAGTAAACACGTTGCCAAACGTATGAAATAAACCGAAAAACTGCTTTATCATTTATCACTGTATAATAACTTTGTTGTGGCAGAATATAATATACCAGTTGTATATAATAACCTTGTTTATATATTCTTAAAGTTGTTCAACCGACTAGACAAAATGTGCTGCCAACTGGAGGACAAATCGTGAACCTTTCGGGGCGGAGTCAAAAATATCGATTATTTTCGTTATTTTCCTCAGAGTAATGTAATAATATAGCCCCGGGTTTCTGCGAACTTTAATAGTGATCAGCTGATTAAGAAATTTAAACGAAACTTTTATTTTATTGTAAATTGTGGATTATTTTTGCCTGTTATTTTAAAAATTCTAAACCGTATTAACAAAGAAATTATTATTTCGATATGTTGGTACATTATTTATAATTTATGATAATGCTAATTGCTGTTAATTAATATTTAAAAAAAGTTACATACCTAATTTAATTTGATTTAATGCAGGTTTATAAAAGAATTATTTCATTCTTAGATTATTTTATTCTAAATTGAGTGCTTTACGAATTTTACGATATTTTATTTTGAAAACATAAAACATTTTTGATGCCAACTAATTGGCATGGTATTATTGGTATGGGAATTAGCCAAGAAAGAAAAGAATTGGCTATAACTTATTCGAAAAAAATGTAATTTCACATATAAAATGACAACGATCTTCATTTCATAGCCGTTTTTATTCGATAATACGGTAGATTATTAGGAATTAGAGACAAGTTTTAAAATAGCCAAAATTTGTTTTTTTTTCGAAATATCTAGTAAGCCTTGAACTTCTCCGAAAAATCCGAAAGGCGCATATTTATGACCCCACAAAACTGCAATTCTTTCCCCATTTAACCGACTCTCTGTCTCCAGTAGTTTCCGAGATACCCATAGCGAACATCGTAGGAAACTCACCCTGTATAGTATTTAGAAACTAACTATTATTATTATTTGACTAGATTAATTTGATTAATAAGACTCGATTAATTTATTTTAAAATAAATTTGATCAGATTTTTTTTTCGTATATTCTACTACTAGAAAACCAAAATTATATGATAGCGCACTTTTCAATGAAGTTGAAAGAAGATATATTGTATCTATCACAATACTTAATAGAATTACAACTAGAAGAAAAACAAAAAGAAAAAATACCCAAATACCTTCACCTACTACTCATCTACAAAATAAACGAATATAATCTCTTATAAAAACACTACACAACTACTTCTTGTATTTTACACTGAAAAAATTATCAAACTTACTAATTAACCAAACAAAAAGAAAAAATAACTAAGTTATCCCTTCACCTACTACTTAACTACAAAATAATAAACTATAAAAACACTACTAAACTAATTCTGGTATTCTCCACTAAACATTATAATTAAACTTAATAAAATTAATCTAATTTTACACTAAAACCACTACAACTACAAAGAAATAAGAACATTTTTTAAAACTCGAAGAAACAGAACTTCGATACGTCCGACCAGTATAATAGATCAAGCTGACAAAGAATATAAAATAGGTACTTTAAAAATGTGTATTCAGAAAGAAAAAATATCTCGAAAATTATCTGAACAAACAGAAAAGCATCGGCCTCGTCGGCCTTGCGGAATTTGGGGTATTTACAATGGTCGAATTGAATAATTACCAGCTTTTATAGCATATCTAATAGACAAAAAGTATCTGGTCGATTAGTAACCAATTGGCACAGTCTGAAAATTATCGATTTTTATTTTCTCTGTTTTTATTGGTCGCTTCAAAATTCAGAGTAACAAAAAATATTTTTCTGTAGTAAAAGACTGTGAAATACGCCCCGCCATCTGGTGCTTTACATCCATAAACGTCTTAGGTTGAGCTGCTTTAAAAATTCATATACAAGGATTTTACCTACCTTGATTGTATAACCTTGTCGACACAACATCGAAAGGATTAATCATTATGGTTTGAATCAATCCACTAAAAATACTGGCAATCAGAGATGTCAATAGTGTCGACTGTCGCAAGAATTCGTTTTCCCTGAGTTTATCTTTGGTCAGAGCAAAAGTAGTGAGTTGTGACGATGATCCTACCAAGGCTCTCAGCATGGTACCATTCACCCCCCTCCAAAGACCTAGAATCTAAAAAAATAAAAATGAATATAGTGTAAAACTCATAGAGTTGTAAAACTTGTATTGCCCACTGTTAATAGTTATTTTTTATACAAGACGATCAAATGGTATTTTACGATAATGCAATTTTATCGTCGTGTTCAGAAATTATTATTTCAAGGAATTTATTACGAGTAGAAAATTATTATATAAAAATATTGTGCTGAGTTGGCGTTGGTTTCTATCTAATTTAACAAATAAATAAGTCTCTTTATTTGTCAGTTTTGGGTCAATATTTTTTAATTCTCTTTCGTGTCAATTGCTGATTGAATTGGAGCCAGATATGGCTCAAAACGGAATAAGTAAATTACCAACAGATATTCAGCCTGAGGCGACAAACGCCATATCCAAACTAAAAAAATTAAAAAAAAATTACTCCTAGCGCGCGTAAAGAAGTATGACTTCAAAAAATATGCATTCCTTTGAAAGCCCTCAATTTATTTATCTATTAAAGCAAAAACACCTTATTTCAAAAATAAATAGGGGACAATTCAAAATCTGGTCACTTTAAGAAACAAAAACTCAATAACTTACCCCGTGCTGAAGGTAGATGGTTCTCACAGCCTCCAAAGCACCAGAATGGCCATGCTGATGACCTACAGCTATCTGTTTGGCAGCCTGAGACTGAAGCTGCGTCTTTATAAGGAACAGGGGACTCCCGAAAAAGGCTCCCGTGGCACCGGCGAAAGCGCTGGCAACGGCGCTTTTGTAGAATACTGTTTTACCCTCGGAGTTTGTTAGGAAACCCTTCTTTTCCATTGTTTGATATAAACCTTAAAGAATATACAGGGTTAAACATAAACCCTTACCCTTATTTTGTAGATTTTCCCCCTGCAGCGACAATTCTTCTCAATAAATGAGACGTTATTTTAAACACACTATACAGGGTGGCCCAACGAAAACGTTCCGCAAGGCATAACGGCCAGGATAATGTTTTTTTTCAGAAAATTCAAAAACACGTCAATTTTGTTCAAAAATAAATACCCTGGCCGTTACGCCTTGCGGAACGTTTTCGATGGGCCACCCTGTATATTCGTACTACCCTACCTAATCTAACGCAGTTTCGGAGACCGTGCAGCACCATGGCCACTCCCAGTCCCTTCTGTACGCCTCTGAGTCCCTCGTTCTTAACGACGACATAGGCGGCGTGGAAGACATTCCTATAATGTACTGAGTGTTCTCCTTTGGCACGAAGCTCGCCCTGTAGCTGCATTCGTGTTTTTAGGACGTCGAAGGGGTTGCTGAAGATACAGGCACCGCTGGCAGCCAGGCCGCCTATCACAAAGTCCATGCTGAGTATTTTTTGTCTGTGACCTGTATGGAAAAAAAATATCCAAATAAAAATAGAAATCTAGAAGTCTCTCTAACCCAGTGGCGGATACAGAGGCCCCCCTCATAGAGCCCGGGACCCCCAAAAATCTGTAAATTGTGTAAAATATTAGGCTTTTGGGATAAAAATGGCCTCCTAAAAAGCATATTCTACATTGCTTTTTATTTTGGGCCCCCCTAAAATAAATTCCAGCCATATTGACATCAAAGGTCTGTTCGTTTTCCTGTTATTATCGATTCTGAATCGTCCTATAGAACTCTCCAGCGCATGCGCAAATGAAATAATGTCTTCATATTTCCTTCTGCGCATACGCATCACAATTCTAGGACGGTTCAGAATCGATAATAACAGGAAAACGAAAAAAGCTCAAAATCAAATTTCTCATGTCAAAAAACTCCCAGACACCAATTTTCACTCAAATATTGACTTTACTTCGGAAATTATTTGAAAAAAATCGAAATAAAAATGAAACTTCTACACCCTGTATCTCCGAAACTAAGCATATTAGGACATACATTTATACGAACTTTTTTACTTATTTTTATCTGCAGAATATGCTGCCGAAGTTTCCGGAAAACAGTTCCGACCACCCTGTATACGAACATGATTAATTGGGGCAAAATGTTATCAAAAAAGTTTTAAAAATTTCAAGGACTGCTGAGTTTTTTGGAATTTGGAATAACCAGGCTAACCAATGCATTAAAACCCTCCAAATAACCAGGCTAACCAATGCATTAACACCCTCCAGGCTAGCCTAATTAGTTAATGCTTTTGGTAAATCCTAGGTTTAGCGCGCTTATCCTAGGTTTTCCCGCATTTACAGTAACATATACACTGAATAAAACCAATTATAGTCTATAAAATGAATAACTTTGAATTTTGACCGTTATTTTTTACCAACATGGTAAATATAAAATCCATCTGTCAAAAAAGTTACTGATATTCTTTAAATTGAGTGCCTGAACGAATCAGATAGGTAACTCTTTTTACTTTCGTCAAATAGAAAAGGAAAATAATAAAACAAGTGACGGTTCTTCCTCTTCTTGCAAAAATCAACACGAAATGTCATAATTGACAAAAGTAAAATGTCATCAGCTTTTGACACTTCTAAATGTTAGACCAATGCCGTCTCTAATAGAACAGCCACGGAGCGAGATTTATGACGTCACGCTAGTTAGATACTACGGATTAATAAATATGTTGTAGAATACATGGAAAACATAATTATTTCTCGTATTTTTGGTTTGTATTTTAAAAATGATATAGTTGACATGAAGTATACATAATATACAGTTAATAAATACAATATAATATATACCTATTTATAGTAATAAATACTTTGGCAAATAAACTATGAACAATAAAAATGCAGCAAATGTTTTACAATATACAAATAATGAATAGGTGGTACATAAGATAATGGGTAAAATGTAAAATATATTTTAAATTTTGGGGTTTGAAAATCGATCTAATTTAACAAAAAACATTGAATATCGATAGTGATGTATTATTATTTGCAATCACAAAATTTATTTATATATTATAATGTTTACTGCAATTAATAAACTAATATAAACTTGTCAAAAGATGCCACATATTTTTTACATTATTATTCTTAACAAAAACTATCTACATTGACTATGGAGTACGATTTCAGCCATATTGTAAAACATTTGCTGCATTTGTATGGTTTATAGTTTTATCTGACAAAGTATTTATTACTATAAATAGGTATATATATATATATATATATATATATATATATTGTATTTATTAACTGTATATTATGTATATTTCGTGTAAACTATATCATTTTTAAAATACAAACCAAAAATACGAGAAATAATTATGTTTTCCATGTATTCTACAACATATTTATTAATCCGTAGTATCTAACTAGCGTGACGTCATAAATCTCGCTCTGGGGCTGTTCTATTACAGACGGCATTGCGTCAGCATGGCCGCAAGTTGATAACCTAATAAAATTAACACTAGAAAAGCCCGCGGGAACTGTCAAATTCAAAGTTATTCGTTTTACAGACTATATAAAATAATGTAAACACAAGAAAAAGTAAAGAATTCTCAAAAATTCAAATTCAAAGAGAAATGTAAAATAAAACTGACAAAATGCGTTTCAAAATAGTAACTGAGTGTTTTAATTCAATGAGTTTAATAGATTAGTGATACGGGGCATACAGAGTGAATCTTAAATACATATGTGTAAATATATTTATAAGGGTAGTATAGTTCAATGTCTAGAGCCAAATTTTTAAATTCAAACAAATTTTCAAGCGTATCCCGCCATCTTCTAGCAAAAAACAAAACTTTCACACCTACAAAACATTACAGAAATCTATTTAACGAAATTTTCCTCCTTTAATTATCCCATTTCCACTTACCCCCTGTATATTTATTGTACGAGGAAATCAATAACATGAACCAAGCGTCTTCTGCAGAGATCACTAACCTCTCAACTGACTACACGGAACTCCAATAAATAATCAAAATTTGCGCAATATTAGAGGAACGACCTTTAATCTAACGATGACGACAAAATGAAACACGTGCTTTATACTACATTGTCACGGTACTCTTGTATTTTTTTTTCGCGAAAAACATCTTAAAATATCTCGAACTCACCTCTTGTATTTTGCGCACCTCACATCTGTAAAACCATCTTGATTTAAACGTGCCTTACTTATTTTTTAATCCGATTTAATCATATAAACAAATAAAAGCATTACATCAACCATCAAATATTGAAAGCAGATTGTTTTTTCATGTTCAAAAAAAAACTGTGCTTGAAGGACAAACCGCTTTAGGCAGTCTCTCTAGGGAAATTAAAAATAGTTTTAACCTAAATTTCCTCCCTGACCTTCCCCAACGTGAGTTTCCCACGTCACTGGAAAGGAAATGACTGTAGGAAATGCTTTGTTTTCCACACCGCCCACTAAACCACAGCGTTCAAAAATCTATTTTTTGCATCTCACGTTTATTTTATTTACTTATAAGTACTCATTACGCTATATAACCATGAGGGCGTACTTATACAGATTAGAATAAAATTGTCGTTAGGCAAATACTATTATTTGAGTATGGTTAAATAAATTAAATATTTGAATAAGCCGTTTTAAACGGTATCAGATAAGATCAAATAAATTTTCCCTCTGAATCGATGAAACAGACAAAGAAAGACTGATAAATAAGAGAGATAAAGAAATATTTTGTTTGGATGGGGAATTTTTTGTGTTATCGTGTCATCTTGTGAGGATTAGATGAACTAATTTTATTTGTTTATAAAAATCAATAGTAAAGGCACTTTATTTACAGTATTCTGTTAATTTAAACTGGCTGTCAGTTTGGTTATTTTTGTGTAGATGACAGGAGAACAATTATTTTATGTAGTGTATAGAATTGTGTATAGAGGTAGGATAATAAAATTGCGATACAGGGTGTTCCTTAAGTAAGTGCCAATATTTTAGGGAGAGATAGACTTTGGTGAGAGATCTGGGCATACGAAATCTAAACACATCTAGACAAAAAATGTCTATACCTATTAGATATGAAACTTAATAGTAAAATTTTGGGTCAAAGCGCCCCTCCGTGTTCTTAGTAGAGACTACGTTTAACCCAGCGCCTTCGCCTTTTCCGCTGTAAATATTTTTTATGTTTATATTTGATTTCAAAGGATTTAGTTTTAAAGTTACACTGATATATTAGTATATCAGAGTAACTTTAATAAAACATAAGAATATATATATATATTACAGTTTATTAAATATAAATTTTGACTACAAGGTAGAAAGTAAATCACAATATTTGATAAAACTTATAAGTATACCATTTTTACAGTTAATAAATAATAAAACTATTTCTGACTATGATATTTAAAATTTAGATAGATAGAATATTAAAAAACATACCAGACGCAGGCCCAAATTCAATAAAAACCAAAATTTTTCCTGCGAATATCGGGCTTTTTTCACAGAAAAGGTATTTTTTGATTTATCAACAATCATTGTCAAGTTGACAATATACAGGGTGTTTTCTAATTAGTCTAAAAAATTGTGGTGTGATTCCTCATGTGTTCTTAAAACAATTTTTATATAACCATTGGGTCTAAAGTACTTCCTTTCTGATCTACAGGGTGTTAAAAATTTAAAAAAATCGATATTTTGCTTAAAATAAATGGTACACTACTGTTTTTTTAAAGAAAATAAATGTTTTTCTTGACTGGCCATCCTTTTTCAATAAAATTGATCTTTCAAGTTTTTCTTGTTCATCAAACGGTTGCCGAGAAAAAAATAAATATATACTTATTAAGAGCCCGCTTTAAGCCGTTTTCTAACGATTTTTTATTTTTTAGATTAATTAGGAAACACCCTGTATATGCATATCACAGGCAACCAAATAAACTAGTAACCTCTAAAAATTATTTTTCCTACCAATAGCGACATACCGTGTTTTTAGTGAGTACTAAATTATTTTATCAAAATTTCACCATATAAGTTTCCAGGCAATGACCTATGTGGCGGATTCATCTCTCCAAAAAATCCTATATGCTATATTTTTAGTTTATATCTAGATTGAAACATAGTATCAAAAATTGCTATTATAATAAAAAATAAAACACAGAAATGCCTTATAAAGAATTATATTAAACTAAAATTAAACTTCAAATAAAAATTTAAAAAAATAGAAAAATCTACAAGTCTGTCATGTATTCAAGCCTTCCTTTGGTACCCAAATTCGTGATAGCAAACAAACTTCCAGCAGCAGGTTGTTTATCTTTTTCGTCAGACGTTAGAGATCTTCTCGAAGTGGTGACAAATAAAATATCCAAATTTGGGCCACCCCAAATAGCTGACGTGGTGTATTGTGCTGAAAGAGGTATTCTTCTTAGTAGATCTCCTGTTTTTGGGTTGACTTGTATAACTGATCCTCCTCCGTATAGAGCTACCCATAAGTTGTCGTCAATGTCAACAGTCATACCTTAAAAAAAAGGTAAAATATGTTCTGTGTATCATCCACCACGAGTAGCGATAATATATTTGCTCATGTTTTTTTTGCCTGGAAGAATATTAAGAATTTAAATACCTACCATCTGGTACTCCCATTCCTTTGTCTTTGGTACTGAAAACAACTTTCCTATTGCTGATAGTACCATTGTCAGCATTAAAGTCGTACTGGACTACCTCGTAGGTCACGCTGTCAATGTAATAAAATTTGGTGTTGTCTCCGTTCCAGGCTAGTCCATTTCCTATACTGATTTCGGTTATTTCGACTGTAGGTTTTGTTAAATCAGCAGGGTTGAACTTGAATAAGGCTCCTACGTTCAAATCGACCTTCCCATCAAGTGTTTCATAGCCCATTGTACCTAAAAAGGCAATAACTTGACAACCTATCACAAATTTGACCTTAACACACCAGCGGAAGTATCTAGAATACTTAGATATTCCAGTAAAATAGAGTAACATTTCAAGATATAGATAATCAAAAACCTGATTTTTATATTAAGAAATATTTCCACTACATTGACTTATTTCTCTGATAACGAAAAAAATAGATATATTTAAACTTACCAAACCATAATCTACCCTTAACATCAGCTTTGCCATCATTAAACCTATTCTTGGGGTGTTCTTCTTGAACTGTATGAAATGGTTCTGGTTTAGAATCTTTATTGTAAAGTTTCACTCTAGCAACCGTTCTGTTTAAGCCCACTATCACAACATTAGGGTCCTTTTTGGTTAAAATTATTGGAACTAGATCATTTCCTAGAAAAAAAAACACAAACAATTTAGCTTGATTCAAAAATTATTCATTTAAAATAATTTTTGTTTTAATCTGTAAGTTTTCTATCTACTGTTAAGAAGAAACATGGCCATCTTATACGCAGGCTAAGAGCGATCAACTCACTATATAACCATCAATAAATATATTACCAATAGGACCGTTCCCGTTCATTTTCTTGATTTTTGTGAAAGTCAAATATTAAAGCACTTCGGTAAACATAAACACCCAAAATCTCATTCAAATTGAAATAACGGTTTTTAAAATATCTGAAAAAAATGTTTTGATTGATGCCCTCTAAGGGACAAACGAAGCACTTTTGTATAGAGGTAAAAATTGTAGTCAATGAACTTATTTTGATTTGAAAAATACGTAGTAGTACTATATCCATTGACACCCTGTACAGACGAGACTCAGTTACATGTCAGTTTAACTGACAGTCAAAACTGACATGTAAAACGTTTAGTGTAGTCAAAACTTTAAGTAGATCACAGTGTATACTGTACCTGGAAATTCAGCAGCTACTTCTGTAGAGTCATTCGCGTAATCATATGCCAGAATTTTTCCTTGGTGCAAATCCACGAAATACAGCTTTCCAACCCTGGCATCCCACACAGGGCCTTCAGCATGATGTGCTGGTTCAGTAACTTGAATCACTGCTGGATTTTTAAATCTAGAAGCCATAAGGACAACTGACGTACAAGTTATTTGTTGTAGCTTTGCTTAAAGACTAGAATGTGAAGTGGTTGATATATTTTTTTAGTTCTTTTTATCACTTTTGAATGTGATTATTTTATTATCTTGAAAAATAAACCAATAAAACTGTAAAGTACTATAATTTAAATTTGATTTCTTTATTATCTCTAGATCGGATGCATAACGTAAATGATATTTTGTTTAAAATAAAAGGTTTGAACAATATATTTATATTTACCCTTGAACTGTTGTTAAAACAAGGCCAAGCCAAAGAAAGATTCTCATATTTAAAGCTGTTTTGTATGTAGTCACTTTCAAACTGGTTGTCTGTGAATAACTGAGCCATAAGGAATGGCAAATTATGTTTTATATTAACGATTTTGCTCATGTAATACATAAATCTTTCTAGTAGTTTTTTATAGAAAAGAAATAAATTGTAATTGTTTAAATCTCCATAAGAAATATTTATATATAGAAAAAATATGATTGTTTTGTAGTGCTTTAGGTATATTATTGTTAGTATTATTATATTATGTACCTTAATTGGCAAGTTCTACGCTTATGATTCTCTAACGCCATTAGAATGATTATCTTAAGATTTTAGTAACTTAAAAAAATATATTTGGAGTCCCTTATAACGTATTTTTCATGATCTTGTCTTGACAATGTTTGTGTCAAATGATATAATTTAAAAATTCTATAGTTCATATCCTTTGTTCATATCTTTGGTTCATATCAAATAAATATTTAGTCACGTGATTAAGCTTGACCGGAACAGCGTTGCCAGCTTTTACATATTTTCTTGTAATCAAAATATTTTAGGAAACGGAAATAAATTAATTGTAAATATACAGGGTTGTTCACCACATACGACACGGAGTATTGTAGCTAAACGATTAGATTTTTACAAATTGTAAGTTTTGGGTTCGTTGAAGGACTATTACAGCTACAATTTAAAAATATTTTTACAAGATACAGAGTGTCCCAAATAAGTAAAAAACATCATAGTTGTATTTTTTTAAACGGAACACCCTGTATATTATTCTATTTTTGGATTCTACGATTGAAACAAAGGTAAATTTGATTAAGATTTATCACACTTAAACCTTACCGTTTTTGAAATATTTTCAATTTTAAGAAATTGCAGTAAAAATTTTAATGCTTCATTTCTCCAAGAGTATCAAAGTTTTTAATACTAAATATTTACTCAAGATTATTTATTGATCAGATATTGTGTTGCAATAATAAAAATTTTCCTACCTTATACCGAGTGTCCAAAAATTTATATTAAATAATTACTAGCTTTAAACGGCAATAACGTGTTTAAGTTAAATGGAACACCCTGTATATTTTACGTGAATCATATGCACAATTTAATTGTCTATCAAATTTTATTATACCATTTTTTACCTGTCTCTGCAACTTTTCGTAGAAAATGCATTTTCTTATAATTTAGACCTCATTTATCACTATACCCATGGAATATTGACATTTCAGATTTTTTTTAAGCAACATATATGCACAAAATGTACAGGTGGTAAATATTACAAGCCTATTGGTATACCAAAAAAACTATTTAAATCTTTATAAAAGAGTGTACGAATTAAATATACCACCATTATTTCCCACCAAAAATTAGTTAATTACATACTTTTAAATTGTTTTAATTAATAAAGTATTCTAAATAAATGTGGATTTGGCTCAGAAATCAATATAATAATAAATTATGAAAATAAACGTCTCTATTTTTATAAATCAGCATTCGTCAAAAAATTAAATAAAAAATATAAGGCGTTACTTTTTACCACACTGTCTAATACACACACAAAATTCAGTTTTTTAGTATTTGGAGCAATTATTATTAATCAACATAAACAGTCAATTAATGTAGTCTGAATACTGGGATCATATTAATTGGTCCTTTTTAACAAAAATATTTAAACAATTTTTTTAATTTTTTTTATGAAATAAGCGACCTATATCGACAATATTAGTATCTGTACTCCGCTGTAAATACCGCGATTTTGTAAGGGGCCCCTTACAAAATCGCGGTATACTCCTATATAGGTCCAAGAATAAATAATAATTATTCGAATATAAAAAATAATAATTATTCGATATTCTAAAGAAAGAAAATTACCCCTTGATTTAATTTCGTAAATAGAAAAATGCCATTGACAATTACTGGGGCCTAATCATTGATAATTAAGTAAATAACTGCTTTTTTTGTTTGCATACTCTAACTACAAATTGCTTTATAACTACTGAACACATATAGGCCTGTTTGCCAGTTGAATAAAAAATTACTTATTAAGATTTGGAGGCCCCCTGGCAGAAGGGGCCCGGGGCCACCCTGTATATGAAAATATACAGTTTAAACAAAAAAAACACACTATTTATTAAAAACTTTTTTATTTTAATTGGTTTTCAACCCCATCTACTTACAAATTAGACAACAACATCAAAAATAATTCAAAATAACACAGCTGGCATTTACAATAAAAAAAATAGGAATAATAGATAAGATTTGGTTTGAGCTGTAGACAAGAACTAAAAGAAGTTCCTAATCGTATTTAAAATGGCTCCCCAGAATGCTGCTGAAAAAGAGACAAAAATATAAAAATTGTATACAAAAAATTACTGTTCTTAAGCTTAATTCAACATCTCGAAATTAGTGGTTAATAATTTCAATGTAGACATTCAAACCGTCAAAATTAGTGGTAGTCAAAGAATATACCTAGCTAGAAACAGAATGGACTCTGCCATACTCTTTGAATAAGAAGACTAAGGAAGGAGCATAATGCTATCCATGTATTCATGCATGGTGGGCGGAAAAAGCACCATAAAAACTCTCTAGGGTGGGGATCCTTGACAGTTCTGTTTGACGATTCATTTGACACATTTGAATTTGATTTAAAATTTTGTGGATTTGTCAGTCTTTACAGAGCTTATTTTATGTTATTTATTATTTATTCTACTACTGATAGTTGCATAAAGGTAGTAAATCTAGATGGAAATTGTGGCAGCACTTAAATTAACAGTGACACTATCGCGATTTATCGAAAAAGACTCTAAAATAGTTGGTTGTGTAGCGTACGGTAGATCTCGGCAAAAATTGAGTGAAATAATGGAACAACTTTTCGCTAGTAAGTGACTATGTAATATACATACGTGTAGTAAACCGATCATTTATGAAATTCACTTAAATTAACTAAATTATATATTTTTCTTGCATTTTAGCTTTTATTTATTACTTCATGTCATGATGTCAAAGAATTTAGATACGTTAATTTGACTTACCTGCTTCAGTAGCGTATCGGATGTTTGTGGTAATAAATACTTATTATAACTTATCTATTTTTATTAGAATTATATATTTTTATCACAATTTTAATAACTACCAACATTTATTCACAACGTAAAATAAAACAACAAATTATTGAGTCTACCCCACGTCTACCCTACACCATAGTTTTACATTTTTTAAATAAAATTAGAACGACACTGATAAACCGGAATTTAAGTCGGCCATATTTGAGGCCCATCGCGGTGTACCTAAGCTTTTTGATATGCTCCTTCCTTAGTCTTCTTATTCAAAGGCCATACTGAAAAATGGTCCTACAGAAGTGGCGCCATCTATTGAGTAGGGCTTGTTTTAAATGGATCGAAGCGCGGGCTTTTTAAATGAGCGTATTTATTGAATTTTACTCTAAAATAATTAAATTTGATTAGGTATTAAATCTTATTTTTTACGCAAATTCAACAATACTAATAACAAGTATCGTTGTGATGTGTAAAAATAAGATTTAACAGTACAATTTATACAATTATTAAATAAAATTAAAGCCAAACATGTGTAAATAATATTTAAATTTTATTTATAAGTCAAATATTTAAACATCGTTTATTATAATTAAACAAGATCAACGTAATACGCCCAACGTTTTGTAAATGGAGTAAATATAAATTATTATAATAAAACAAAAATCAAAAACTTACATTATAGTTTTGTAGGGGAGTAAAACAAATAGGTATTTAAATAATGGCAACACATATAACAAATTATAGTTTGAAAAACGTTTTGGTAATCATTTGATAATATTATGATGACAACGACAATATTTTTTGAGAATTTGACAATAGTATGACAATGGCCGTTGAAAACTATGGAAACTACAAAAAAATTCTGATTTAACGCCATCTGGCAATAACTAGTAGCAACTTCTTAACCTAAAAATTAATTGCACTACCACCTAGCGCGCGAGGCTGGAACTATTTTATTTGAAATTTCCGTGGAAACGATGGAACCTTGGTGGAACCGCTTTTGCTATTTCACTTTCCCGCCCCTGGTGGTAGTGATTTGCAATTAGTAGAGAAAGTTAACAAACCCCTAACTTTTTCTAGTAATTATACTTCAAAATTAGCGAGAAATGTAATTTTGGCATTTGATTATCATTCGTCAGAGAAATTTTAGTTAGAAATAAATAATAATTTTGTATACTTACGAACATCTTCCTTTTCACTGGTTCTTTGAGGCTGTTGGACTACGTAATTCTGACTGGCTTCCGTGCTTTGAACCAGAGCATTGCTGACTTCGTTTGGAAGAGGCTGAGCGAACAGTTCGTTGGTGTTTATAAGGATCTCAGCCAAAATGTTCTGTATAATTTGGAGATAAAAAGAAAAAATTAACTACAAGTACTTGTTTGGTAGTAGTTGATGAATTTATTCATAGAGAATTACAACTAAATATTTACGAAAAGTATTTAAGTTAACGTAAAGCCAAAAGTTTAATAAAAATATTTCAATAACTTGATGACATTATATGTCTTTACAAGGTTCGTTGTAGCTAAACGATGAGATTTTTACAAATTGTTAAAGTTACAGAGTGTCCCAAATAAATAAAAAAATATCAAAGTTGTATTTTTTTTAGAGTATTGTAAATATTAGCACCCTGTATATTATTACATTTTTAGTTTCTACGATTAAAATAAAGGTAAATTTGATAAATGTTTATTACACTTAAACCTTACCGTTTTTGAAATATTTTCAATTTTGTGAAATTGCAGTCAAAATTTTAAGGCTTCATTTCTCCCAGGGTATCAAAGTTTTTTAATACTAAATATTTACTGAAGTTTATTTATTGATCAGTTATTGTGCTGCAATAATAAAAATTGTACTACCTTATACAGAGTGTCCAAAATTTTATTTTAAATAATTAATATCTTTAAACGGCAATAAGTTGTTTAATTTAAATGGAACACCCTATATATTTTATGAGAATCAGATGCACAATTTAATTGTCTATCAAATTGTATTATACCGTTTTTTACCTATCTCTTCAAGATTCCGTAGAAAATGCATTTTCTTGTAATTTAGAACTCATTTATCAATATACCCATGGAATACTGACTTTTTATATTATTTTTAAAGATGTACCAAATTTTTAAAGAGTATAGATACTAATATTGTCGATATTGTTTTTTATTTCATTAAAAATTAAAAAGAAACTGTTTAAATATTTGTTAAAGAGGACCAATTAATATGATTCCAGGATTCAAACTACATTAATTGACTGTTTGCGTTGATTAATAATAATTACTCCAAATACTAAAAAACTGAATTTTGTATATGTATTAGACAGTGTGGTAAAAAGTAACACCTTAAAAATGATATTTCATTTTTTGACAAATGCTTATTTATAACAACAAAGATATTCGTTTTCATAACTTATTATTATATTGATTTTTGATTCAAATCCACATTTATTTAGAATAATTTATTAACGAACATAATTAAGTATGTAATTAATTAGTATTTGGGCGGAAATAATGGTGGTATATTTAATGAATGGTATACTCTTTTATAAAGATTTAAATAGTTTTCTTTTTGCATACAAATGGGCTAGTAATATTATCATTTTGCTAAAAACGATAATATTACTAGCCTGTACATTTTGTTGTACATTTGTTGCTTTAAAAACAATCTAAAATGCCAATATTCCATGGGTATATTGATAAATGAGGTCTAAATTATAAGAAAATGCATTTTATACGAAAACTTGAAGGGATAGGTAAAAAGTGGCGTAATACAATTTGATAGACAATTAAATTGTGCATCTGATTCTCGTAAAATATACGGGGTGTTCCATTTAAATTAAACAAGTTATTGCCGTTTAAAGCTAATAATTATTTAAAATAAATTTTTAGACACTCTGTATAAGGTAGTATTATTTTTATTATTGCAACACAATAACTGATCAGTAAATAAACTTCAGTAAATATTTAGTATTAAAAACTTTGATACCCTTGAGAAATGAAGCCTTAAAATTAATACTGCAATTTCACAAAATTGAAAATATTTCAAAAACGGTAAGGTTTAAGTATAATAAATCTTAATCAAATTTACCTTTATTTTAATCGTAGAAACTAAAAATGTAATAATATACAGGGTGTTCCATTTAAAAAAATACAACTTTGATATTTTTTACTTATTTGGGACACTCTGTATCTTGTAAAATTATTTTTAAATTGTACCTCTAATAGTCCTTCATCGAACCCGAAACTTACAATTTGTAAAAATCTCATCGTTTAGCTACAATACTCCGTGTCGTATGTGGTGAACAACCCTGTATAATAATATCGCCATATTGTTTTTTCTCATGCAGACATAAATGTGAGAAAATTTTATCCAGTGTGTATGTTAATAGAAATTCATGCTTTGCTTTATCATCACCATTACAAATGATTAATTCGACGCGAACGAAGTCGCTGGTAGACGCTAGTAATTTAATTATTTTATTTTTATTTTATTAATTGTAATTAATAAAATTGCGTTTATCTCATGAAGGAGGCCGAATTCGACAAAATATCAAGAGATAACTTTTAATTGGCATTAAACGGCCTACAAAATTTTGATATAAAAAGAAGAAAGTCAGTGGCGCACATGTTTTTTTTTGAAAAATATTCTAGTGATAACCCATCATACAGTTCATGATGAATTTAGCGACACTTTTTAAACATGTACTACTGTAGTACTTATAATAACTTTTACCCTGAAAATTTCGTTCGAATCTCTAAAAGTACTTGGAAGAAAATTATAATAAATCAAAAGATTATTATGACTTTAACACCCTGTAGCTACGAAACAAAGCAGAATCGGACCTATGTTGATTTGAAAAATAAATCTAATTTCTACGTGTGTAAGAAGACACGTGTTTTTTAAAACACCCTGTATATACGTCAATTCCTTCTCAAATAAAGAAATACGTGAATAGCATTATACACCTTCTTTAATCGTTTTATTCACAGGTTTGTAGACCTCATTCTCTCACACAATACCCAATTCGTTCAATCACACCAACCATTTGTGACACATATCTCCCACACTTAAAAACTTACTGCCCTTCGTGCATTGTCCACCAGGTCCACAAAATGGGCCGGTGATCCTTTGGTCCTCAAATTCGTCACTCCAAACACGCTGCCAGCTGCGTTTGAGGTTTTTCGTTCACTGTCTGTGAGACCTCTTCTGGATGTGGTGACGAAGAGGATGTCCAAGTTTGGACCACCAAACATCACGGAGGTTACATCCCTGGCAGGGATGGGTACTACCTAAGAAAGGATAGTGATGTTTAGACTACTTTAGACCCTATTTTGTATACTATACAGGGTGATGCGAACTGTATTCCGGAAAGTTCGGCAGCATATTCTGCAGATAAAAATAAATTTTTCTGCGAAAATATTGTTACGTTTTTCGTCGGTTCCGTGTGGATAGAAAGTCACAATTTATTTAAACACTATTTATTTAACACTAATTAACAAAAAAAACAATAACGATAAAAGACTTAAAGAACTATTTACAAACGATTTATAACTAAGAATTTATTTTGAATTTTAGCGCGTCAACTGTACTCGTCTATTTATAACTGCCCTCTATAGGCTCCAGCCGCCGGCTTTTATACCCACAGCTAAAGATTTCTAGAATAGTCCATAGATCGTTAGGTGCATAGAGAAGGTTTCGATTGTTCTCGTATGTACTACTCTATTTTTCTCGACCGTTCGAATGAATCATTACGGTATCTATTCTTTAATGCGATGTTAAGGTCATCTGAGGGCGGGACATATAGTTAGGTTAGGTCGAGTCCACACGCAGGGTTCGGAAAACTACATGTTACTTTTAAAAACTACATAAACTACATTACATGTAGTTAATGTAGTTTATGTAGAGGGTGTAGTTTATGTAACCTATGTATGTAACTTTCAAATATCATAGGTTTGAGGTGAGGTTATAATAAGTTGAAGCTTTAAAAACTCATACTGTATTTAAGAAAACAGAAGTAATATGACTTTAAATATAATATTTACATCATATTATCTCTATTTCATCTCATACAAAGGAAAATTGTTCATAATATCAATACATAGTTTATTAACGTAGTTTTCATGTAGTTAATGAACGGAAAAAGACGTAGTTTTTGAAGAAAAACTACACGTAGTTAATCAGGTAAATTACGTCTTAATTAACTACTTCCGAACCCTGTCACACGGGTCCTCAACAATATGATGAAAAAATAGTTTCTGTTGAACTTTTGGTACAAAAACATTTCAAATTTATCATCAACATGTTTAATTTATGTCAATGATGACAGCTATTGATAATTTCGATTCCAAATATCTCGGGAACCATTACTCGTAGCGATTTTTACCAAGAGACCTTTTTTACGTAAAAAATATCGTAAATGTATTTTTTCTTACTCAGTAGTTTTATACAGGTACGAACAAAAAGTTATTACTCTTCAAACCAGTTAAAAAAATATGTAGGTGACGCCCTCTACAAGTAGGAGTCATATTGACATCAAAATCAAATTTCTCATGTCAAAAACCTCCCAGTCACCAATTTTCATCCAAATATTGACGTTATTTCACAAATTATTTGAAAAAAATCGAAATAAAAATGAAACTTCTACACCCTGTATCTCCGAAACTAAGCATTTTAGTACATACATTTCGAACTTTTTACTTTTATCCACAGAATATGCTGCCAAAGTTTCCGGAATACAATTCGGACCACCCTGTATATAGAACTAACCTATGTAAAACCGTCTCAGGTACTGGCTTTTGTCAAAGCCCTCAGATGGAGAAAATAACGTAAGAAAAACAGATGTTTCAATACAAAATATACACGGTGTTTCAAAAATATTCACCTGTAGAAGTTGTCCCGTCACTGGATTGACTTTGATGATAGATCCTCCGCCGAACAAAGCTATCCACAGATTATCATCGTTGTCTATGGTCATGCCATCTGGTGAGCCTGTGACTGAAGGGAATTTCTCTATGTCAACTGACACACGGGGATTGGAAATGTCACCCTTTTCATCATCATAATCGTATTCCATGACCTGAAATTATAATAGTATATTTTAAATAAATTATAATAAAATATAATCACTAAAAAATGTATTTAAATAATATAAAAATGAACTGAAATATCTCTAAAATTTTTAAAACACATACCTTTTTAGATGGAGTGTCAATGTAATACATTTTATTATTAGCCTTGTTCCATGTAAGTCCATTGCTGATATTGACAGGTGCAATCTCTATTTTGGGGCTTAAAAATGTGTCCTTGGTAATCTTGTACAGAGCTCCTTGATTGGGTGCCAGTTGACGAGTTTGGGGATTTTCAAAACCCATAGTTCCTTAAGAAAGTTACTATGTAATATAAAATTACATATTTGTTGTTCTATGGTACTTACCGACCCATAATCTTCCTTGTTTGTCAGCCTTACCATCGTTGAATCTGCTCTGTGGAAACTGTGGTGCTACTGTAGTTAGAACCTACAATTAAATACATAATTAATTCCATAGTGCCTTACAAATAATTACTTTAAAATAGATATGATCATTCATGATGATAATTACTACTTTCAACTTACGCGTTTCGACTTGACGTCATTCTGTCCATCCCACTCAATTGCCATTAAGGATCTGTCCAAGCCTAGCACCAAAATATTCTCGTTCTTTTTGGCTGGTATCACTGAACTGACATCTCCTTTCAACGTGACAAAACTGACCTTCTTGGAATCGTAATTGTAGCTGAGAACCCTGCCGGCATGTATGTCCACGAAATATAGCAGATTCTTCCTACCTTAAAGAAATTGTAGTCTAAATACCATTAGTTAGTACGCCACTGGAAGAAAATCTATAAATCTTGGAGAATAAAATAAACAAAAAACTAAACTAACTAAACTAAAGAAAAGAAATAATAATCTGTCATACCATCCCACATAGGTCCTTCGCCGTGATCCACTGGTTGAGTGACTTGGAACACTGCTGGCGAGTCAAAATTTGGCAGCTCGTTTTTGGTCGCATCTTGAGACATAACACTAGCATTAAAAAACAATAGCCAAAATAAAATGACCGTCAAAATAACAAAATTTAAAGAAAAAAAAAATATTATTAGATGATTTCATTAAACCTAACAGACCTAACTAACCTAACCTTGCAGAGCTTCAGCATTTATCATAAAATAGCGAACAATTTGTTACAAAACCATATAAATTATATATAACTGTAATCACAAAACATCAATCTATTTCCGTATTGTAACGGAATTTTAAATTATGTCTTTATTTTCGAAAAAATTTAGTCCAAACATAAGGAATATTTTGTTGATGTTTGACCAAAAAAAATCTTAAAAATATAGAAGTTGTCTAAATCCGTATATGCTACAATACGGATATAGTATAATTCCCTATCTTTAATTTCCTTCTTCATTTGTGTAAAAATACCTAGCCATTTTTACATAAAACGTTTAGTTTTTGGGAAGTTCGTTACTTTACTGCTAGCTGTTTTTAATTCGTTAATTTGTGATTGTAGAGGTTCAGGACTATTGGTTCGGTTTGGACCCAAATTATCCCTGAAATTATTTTCACTAATTTTAAACACACCCTGTATAAATAACTAAAACGTTAATTTATATTAAAAACTGTGTTTTAAAATTAAACTACACAGCTGAAGTAATTTCATTATGTTCTTTGTGATTGATATTATTAATTTTTTATGAGTATGCCAGAAAAAAAATTGGACCAGTTTGTATACGTACAGCGAACGTGATCAAATAAAATCATTTTTTTTTTCTTGTTTCCTTGTTTCTCGGCTTCTTGCAAAGCAAAAGAAAGCAAGTTTAAAGGTTACACTCCTTTTTTATTAACGCTTTAATGCTTCAGGACACGAAATCCAATCTAGATTTTGTTGCAAAATAATTGAAATATATCTCGATTTGTTCTTTAGAAATTCGGTTCATGTGTCACTTAATTTCGTATGTTTTATTTTGAACCCGCTTTAAAACAGTACCTACATGGTGAGCCAGAAGGCAGAGTTTCAAAAAGAAACTCCAATCCAAACCATCCGAACCAAAAAAAGACTCATTTTCAAAGTAAAATAACTATATTTTGGACTTATTTGAAAAACGGAATAAAGAAAATACATTTCTTAGATCTACCAGCCCTGTGGAAATATGTACATTTATTTAAGACACGCCCAATACATTTTAAAACCAATTTTTATAAAAAAAAATTAAATTTCTTAAACATCCTATTGGATGGGCTGATTCATATCATTAAACTAAACTTATATCTTCCTTCATACATGCCTCTGACTATTATGTAATATATTTTAAGTATTAATCACCCTGTATATATTCATTTATACTCGACAGTATCTTCAGAAAAGATATACATATTTCAAAATTCTGTCTGTAAAATGTCTGTATTCGTTTTTTCTTATTCCTTATTTTAGATTCTGATGATGAAACCGAATCGTCTCGAAACAGTGACCATAGAAAATTTGGTTAATACCTTTATTTGTTAATAAATTTAGGTATAATCATATTATTAATACTAATTTTTTCTTTGAAATTATTAAATTCGATTTAATAAGTTTATAGAATGCTAAAAAAATGGTATACCTAGTTATATTTAATTGTATAGCCAAATTCGAATAAAATATAAATAAAATATATAGTGCAATACTGTACCTAATTAGTAAGTTCTGTTAAAATTTGTTTTAACAAATTTTGTATAGGGTATTTCGCTAAATATTTTGAAATTGTTGTAATTGGATTTGTTCTAATTTGGTAGATATTTGGCAGCGGTTCTTTAAAAATAAAATAATGATTTCAAAATAAAAATTCTAAAATTGTAAACTATTTATTTAATTTTGTACTACATTCTGATGATTTAATTTAATTTTTCAAATTGTTCAAACATTACAATCCTGTTTGTATTTTTACAGTTCCTGTATTTAGGTTTATATTATATAAACAAAAAAAAACACTGCAGACATACACCAAAAAGACTGTCATGATAAAGAATGTCAAAAATGTATAGTTTAAATAATTTAGTTGTGATACAGAGGGTTATCCCAAATCCGAGCCTCATCGTTCCATTAATTGGGATCTCCCTGCGTACAGGGTGTCCCATTTTCTTGTATTTTATGGGTTTTCTCGTTTATGAATAGAGATACAAAGATGCGGCTTTTACAACATTGTGATACTTTTTTATGAAACTAAGATGCTACACAAAGATTTGTCCTAGCCTTTTTAGTTCATGAAATACCGGATTAATTTGAACATGTTGCAATTTTTTACGCCCCTTGTATCTTGGATATCTTATAACTTGCTGAATCCTTTAGAGTTTTTTACATAGAATCCAGTGGCGTAACATGATTTTCGCTGGGAGATGTGATTTTCGAAATATAACTCAAACTTATTTTTTTTCAAGACGATTATATTTTTATTTTATTTGCACATTGAAATGAAATATACTCTATACTACTGGAAACCAAACTAACTACAGATTCTGGAAGTAATCTGTAAAACACATGAAAATGGGACACTCTCTATTCGAAGCTTTTAAATGGAATCGCCCTTTTCTATAGGAGATAGACAAAAACTAATATCGGTGTCTGGAGCTTAATTTTTGTCAAAAACATGATGGTGAAAACCGCATATCGATATCTGTTACCGTTTCGGAGTTACGGGGTGTTTTTCAAAAATATGCATTTTTAACAAATCGCTGTAACTTTTATGCTATGGAAAATTTTGTATTTTTATGAAAACTTTTCCAAAGTACTTTTTTACGTAAAATTTAATGGTTTAAGTATAATTTTTTTAAAATTAATAATTTAAGAGTTATCAACAAAAAATTTGATTTTTTATATGGGACAGCCTGTATATTTTTAGTTTATTGAAAAGAATTTAAAATTACCTTTCCAAAAATATGACACACATGATATTTTGCTCGATTCCTCTTCGAGATATAGAGTATATAAAAATTTGCCCGCTTTAAATAAGTAGGCTTTGAACGGCACCGGCTGTAATGCAAAAAATGTGAGCTGTGAGCATCAATTAAAACGAAAATAATATTTGCTATGAGAGATGCAGAATTTTATAACAATTTAAAATATATTTAACCAACATCAACACATTTAAACTATATCTAATAACAATAAAAATAAATAGCAAACCAAGACATGAGATTTTGCTATAGGTGTTCAACATATCAACCGTCTTCTGTTATGGACAGACGGGGCAGTTTTTGAACATTTTTCGCGGAATTCATTAACTCAGTGGGGGTGAAAGATACCCTCTCATAACTGCTAAGTATTTTTAATTCTTGTCTAGATTATACCGAAGAATAAGGAACCTTTATTCTTCCGCAAATATATCCATATAGGATTAGATCCATGGGCACTAAGTCAGGCGGCCTCGACGGCCAACGGCTGGGATCTTGGTTGGCTATTCAATTATTCTTGAAATTGGCTGCAAAAATTTGCTGATAACTTCAGCGTTCAGAGCCGGTGCGTCGTCTTGCTGGAAAAATATGTTTTCGAGTTCCATTAGAGGTATATCATCAATAAGGGGTCCAAAGCCTACTAGTTAAAAGTGGCGAACTTTTAAAAATTCTGTATTTCGAAGGGGATTATAACAAAATATCAAGTGTGCTATATTTTTGGAAAGGTAATTTTAAATTATTTTCAGTTAATGAAAAATATAGAGGGTGTCCCAAATAAAAAATCAATTTTTCTGTTGATAACTCTTAAATTATTAATTTTAAAAAAATTATACTTATACCATTAAATTCTACGTAAAAAAGGTGCTTTGGAAATGTTTTCATAGAAATACAAAATTTTCCATAGCAAAAAAGTTACAGCGATTTGTTAAAAATGCACATTTTTGAAAAACACCCCGTAACTCCGAAACGGTAACAGATATCGATATGCGGTTTTCACCATCATGTTTTTGATGAAAATTGAGCTCCAGACACCGATATTAGTTTTCGTCAATCTCCTATAGAAAAGGGTGGTTCGATTTAAAAGCGTCGAATTTGACCCACCCTGTACATGATTTATAATATATAGTTTTTAAATACGAACCTATGACTAAAGAATATAACTAAAATAACTAGAGACCACATAACTGGGTATTGCAGTACTACGATGCACTTTCCGAATTTTTTCATTGCACTAGATTAAACAAATCAACCGTATATATCGGAATTCGAAACAAAACTGGCGTTGGTAAAGACAGTCGCTGACATTTTGTTAGTAATTATTTCCACAGGCGACTACTCAACGCTTGGTTAGTCCGACCGTAGTTTTTTTCTTACATAAGTTAAAAAAATACAATATTTAAACAAAAGAACGTGCGGTGAGTTTCTTTTGGTAATGTATAATGTACCTTCGTTTTGGGTTCAGTGCCTGCTGCAAAATTCTGGGTACATTATTGCTACATAAAACAGATAAACTATAAAAAATGCAAGTACCATATGTAAAATTATTAGTTCAGTCATTGGGGATCAAAAAAAAGGCCTGCTTGGAAAAAAAAAGTTTTGAAACTTTGCAGGTTTATAGGTTTTGGGGTCCCTAACTAAAATCCATAAAATGGACATTTCCAGACTTGCCGCCGGCGCCTCCATCTTGCCAAGATGGCGCCCAAAATCGGTATTTTGTAAATATCTCGAAAACTATGCGTTTTTTGCAAAAATTTGAAGAGAGCAAAATTAAAGAGAATAAAATTTCCTATAAAATGGTTATATGAAAATTATCGCTAAAGTCAACTGTTTAGGCACAAAATCCCTGGAAATTTTACAATTTTGTGTAAAGTATGATATACATACTCTAGTCGATTTTCCGAAATCAAATGTCGATTAGTGTTCACTAAAACTAGTTTTAGTTAAGTTTCTTCAATTTTGTCATGAAACAGTGGCGTATCATTAATTCGCTCTTTAATTTATGAATAATTAATTGTCGTGCTGGACAGCATTCATTGCGAACTTACCACCAGGTTCAGCAGTGGTCTGGTTGTACCAAAGAAGAATGGGATTGGAAGAAAACAAAAACAGGCATTACTATCGAGTCACAACGTTGAAAGATCCAGCTCCAAAATCCCTAGTGGCATTTTTATCCTGTAAATGCAAAACCAACAACTATGGTAGAGCCTGCGGATGCAGAAAAGCAGGATTAAAATGTTCAAAGATTTGTGCATACTGCAATGGGAAATCCTGTGACAACGTCACTGAAGTGTGACTCGACGAATCCGATAAAGAGTTGAACTTGTCTGTAGATATCCCTCTGGCGGCTGAAGATGAAGAGTTGGACGTTTTGAGAGACCACCCTGATGAGCCCAGCACAGCAGACACGATCGACTTTGACATCAATGAGCCAGATCCGTCGGGCTTGTGCAGATTATTTAAAGTTTTTAATTTAGTAGTGGAGTAGGCCTCCGGCGAGACCACGTTAAAATAATTGGGCCATGTACTTCACCTCTTGGGTGGTGTGGAAACAAGTACACATTTTCAATAATTAAAATTAATTATATTTATAAATTAATGAGCGAATTAATGATACGCCACTGTTTCATGACAAAATTGAAGAAACTAAACTAGTTTTAGTGAACCCTAATCGACATTCAGTAGCGTAACTTCAAATGTGAGGCCCCCCGCAAGATTTTTTTGGGGTCCTTTTATTAAAATAAAAAAAACACACTAAAAAACATAATATAGCTTTATGTAGGTATATCAAGTCACTTAATATATAAAAACAAGAAATTAACTTATTCCACATAAGAAAAAATAATAATAAAGGAACATAAAAAATAAAACATTACAAAATAAATCAACATGAAACAAAACTAAGGTACTAAAAGAAAACTAAATAATAAAAATAAATAAACATAAATAGAATATTTCTAATAAAATTATGATTCAAATTAAAATAAATTAATAGGAACAAATAAAATGTAAAAAAGGAACAAATAATGCGGGGCCCCCAAAATCACAAGGCCCCCCCGCCGTCGCGGGTGCAGCGGGGCCTACGCTACGCTACTGTCGACATTTGATTTCGGAAAATCGACTATACATAATATATCATATTTTACGGAAAATCGTAAAATTTCCAGGGATTTTGCGCCTAAACGGTTGACTTTAGCGAAAATTTTCATAAAACCTTTTATATAGTAAATTTTATATTCTCTTTAATTTTGCTTTCCTCAAATTTTCGCAAAAAACGCATAGTTTTCGACATATTCACAAAATACCGATTTTGGGCGCCATCTTGGGAAGATGGCGGCGCCGGCGGCAAGTATATATAAACCTGCAAAGTTGCAAAACTTCCGGACTTTTTTCCAAGCAAAAATCCCCAATGACTGAACTATATAATATGGGGAATGTCATCGATGTTCATTTTTAAGCCAACTGGACGCCGTTTTTTTTTTCGATCATAAAGTATTTTATGTAAAAAACATTGAAGGTTTAAAATACCAGAAGGTGTACAAGAATCAAATGTATGTCTTCAGATGTGCATGGACAAAATATTTGTATTGGTCGAGCTTTATACAGGGTCCGGCAAAAGTGCGTCGGGCATCTGTAGCTCCTAGAATAAAAAAAACTTGAGAATTTTGTATAAGTAATATTCTCCGAAATTTTCAAATCATTCGGCCAAATATCGAGTCCTTGACACAGCATTTTAATCAAGCGTCATTAAATTATTACACTTGCTCTAAATAATACATGTTGCGAATGAATATGACACACTTTTTATTAAAAATACAATAGAATTATAAGTATATAAAATGTCAAAACACTGGCGTTTTTTTTACACGCTTTTTTTTTAATCGCTCAACGTCGTGTCTGTCCCACTGTGCGCCCGTATTTACCAACAAATCGCCGATATTCAAAGCTCTAATTATTTTTATCCACATGAACGTTTTGTAACATTTAATAATTTCACCAATTTTAACGTGTATCTAGTCGGCCATGCCGAGTGAAACTATTTAACTATAGATTTGCATCTACAATTAGAAAGAAGCCGTTTTTATAAGCTAGTACACATTATTTATTTAATATTGTCCACTTTCCTTTAATAATACCCGATAAAAAGTAGTAATTTCTTTTAAAAAATAAGTAATTAAATAAAAATTTCAAAAAGCGCAAATAAACTTGCATTTTTTCTCAATAGATGGAACCACGGTAGCTTTTAGTTCGCGGGTTGTGTCAGAGATGGTGCTATAATCGCAGAAAAAAAGATTTCTGTATAAATAAATTTACAGCTTCTATCACGAGATGGTACCACATATGATTTTACAGATAACTATACAAAAGAACCTACGCTATTTGTCAAAAGATGACAGAAAAATATATTTTAATCCAACTATTATATCACAGATGGAGCTATAATCGAAAAAAAAAGATTTCTGTAAATAATTTGGAAATGTCTAATGGTCCTCTAGAAGGACGAATAAATATCATTAATCATCCGGTAATAACAAATATCAACTGACTACCACAAGCTGCTGCTAGGATATTCTATTAATTTTAATTATATTTTTTAAACAATATGATAATGAGATTAAAGTTTTTCTATGCATTGTAAATCTCAGATTTGCGAAATTTTTGATGTAAAAACCGGACGATTAAATTATTATATTCGTCCGTTTAAGGAACCATTAGCAACAACCTAATACACCAGACAGATGTCGCTGTAGTCCAAAACAAACGTATTTTTCTGTCAAATTATTTTTTTTTAAATTTAACTTATAACAGTTTATAAAACTCTGTAAAACTTATTTAACTACAAAAAACATTAGTAAAATGGCTACAAAAAAGAAAAAGCAGCTTTTAAAAGACGACGAGATACGGGAGACTATAACTTTAGTGCAAAAACGTTTCCCACAATACCCTATTAGTCCAGCTATGATCAGAAACCCCTCAAAGGATTTCGTATTGGGCTTCTATTCGAGATGTGTAGAAGAGATAGAAAATGCCGTGGCTGAGGTCACAAGGACTCGTCGTCTGCATCTACCCTCGACTTTTAGCGAAGAAGAAGCGATTTTCTACAGACTTTCGAAAATTCCCATGCTCATGCAAGAGGTCGACTTCAAATTAGGCGACTTGTACCAATTCGATCCCAAAAGACTCAACACCCACATGTTTATAGTGGCCCATTTCATGGTCTATCTGCAGTCCATCAAGGACGAAACTACCCAGATATGCGATAGGGTGTTTGATGCCAAAGAGAAGTACAAACAAATCGAAGAAGATGTCCAAATGTTGAAAGAGAAAAAAATTCAAAAACAGGTAGATATTTTGTATAAGAATCAGTTGTGGTACTGTAATAATCTAGTTTATCTTTATTATAGCTTGTTTTAACAAACTTAAAGCAAATAAGTTTGGACCTGAAAGATGAGGCTGCCCAGTTATTGCCACACTACGAAAAAGCTATGGAATTGATAGAGAAATCAGAGGAAAAATGTAAAGATAAGCTTTTGGAGATAGAGCACGCCAAAAATGAATTGAAAAACTTTGAAGAAGAGGTAAAATATACCGTTTTAAACCATACTAATATTACACATTTTTTTGAACTGAAATATTCATTAAAGAAACAAAATATAGGGTTTTAGAAGGGCTCGGAGGGTAAAGATCAATTTTAAAGTGTTTTTTTTATTTTTTATTTTTAGACCTATTTTGTGTTTCTGCATTTTGTAGATAGAAAAACTTGAAAGAACAAAACAAGAGCTGCAAGGCCTGGTAATTACTGAAACTGAATATCACACTCTAAAAAATAAGCTGGAAAGTTTAAAAGTAGAGGAGAGTAACTTGGAAGATATCGATATCAATAATATTTTACTAGAGCAGAAACAGAAAATTGAATACCTCCAAACTTGTCTTGCTAAACTAGATCAGCTAGAATTACCTCCGGAACTTTATAAACTACACGAGTGTCGTGCTGAGTTAAAGGACATAGATCAAAAGTATAGTAAAATTCTAAGTTGTCGAAAAATAGACGTCATCAAAATATTTAATTTTTCATTTTTGATTTACTTTAGGTTAGAACATGTTATCAACTTGAAAAAAGAGAAAAAAGCTGAAATTGAGGCCCTGCAAGCGCAGTTAGAGTCAGAGAAATTGGATCTTGAAAAGGTGAAAAAAGATTTGAAAAATTCTCAAAAACGGGCCGATCTAGGTAGACAGAAAAAGGAAGAATTAAACAAAGCCAAAGAGTATGAAAAAAACAATAACGAATTGAAAAAACAAAAAAAGAAAAGGTACGCTTTGTTATTTAGTGTTTTTCGATATCTAAATAGTGTTTTATATAGGGTTTTAGAGAAAATAGAGGCCGATTACGACACTATAAAAGTAGATGTCGAGGAGAAATACGGACAGTATTGTCAGATTCAAGATGGAGCTATGAACAAATTAAAGTCGATTATACAGAAAACAAATCCTCAATTGCCTAAATAAAATTGTTTTATTAGTTTTTAAGATATAAGAATTTATAATTATTTGTATTTTTTATTTGCATAATTTTTGAATGGCAAGTGCCAAACATTGAAAAAAGAAGATGATTAGGAAATAACCTAGTTTTCTATCTCTTAAAATAAGATTTTTAAGTTTACTTTCTCGTTCAATAATGAGTAATTTCCAACAAATAAGATTTCTGAGTTCAATATCTGCCTCAATTACGCGACCACACAGGTTAACATACGTAAGGACATATCCCACGATAGTTGTTCAGCCAGATGGATCAACATTTAAAATTAGGTACCCAGAACCAAGACAAATTATTAAGGTACTTACTGTTTAGTTGAATTAACACAATTAACTGTGATTTAAGTCAATAATTCCTGTATTTAATATAGTTACCAATGAATATCTGGACTTTGAGTGAAGCCGAAAGAAAGGCTAAATTGGAAGCTAGAAAACCTAGAAAGAAGGTTGTTATCGAGGAAGATATCGAAGATTCCTTCGATTCCAGTACTTATTTGAAGTATTTAAAGAAAAAGAAGTAGTGTAATTTAGGAGAACAGATTATTTATTGAATAAATTAGTACTTTTTAAAATATTTTCCAAATTGAAATTCTTCTTTTTAAATTTTATGGCATTTGAATAAACGTAGTTTATTTATCTTCTGTGGTTGCTTGTCTGTTCCCCCTCCATTTTGGTGAAATTTCAACTAATTGACGTTGTCAAACGTACCTATCGAGATGAAAAAATATGTGGTGATCTTGTAATATTTATTTCCAAAAATTTCCGATTTAGAGTTAATTCGGTTTGATCAAATTTTTCGTGAATAGTGGTTCCATGTTCCTGTCGTTCAATTCAACAGCCAAATACGTTAATTATCCTGGTAGAACAGCGTTTAAAAAACCTTATAATCTGGGTTGGTGACAGTCAAAAAATTTCTAAATTTAATTATATTTCGACAACAATATTATTTACCTAGTGTGTCGAGAGATATATTTTCGCTTAAACCTGAAAAATCATCGTCTCACGTGAATCGATTGTTTTTGATAGATTTTTTGAGACTATAGAGTGATGCTGAAATAACAAATTTTTAAAGTATGTGCAACAAGAGGACTTATAGAACATCAATAACTCGTACGGAAATATGTACGAAATTGGTTAACGATACGTAATATTCCCGTCTAATATGATGTTTCCAATCAACAAAAATGAAGCCTGTTCGAAAGTTTCGTGTATATATGACACTCCCTGCGACCCGAAGGATAGTGACTACGAGAAACTGTTTTGCCCCAACAATGAACTATCAGAACCACCTCGGAGCCGATGCGATAAACTGAAAACGGGCTCCTCCTGTCAGGCCCTCAAACATGCCGTGGCAGCTCTGCACAGACTCGATGATTTTTTCACTGAAAAAATTGGATCGGGATTTTTTTCAGAGGTTTTTAAGGTAGGTAATCTTAAATCTAATGACATACATATCCTGCCTAATCAGGGATTATAAATAGATTGTTTATCTTTACAACAATAGTCTGTGTGTATACAGCATGTCCTCAGTTATCAGTAATTATCAAATTACATGATCTCTTTATTGTTGATTTTGCAAATATTGTATTGTATAGGGAGAAATAACAAAATATCCATATCAAAATCATTTTAAAATAAGATTGAAACACCCTCTATATGATGACACTGACAGTCAAATTTTAATACAGACCTACATTTTTATTCAAAGTTTTTTTGCTGTTATTGACAGAATTCGTTACTGCACAGAATAATAAAAATTACTTGGTTTGTTTATGTAGGTCGCTCAGAGGGTCAAAATGAAGCCAAACCTTGACAGGTTCCTTATTTGTAAAGGTTAAGGCAAATGGTCTTTATTTTGCACTTGTTCCTGTAATTTAATTTTTATTGGTTAATAATTTTGTTATATTTGTCCTCAGTAGTTTTTAAAAATAGTTATATACATTAATAAAATATTTACACACTCAATTTAGAGATAAAACTGATATTATACAGGGTGTTTCAAATAATATGCGCTATCTCTCGCTTGGGGAGATTCCTGACGTAAAAATAAGTTTATTTTTTATATGAACATCCAATTCTGCTTTGTTTCGTGGCTACGGGGGGTTAAAATCTTAATTTTTTTTATTATAATTTTCCTGAAAGTGCTTTTAGCGATTTAAATGAAATTTTGAAGGTAAAAGTCACTATAGTCTGTGAAACGAATAACTTTGAATTGGACAGTTCCCGCGGGCTTTTCTAGTGTAAATTTTATTAGGTTAGCAACTTGCCGCCATGCTGATGCAATGCCGTCTCTAATAGAACAGCCTCAGAGCGAAATTTGTGACGTCACGCTAGTTAGATACTACGGATTAATTATGTTGTAGAATACACGGAAAACATAATTATACCTCGTATATGTAATTTTTGAATTATATTCGACACTATTTTTTTCATATGACACAACACTGATGAAGGCTATAAACGTTAGCTATATAATATAATGAAAAACCAAATTAAAACTTAATCAGAGTTTTTCCCGAACCTAAATCCCAAGAAAACCAAAAATTTTAAAATACTTTTACATATAAAATGACAGCGATCTTTATTTAATAGCCATCGCTGACGCCTTTTTTTCTATGATATTGTATTATTTGCAAATATAATTTTTCGAACATTGCTGCTTTCAAAATATACATATAAATTTTGTGAATGCAAATAATAATATATTACTATTAGTAGATATTGAATGTTTTTTGTTAAATTAGATCGATTTTCAAACACCAAAATTTAAAATATATTTTACATTTTACCCATTATCTTATGTACCTATTCATTATTTGTGTATTGTAAAACATTTGCTGCATTTGTATGGTTCATAATTTATTTGCCAAAGTATTTATTACTATAAATAGGTATACTATATTGTATTTATTAACTGTATATTATGTATATTTCATGTAAACTATATGATTTTTAAAATACAAACCAAAAATACGAGGAATATTTATGTTTTCCATGTATTCTACAACATATTTATTAATCCGTGGTATCTAACTAGCGTGACGTCATAAATCTCGCTCCGAGGCTGTTCTATTAGAGACGGCATTGGTCTGATATTTAGAAATGTCAAAGGCTGATGACATTTTACTTTTGTCAATTATGACATTTTGCGTTGATTTTTGCAAGAAGGGAAGAACTGTCACTTGTTTTATTATTTTCCTTTTCTATTTCACGAAAGTAAAAAGAGTCACCTATTTGATTCGTTCAGGCCTTTTCAGGCACTCATTTTAAAGAATATCAGTAACTTTTTGGACAGAGGGATTTTATATTTGCCATGTTGGTAAAAAATAACGGTCATAATTCAAAGTTATTCATTTTATAGACTATATAAGTGCGACATATCTTTTAATGTTAAAAAAGTGTCAACAGATTCACCAGGGACGGTGAAAAAAAAAGAAACATGTGCGCCCCTGAGTTTTTATTCTTTTGTCAGTAAAATTTCGGTCAAAAAAACTGTAAAAATAACACCTTACTAAAAAAATAAAACCAAACTGTATATTTGAATAAAAACATAAGATTAATCTACAATAAATACTAACAGACTATCAATCAAATTTATGACATGAACTTAAATACTCAATATTTAAAAAAAGCCTGAAATTGATATATTATTAATAACTCAAAATGTTGTAATATTAGTTTTGCTATTATTGCAGTCAACAAGCGATATTTATTTATATTAGTATTTATTACACATAATTCTATAAAAACAAACAACTTTAACTATTTTTAAATTTAATTATAAATAAAACTGGTATAGTCTGTAAAACGAATAACTTTGAACTTGACAGGTCCCGCGGGCTTTTCTAGTGTTAATTTTGTTAGGTTAGCAACTTGCGGCCTTGCTGACGCAATGCCGTCTCTAATAGAACAGCCTCAGTGCGAGATTTATGACGTCACGCTAGTTAGATACTACGGATTAATAAATATGTTGTAGAATACATGGAAAACATAATTATTCCTCGTATTTTTGGTTTGTATTTTAAAAATGATATAGTTTACATGAAATATACATAATATACAGTTAATAAATACAATATATATACCTATTTATAGTAATAAATACTTTGGCAGATAAACTATAAACCATACAAATGCAGCAAATGTTTTACAATATGGCTGAAATCGTACTCCATAGTCAATGTAGATAGTTTTTGTATTAAGAATAATAATTTAAAAAATATGTGGTCATCTTTTGACAAGTTTATATTAGTTTATTAATTGCAGTAAACATTATAATATACATATAAATAAATTTTGTGATTTAAATAATAATACATCACTATTAGTAGATATTGAATGTTTTTGTTAAATTAGATCGATTTTCAAACCCCAAAATTTAAAATATATTTTACATTTTACCCATTATCTTATGTACCACCTATTCATTATTTGTATATTGTAAAACATTTGCTGCATTTGTATGGTTCATAGTTTATTTGCCAAAGTATTTATTACTATAAATAAGTATATATTATATTGTATTTATTAACTGTATATTATGTATATTTCATTTAAACTATATCATTTTTAAAATACAAACCAAAAATACGAGGAATAATTATGTTTTCCATGTATTCTACAACATATTTATTAATCCGTGGTATCTAACTAGCGTGACGTCATAAATCTCGCTCCGTGGCTGTTCTATTAGAGATGGCATTGATCTAATATTTAGAAATGTCAAAAGCTGATGACATTTTACTTTTGTCAATTTTGACATTTCGTGTTGTTTTTGCAAGAAGAGGAAGAATGTTTTATTATTTTCCTTTTCTATTTCACGAAAGTAAAAAGAGTTACCTATCTGATTCGTTCAGGCACTAAATTTAAAGAATATCAGTAACTTTTTTGACAGAGGGGTTTTATATATGCCATGTTGGTAAAAAATAACGGTCAAAATTCAAAGTTATTCATTTTATAGACTATATAATAAATATTACGCTGTTGCATTTTTTCCATATTTTTCCCTTACAAGTTAAATTTTCTGCGATGTGGCAACATGGGTATATACACGGTGTCCCATTTAGGAATGCACACCACAAGGATCTCGTAAAGTAGAGGAGATAAACGAGAAACTCTATAAAACGCACGAAAATGGGACACCCTGTACGATTTGAAAGACAACAACATGATAAAAATAGTGTTTATGTATTATTTTTGTGTTATTGTCGGAATAATTATTTTGTTTGGATTAGAACCAATAAACTCCTTGTGTTCGCAGGTGACTCACAAGGTTACCGGTCACATTATGGTCTTGAAAATGAATCAGCTGCGATCGAACCGTAGGAATATGCTTAAAGAAGTGCAATTAATGAATAAATTGTCCCATCCAAATATACTTAGGTAAGTAATGATACAGGAAACTCAATAAACAGCGTGTAATCGTCTTAGTATGATTGCGTTCTTCAATAGGAACTTTTATCATTTTTAATGATACAAGGGTAATTTGAAAACTATGATCAACATTGATCAAAGTTCTTGACACTGATAGACGTGTGTGTCATTTTAATTATTTTATTATAAAAAAAATAAGTTGTTAAAAAAACAGGGTGCCAACATATTCTGCAGATAAAAATAAGTAAAAAAGTTCGTATAAATGTATGTCTTAAAATGCTTAGTTTTGGAGATACAGGGTGTAGAAGTTTCATTTCAGTATATCCCTTAAACCCTTTGAATAAGAAGACTAAGGAAGGAGCATAATGCTATCCATGTATTCATGCATGGTGGGCGGAAAAGCCACCATAAAAGCTCTCTAGGGTGGGGATCCTTGACAGTTCTCTTTGACGATTCATTTGACACATTTGAATTTGATTTGAAATTTTGTGGATTTGTCAGTCTTTACGGAGCTTATTTTATGTTACTTATTATTTATTCTACTACTGATAGTTGTATAAAGGTAGTAAATGTAGATGGAAATTGTGGCAGAACTTAAATTAACAGTGACATTATCGCGATTTATCGAAAAAAACTCTAAAATAGTTGGTTGTGTAGCGTGCGGTAGATCTCGGAAAAAATTGAGTGAAATAATGGAACAACTTTTCGCTAGTAAGTGACTATATAATATACATACATGTAGTAAACCGATCATTTATGAAATTCACTTAAATTAACTAAATTATATATTTTCTTGCATTTTAGCTTTTATTCACTACTTGTCAAAGATCAGATGTCAAAGAATTTTGATACGTTAATTTGACTTACCTGCTTCAGTAGCGTATCGGATGTTTGTGTTAATAAATACTTATTTAACTTATCTATTTTTATTAGAATTATATATTTTTATAACAATTTTAATAACTACCAACATTTATTCACAACGTAAAATAAAACAACAAATTATTGAGTCTATCCCACGTCTACCCTACATCATAGTTTTACATTTTTTAAATAAAATTAGAACGACACTGATAAACCGGAATTTAAGTCGGCCATATTTGAGGCCCATCGCGGTGTACCTAAGATTTTTGATATGCTCCTTCCTTAGTCTTCTTATTCAAAGCTTAAACCATACTTTTTAATGATACAAGGGTAGTCTGAAAACCTTCTATGATTTATATTATTGCTAACGTCTATTTGATTAATATTTTCGTAAACAAAATGTAGGTTAATGGGTGTTTGCGTCCACGAGGGTCAACTTCACGCCCTCACAGAATTCTGCAACGGAGGATCACTTGACCAGGTGATCCAGAACAAATCCGTAGGCTTGCCGCAGGACTTGAGGGTCAATATCGCCCACGACATTGCCTCCGGCATGGAATACCTTCACTCCAAGGGTGTATTTCACAGGGACTTGACCAGTAAGGTAGGTGTATAGTTCATCCACTGATAAAGGGCATCCCCATATAACGGGGCATTGGTAAATTATGTAAGTATTTTTATTGCTTTTTCAGAACGTTCTAATAAAAAAGTTGGACAATGGTCACAGGCAAGCTGTTGTGGGTGATTTTGGCCTGTCAACTTCGATTCCTGATCACAGTAAAAAAACGAAACTTTGTACAGTCGGGTCGCCATATTGGATGTCCCCAGAGTGCCTTAAGGTAAGCGAATATACAGGGTCATTTATAGATACCACTTTTAACAACTGTTTATATTTTTATTTCCTTCAGAATATTTACAATTCTTATACTGGGTGCGTCTCAAAAGTATCCCTACTCATCCCTATAAATTTTTTATTTGTTCAGATAAAAAAAGAGATTTGGTATGTTAGTTTATGACATCAATTAGGATTGACTGACGTATTCAATTGTTTTTGGTCACTTCCTGTTTCACCGGAAATGACTACAACTTTTGATTTTTAAATGACACCCCCGGTATTTTTTTTTTTACTTTATTCGATAGAAAATGAGACTCAGACTAGAATAACATATGATATGTCAACTTTTGACATTTTCGCATATGGTTTGTTTGAAATTGTAACCTGCGGTTCATAACGACAATTTGATTTGAAATACCAAGTGTGTGGTACCAAATTATTCATAAAAAAATGCCTTTTCCAAATATGTTAGTGAGCCACCCTTGTTCCATTTGAAAAAATTGAGATATGATTAAAAATACGATTTGATTGTCATTTTCTATCCAATAAAGTAAAAAAATACCTATGGTGCCTTTTAAAAATTAAAAGTTGTAGTCATTTCCGGTGAAACAGGAAGTGACCGAAAACAATTGAATACGTCAGTTAATCCTAATTTATGTCATATACTAACATAGCAAATCAATAGTTTTTTATCTGAAAAAATAAAAAAGTTATAGGGGGTTAGCCACTTCTGAGACGCACCCGGTATAATATATTCAAAAAATAAGTTAACTTGCAACTTTTTACATTTTTGATATACTTCTATTTAGTGCCAAAAATAAGAATTGCGACTACCATCCCAAATTAAATTTCTAATAAATAATAAATTCGTTTGAAACTTTGAAAAGAGCGCACTTTTTCCTTTTTTGTAAAATACTCTTTTCTGGGGCTTACTCAACCGGGTCTCACAATGCAAATTCACCTCAAATATCCATTTAATTGGTCATTGGCAAGCTGTCTCTCATTGTACATGAAAATAACAAAACAAACATTTACAGATCTGGATAAAATTAATATTTAAATAGTAAAACTCACCCGGGGGTACTCCGCCCCCTAGCTACTGATATTCTATTCAATATATTCCTTTCCATATCTTCCATCTAATGCAAATATTATTCGGATCTATTGGTTAATCTTCAACAACTAGCTGATGTCATCTGAAATAAGTATAGAGGCTGTCCCCGGACGCAAATCTGCCGCTAAACAGATTCGCATCCCTAATAGTCAAAAAGACTCGCAACCTTAATAGTCAAAATGACTCGCTACCTTAGTCAAAAGACTCGCATCCTTAATAGTCAAAATGACTCGCAACCTTAGTCAAGACTCGCATCCTTAATAGTCAAAAAGACTCGGAACCTTAGTCAAAAGACTTTTGTCTAATCGACTTTCAAATAGGGTGTTTTAACATTACTAGATAAATAAATAGAGAGTTTCCGAAGGAATGCATATTCTTTATTAGAATAGTGAATAATAAAACCATTATTTTAACAAACTTATTTTCCAAGTTTTACATTTTCTTTTTTCTTTTCCTAGGGTACTACTGTATAACTAATGTACTACTGTTTTTTTTTTACTTGTCCATTTCAGGGTGAGTATTACGACTATTTACAGATCTGGATAAAATTAAAATTTAAATAGTAAAACTCACCCGGAGGTACTCCGCCCCCTAGCTACTGATATTCTATTCAATATATTCCTTTCCATATCTTCCATCTAATTCAAATATTATTCGGATCTATTGGTTAATCTTCAAGAACTAGCTGGTGTCATCTGAAATAAGTATATAGGCTGTCCCCAAATCTGCCGCTAAACAGATTCGCATCCCTAATAGTCAAAAAGACTCGCAACCTTAATAGTCAAAATGACTCGCAACCTTAGTCAAAAGACTCGCATCCTTAATAGTCAAAATGACTCGCAACCTTAGTCAAGACTCGCATCCTTAATAGTCAAAAAGACTCGCAACCTTAGTCAAAAGACTTTTGTCTAATCGACTTTCAAATAGGGTGTTTTAACATTACTAGATAAATAAATAGAGAGTTTCCGAAGGAATGCATATTCTTTATTAGAATAGTGAATAATAAAACCATTATTATAACAAACTTATTTTCCAAGTTTTACATTTTCCTTTTTCTTTTCCTAGGGTACTACTGTATAACTAATGTACTACTGTTTTTTTTACTTGTCCATTTTAGGGTCAGTATTACGACAATTTACAGATCTGGATAAAATTAATATTTAAATAGTAAAACTCACCCGGGGGTACTCCGCCCCCTAGCTACTGATATTCTATTCAATATATTCCTTTCCATATCTTCCATCTAATTCAAATATTATTCGGATCTATTGGTTAATCTTCAAGAACTAGCTGGTGTCATCTGAAATAAGTATATAGGCTGTCCCCAAATCTGCCGCTAAACAGATTCGCATCCCTAATAGTCAAAAAGACTCGCAACCTTAATAGTCAAAATGACTCGCAACCTTAGTCAAAAGACTCGCATCCTTAATAGTCAAAATGACTCGCAACCTTAGTCAAGACTCGCATCCTTAATAGTCAAAAAGACTCGGAACCTTAGTCAAAAGACTTTTGTCTAATCGACTTTCAAATAGGGTGTTTTAACATTACTAGATAAATAAATAGAGAGTTTCCGAAGGAATGCATATTCTTTATTAGAATAGTGAATAATAAAACCATTATTATAACAAACTTATTTTCCAAGTTTTACATTTTCCTTTTTCTTTTCCTAGGGTACTACTGTATAACTAATGTACTACTGTTTTTTTTTACTTGTCCATTTCAGGGTCAGTATTACGACGAAAGGAGCGACGTGTTCAGCTACGGCATAGTGCTGTGCGAGCTGATAGCTAGGGTGGAAGCTGATCCTGATCAGCTGCCCAGAACTGACAATTTCGGCTTGGATTACATAGCTTTCACGGAACTGTGCGGTCCCAACGTAGTACCTGACTTCTTAAATCTAGCTTTTAAGTAAGCAACACCTATTATTATTGTTTTATTTTTTTTTTAAATATTTGCAAAAAGTGGCAAATTCCCATGTAATTTAAATGGGACATGAATCGTCTTTGGGGCAGTGGCTCATCCAGAGATTGAGTCTGGGAGGGGTAGTAGCATAGACTTAAAATAAAATATAGACTGAGCATCTCATTCATAAATAGCTGGAACATGCGGTCAGACAATGTCTTGTTATTGTTGTGTTATTGTTTTAGGTTATAACGAGTGCGACACGAGCGATAGATAGGTTGTCTCTGTCGTAACGGTCGTTCCCTGACGACTCTGCCGAGAAACACAACACTGTCTTTCGTTTCTCAAGTACACCTGAACTCTCCGTATCATAGCCGGGTAATTTTTTTATTTTAATGAAGCTATAATTAAATTAAAAATATATCGTATTGAAACTTTTTTATATTTTATTAAGATTTAAGACAGGTTTTTTAAATAAAAGTTTAGAAAAAACGTCTTAGAGTCCAAAAAGGATAAAAATATTAAAATACACGTCATAGAAGAAATTTTATAATCGAAATTACGTAATTTTTGAAATTAATAATAAATTATTAATTTTAGTCAAACATTTACAACCCCTAATATTAATCAAAACAGGATCTATTCCACAGATATAATAGAATCGGCGACAGGGAGAAAAAAAAAATATGATTGTTGTAATTTTATTTCTGGTTAAGTGATGTCTTATTATGTAAATTAGAGAAAACATAAACCTGTTCCATTAAGCAAGGAAGGTGATAGGAAGTGGATAAAATGAAAACTACATTTATTTAACTCGGTACTGTCTTTATTATACCGGGTGCGTCCCAAAAGTGGCTCATCACCATAATTTTTTTATATTTTCAAATAAAAAAACAAGATTTAGTATGTTAGTATATGACATAAATTAGGATTGATTGACGCATTTAATTGTTTTTGGTCACTTCCTGTTTCACCGGAAATGACTATAACTTTTAATTTTTAAACGGCACCCTCGGTATATTTCAACTTTGTTCGATAGAAAATGACACTCTGAATAGAATGACATATCATATGTCGACATTTGACATTTTCGCATATGGTTTAACTGTAATTGTAACACGCGGTTCATAACGACAATTTGACTCGAAATACCAAGTCTGTGGTATCAATATATTCATAAAAAAATGCTTTTTCCAAATATGCTAATGAGTCACCCTTGTTCCATTTGAAAAAATTGACATATGTATGATTAAAAATACGATTTGTACATATTTTAACCGGCCTAGACAAGACACGAAACCCATTAGACGATCAAAACTATTTTTCCAAGGCTCCTTGATTAAAACTTAGTGTTTTTAACAACACCGTGGCACCCTGGATTGAAATTTAAAATACGATTTGTTTTTAAGCGACAATGTCAAAAGTTGACATATGATATGTCATTCTATTCAGAGGGTCATTTTTTATCGAATAAAGTAGCAATATATACCGAGGGTGTCTTTAAAAATCAAAAAATGTAATCACTTCGGTGAAACAGGAAAAGACCAGAAACAATTGAATACGTCAATAAATCCTAATTTATGTCATATACCTACTAACGTACAAATCTGTTTATCTGAAAAAATAAAAAAGTTATAGGGGGTGAGCCACTTTTGAGACGACCCGGTATATTAAAAAATATTGTTTCATAATGTAATATCATTTTAAAATTCTTGTATGTTATTTTAGATTCTGAAGATAACTTTAGAATAAACCGGAATATATTTAAAAAAACATTATTAATTATTAACAGGGTTATAATTATGATTTTGTTACAATGTAAGTAAGTAAATAATGTAACGTAAGAGAAAAAATTCAGATTTTACATTTTACTAAAATATTATCTAAATAAGCGCCTTTCTACAACAACGCCACTGACTTCCAATGGGTAGATTGAGAGTTGCCTACCGGTCGAAAGTCGTTTCAAGACTTAAATGGATTATTTAAGTCAAATTTCTTGCAAATTTGGCACTGGCAAACTATATTTTATAGTTCTTCAACAGAAAAAGTCAATAAAATAAACACTTAAGGACTACAAGCTAAGAAAATGCGTTAATACAGCCGGGGACACAGCGGCAACAAAGCTTTACCGCACACGTGCGACGCGTACTACAAGGTAATAAATGAATGAATGGGCTCCCTCGCCTCTAGTCGGTGTTGTCATATTTTAAAGAACTTATCCTTTTTAAACAGTATCCGACTTATAATTTAGTAGTATAAGGACTATTTAATACATCTATGGAATATTAAAACCTACTTTATTAAATTGTATTAATATCTCAATATATGTGTATAACAAGAAAAAAAAATTGATAATATTAAAGACGTGACAACATAGGCTGGATGAGGAAGACTCGGTCGACTGTACCCAGAAGTAAACATGTGTACAAAAAAGATTGTTTGACCGCGTTGAGATGTAAATAGTGTAGTCTATATTTTATTTTAAGTCTATGGGTAGTGGCAATACTTAAATAAAGTAAAAGATTTAAATTAAATTTTCGCTCAAAGGTATTGTGACTAATATAAAAACAATAAACTATTGTTCTGGATTTCTATTTTGATTGACATTATTAATTTATTTTGTGACAATTTTATTGTTATACCAGATTTTCTTATTTATAAATTTCTTCCTGAGAGGGGTAGTTACCCCCATTAGCCCTCCCGTATATACGCCCCTGCTTTGGGGCAAGGTTTATTGTGAATATTAAGAGTTTACAATGGACTGTTATTTTTTTAGACAATAAACTGAAAATTTAGAGGGCGTCGTCGTGAGAAAAATGATCAACTTTGATATTTATATACAGTTTGTTAAAAAAATCATGGAAATAGGACTAAAAATAAAAAAAATATAACATTTTAAACTTAACGAAAAAAATTTTTCCGTTGCGTTTTTTTTTGCTTGCCTTGACACATAAATATCTATTCCATCCCATAGATGTTGCAACGTGGATCCGGCGAGTAGACCGACATTCTCCGACATCAGGCCGACCCTGGTCGACATTCTAGCTGACCTGAAGGCGCTGACCGCCCAGAGGGAGGCAGCGATGTCCAGCTACGCGGCCAAGAGCGAGGAACAGCTCCCGGTGGCCCCTGTCCACCAGGGTACCGCTCCGCAGCACCGAAAAAGTACGTACTTTGCTAGAATAGTGCGGGGGTTGACGTGGGTTTTTGGGCTTGGGTCCTGCCCTGGATACGGCAGGATTTCGGCCGGTAGGGCGTTGCTAAGGCTTGTACTGGTTTGATATAGATAATACTTGTTTTTGTTTGGTACAGGAAATATATCATTTATTTTTTAGTTGTGGTGTTGTTATTGATGTTTAGGTTTGGTTGTGTTGAAGTGTGTTGTTGAGTGTCTTATTATAATTTTACTAGGGTGTCCCAAAAAACTGGTAGTATAGTTCAACCCTATAAACACGCTAATTTGAAAATTCAACATTTTTTGGAATTTTTTTTAGTTTTTAGTTAAAATACATAATTTCTTGATAATATGGCAACATAGGTATTAATTAAATTTACAAGAAAGAAAATCCAGAAAAGATCCAGTGGTTCTCAAAATTTTAGAAAAAAATCTTTTTTTTTGGAAATTTACAAAGCAGAATAACTGCGTTATTTTGGACTTATTTGAAAAACGATAAAATAAACTTTTATCGAGATCTACCATCCCTTGAAATACTTGCACTTATTTCTGGGACACCCTGTATAATTTTTTTTTTCAAACGTCACAAAAGTATTTATTTTTGCGACGTGATGACAACAAAGATTGTAAGTTAATTTCTCGATATATAATTACTTACAACATATTACTTTTAAATAGTTGTTTATTATTTGCAACGATTAAAATGGTTTAAAAAATGATTTGTGACGTTTGAAAAAAATAGCATGTTCTATTTGGGGTAAAAATGACTTTTTGTACCTCCCCTGTAATGTCAAACGTACAGCCTAGCCACAAAAAGTATCATTTTTACTCATAATAAAACAACACACTATTTTTTTACTAAAAATTATGGGATACACACAGGGTGTTCAAAAAATGCACAGCCAGATTTCAGGTTATTCCTCATCAACAACATAGGTCTGAAAATACGTAGTTTTAAAGATACAGGATGTTTTAAAAACATTTAAAAAATATTTTATTTTGTAATTATCATAAATGCCCTAGGGGTGTCTCACTTGTGTGAAAAATGTACATGTACTGCCAAAATATCATTTTCCTGCCAAGCGACTGCCAATGACTGCGAAAAAGCCTGCCTATGAATGCCATGTTATTATAGGCGACTGCTGTAAAACTGCCAGCGACTGCCAAGAAAATGCACATATAATTCCAATAGCAAGACACCCCTCATAAATACCTTATATAGTCTATAAAATGAATAACTTTGAATTTTGACAAAAAAGTTACTGATATTCTTTAAATCAGATAGGTAACTCTTTTTACTTTCGTGAAATAGAAAAGGAAAATAATAAAACAAGTGACAGTTCTTTTTCTTCTTGCAAAAATCAACACGAAATGGCATAGTTTTCAAAAGTAAAATGTCATCAGCTTTTGACATTTCTAAATATCAGACCAATGCCGTCTCTAATAGAACAGCCTCGGAGCGAGATTTATGACGTCACGCTAATTAGATACGGATTAATAAATATGTTGTGGACTACATGGAAAACATAATTATTCCTCGTATTTTTGGTTTGTATTTTAAAAATGATATACTTTACATGAAATATACATAATATACAGTTAATAAATATAATATATATACCTATTTATAGTAATAAATACTTTGGCAAATAAACTATGAACCATACCAATGCAGCAAATGTTTTACAATATACAAATAATGAATAGGTGGTACATAAGATAATGGGTAAAATGTAAAATATATTTTAAATTTTGGGGTTTGGAAATCGATCTAATTTAACAAAAAACATTCAATGTTGTATTATTATTATTATTTTAAAACAAATATGTTGTAATATTATTTGCATTCACAAAATTTATATGTACATATATTTTGCAAGTAACAATGTTCGAAAAATTATATTTGCAAATAATACAATATCATAGAAAAAAATGCGTCAGCGATGGCTATGAAATAAAGATCGCTGGCATTTTATAATGTTAAATTATTCTAAAATTTTTGATTTTCTTGGGATTTTAGGTTCGGGAAAAACGCTGATTAAGTTTTCATTTGGTTTTTCATTATTGCATATAAAATATTCACACCACACACCACATAATGTTCAGTGCAATTAATAAACTAATATAAACTTGTCAAAAGATAGCCACATATTTTTTAAAATTATTATTCTTAACACTAAAACTATCTACATTGACTATAGAGTACGATTTCAGCCATAGTCAAATATAAGGAATAATTACGTTAGCGTGACGTCATAAATCTCGCTCCGAGGCTGTTCTATTATTGACGGCATTGCGTCAGCATGGGCGCAAGTTGCTAACTTAATAAAATTAACACTAGAAAAGCCCGCGGGAACTGTCAAATTCAAAGTTATTCGTTTCACAGACTATAGCTGACTTTTTTTATTGAAATTGTTCAGTGTTATTTCTAGTAATAACAGGCTTTTTTAACGGTTTTTTTTGAACACCCTGTATACACGGTGCAAATTAATCAGTGCGAAATAAAAAATGTACAAACAAGTATCTGAATATTGCCCGTGATACTCTAGTTTTTTTTTATTCAGAAAATAGTCAGGAAATGAAAAATATAGTAAAATATTAGAAGTATAGTCTGTTCGTCAATCGTCCAACGTTACGTCATCGTGATTTATCTAATACCCGTTTAGGCATGTGTCTGAGATCAATTCTTATTCTTTACAAAATTTCTTGTAGATAGGTTTGGTCTTTTTTCTAAAAATGGTGCATTTTTAGACACAACAGACACATTTTATTTGACAGAACGGAGTCCTCTTTTAATGTTGACACTGATCAATATCCGTCAATAGGATCATAACCAAAAAAATTACAAACGTGAAAGAAAGAGTGCGACAATATATGACGTAACGTTGTACAATGATTATACAGACTTGAGGTGTTGAAACCAGTATTGCCAACTTAGTTTAGCGGGTAAACATTTCATTTAGCGACTAGCGGTATATTTAGCGGTTTAAAGTTTTGAATAAAAGTACAATTATTGACAAAATTCTAAACAATGATATTTTTTTCAAAATTTCCATCAATAATCGTATAATTAGCATGTATTATAAAGTACCTAAGTCTAAAATTTTCAAAGACACCTTAAAATCCGTCTATCCGGACCTTACCGAAAGGTTCAAAACTAGGCAACACAGCAAAATTTCAGTTTCAATATCGTTGGCAACCCTGGTTAAAACTATTAAAGAACGCATAGCTTGATTTAATACGCAAATACTGTTATCTTTTTGCACGCTTTTTGAATGTCAAGTTTTAACAAAATAAAATAAGAGGTAAGAATTATTATTACAACAGGTCTTGGCACGTTTCTTTTTTTCAGTATTCCATCGACGGTCCCTGTCCGAAGACGTGTCCAAACTGGCCATCTTCGCCTTCTCCTGCCCCAGCGACAAGGCTCGCCGACACGCCCTCACCATGTGCAAACTCGACCCTCATTACATACCCCGCAAATCCAACCCTTTCGCGGCACTTACGCAGTTCCACGGCGCCAAAAAAGTCCTGGGCAACTCCTCTTGTTGCGAACTACCCTTGCACATCGTCGAACCACCCCCATCGGCCGTGGAAACCCCCAAATCACTACCCGGATCGCCTACTTGCGTGAGGAAAACCGCCAAAAGCAAGTCTTCCTTATTTGCTCACCCGTTATACAAAGGGGGGTCAAGCTGTAACCTGTCTGACACAAACGATTCTCCTGCTAACCTCAGGAGAAGAGGATCGTGTGAATCGGGGTTTTATTCTTCGGTAGGTGAGTGTCTTTCGCCGAACAGCCTCTGGGGTGACAGCGGAACAGCTGTCAGTTCATTAAGATCCCTTGACGAGCTCGACCTGGAACTCCAAGCTCTCTGCAAGCGTGCTTCTTCAATCTACACTGACAGTAGTGAAGATATCTCTTCCCTAGCAGGTTCAGACTGTTTTGCAGACCTCCAGCCTAACATTTCAAGCATAGTAGACTACTTTGAGAAGAAAGGAGCCAATTTCAGGCACTGTTCTAACTCCAGGTCAGGCTTACAAGCTAGTTCAAGAATAGCAGCCTTGAGGAGGGCTTTGGAGAAGCATAATTCTGCTGGAGGTTCAGGCGGACCGTCCCATCCAGGTCCTCAAAGGTTAAAATGTTCTAGGCTGATGATTTGTGAGGGAGCAGTGAGGTCTAAGTTGCCTTTGTTTGATAAAAAGTAGCCTAGACTGCGATTTTTCTGCCAGAATCACCAACATACGTGAGAAAAAGTACTAAAAGCGAGTCTTCCTTATTTACTTGCCCTTCATATTAAGGCGGGGGCAAAATGTAACATTTTCTGACACTAAAAACTCACTTTCTAATCTCAAGAGAAGAGGATTATATCAATCAAGGTTTTTATCCCTCTGTAGCTGAGTGTCTTTTACCTAATATGAGAGTGTAAGGGCTTTAAAATCCTTGAATAAAATTGACCTTGAGCTCCAGGCACTCTGCAAGATCTACACAGACAGCAGTGAAGATATCTGTTCCCTAGCTAGTTCAAATTGCTTCGCAGACCTCCAGCCTAACGTTTCGAGCATAGTAGCCTACTTTGAGCGGAAATCAGCCAATTTTATGCATTGTTCTAACTCCAGGTCAGGGTTACAACCTAGTTCAAGAGTAGCAGCTTTAAAAAGGGCTTGAAAGAAGCATAATTCTGTTTGGGATTCGCATAGATCTTCACTTTGTTCTCTCCAAAGGTTAAAATGTCCTAAATTGAGGATTTGTGAGTGAACTACGAGTTCACTATTGTCCCTATTTGATAAAAGTAGCTCCTAACCTCTTTTCTAGTCATTGGGGCCTGTTTTTTCTTGTTTTTTGGTAACCGAGGCCTAAATAAGGATAGTGGATTTGCGGGGCTGCTTATTTTTCTGTATTTTTTGAGGCAAAATTCAAATCAATTGTGAGTTTATTTATATTGGGTGTTGCTGTAAATATTGTATAATCGGAATTTTTGTCTCCATGTTTTTATAGGCGTTGAAAGATATGGCAAAATAAAAAAATTATATATTTATTAATTCTCTCAAAAAAATTCATGATCAAAAATAAATTTACTGAAGTAGGTCAAAAAAATGTCAGTGTTCTAATTTTTGGTTCAAGTAATACAGAAGCATTTTTTTGTGGAATACTTATATTCCAAAAAAAAATACCTATGATCAAAAGTAAACTTATTTAAGTAGGTACAAAAAATCATACTTTTAGTATATTTGACCATAGTTTATTCCTTATGAAACAGTATTTTTTAAAGTTTATAAACAAAAACATTTTTTTGAAATGCTTTTTCTTATTTAATTTTTTTATTTCCTTTGATTATTTAAAGAGTTTCATAAATTAAAACAGAGCTGATTCTAGAATTACGTGACCTGTTTCAATGTATTTATTTCTGATCATACCATAGCATTTTTAATGTACATAAAATTTTATTTTTTATTATAAAAGAAGTACCGTATGGTCGAAAAAAACGGCATCCAGTTGACTTGGAAACGACGATCGATGACATTCCCCATATAATTTCACATTTAAAATGACGGCGATCTTCATTTCATAGCCATCGCTGATGCTGTTTTTTTTTTCGATCATATTGTATTATTTTACAGTGATTATATACCGTTTTTCTGACGCATACAACTGTCAAAGTTGTCAAAATTATCCTTAACTATATGCCATATCTTTCTCAAAATTTTCCAAGCTTTATTTTCCTTACAAAAAAAAAATTGTTTTCATATAATATGACAATACATATTGTCTAAAAAGTTGTTTTTTATTTATAACCATAATCTTTGTTTGCATTGACCTCCCAGAAGTTATATAACAATATCTGAGCGATATACATTAAAAAAATGCATAAATTACCCCTTCGTACCATACGCTTGAAAAAAGGTGTCATAGTAACCTTTGCAATAAGAAATTTTCGTCCATTGTCATTTCACGGGATACTGTGACGTTTTTTTTTATAAAATAATTACCATCAAATAATTGTTCAGGTATTGTTATAATTAATATATTAGCTTTGCCAATAAACATATATAACAAAAAGAAGCAATATTTTTCTTGTATTATATAAAATTTTCTCAGAAAAAAAGCTTGATTTCAAGTTTGTTTTTAACAATTTGAAATGTTTTTAAAAAACGAGCTCTCATAGGGAGAGTGGTATTATTTTAGATTAATTTTTTTCATGACAAGAAGAATATTCAAAATAGTTTCTAGCCAATTTTATCCCTGTACTATATGTATTAATTTTTGGATTTTTTTCTTTAAAATTAAGAGAAAAAAAGTTGTTTTAAATGTACTTCTTGTCATGATATACCTAGGTACCGTATGATCGAAAAAAAAACGGCGTCCAGTTGGCTGAGAAATTACAGCGATCTTCGTTTCATAGCCATCCCTGACGCCGTTTTTTTTTCGATCATACCGTAGTAAATATTTATTATTGCCTCAGAATAGTTTTATTTTAAGTAATAATATTTAAAGTCTGAATGAAACATGTATATAGTTAAAAATAAACAAGTTCCTTATTAAGAATGAAATAAAGAAGTTATCGAATATTTTTTTTGGAAAAAATCAAGGTCGCTTCTTTGTAGGTAATGTATTGTTTCTTTATTTGTAATTTATATATAGTGGTCATTGGAATTTCAGTCATTAAAATTATTATATTAAAATGATTTAGTTTTATTTCTATCTAATAGCGCTAATATTAATATAATACATACAAAATCCTTCCACATCTCAAATATAATAACCAAAGTATACATTACTTCAGTTATACTTACGAAACATCAAATAATATGTACACAAAATTGATGTATAAATTAATAATACTTATATCCCCCTAAATATACATAGTCAAAGGACTCTGATATCCTCAAAGTTAAAAAGAAATAGGTATATAAAGTATACTCAGTCAGTTTTCAGCCGTTTGACTGATAATTGTTCACTTCCTTGCGAGTTCGAATCATCCGAGAATGTCATGTGAGTCGATGAAAAATCTGTCGGACCCTGTGAGTCGCTCACAGTTGAAAAACCTACAAAAGGACCGTTTAAACCAAATAAAAAGAATCCTAGGCTTATAGAACTCACAAGTATTGGAGTCTTCAGCTAAACTGAAGTTGGAATTCGAATTTGAGGTGTCTAAAGCCGGCGCAGTTAGACCTTTCCGTGCAAAATTCTCCTTATTCTCTCGGTGTTTAATTTTTTTGGTTTCGCTGCTCGTTACCGGAACCCATTTGTATATTTTCATGGTCGTGTCGCCTATTGTTACCCATTTTTTCTCCCTAAAGAGATAGAAACTGTATAATACAGTTTAAAAACGAAATTTTACCTACCAATGTCTGACTTTATCAATAACGTTCATTACTTTCTTAATATCATCTTTGGCTCTGCTTCGAGTCTCAGCCCTGATAGACCGAGACATGATAATGGCTTTTTTCTATCGAATATACTTAATTTTACGTAATTTATTTCACAAATTTTAAAGAAAAATATATTTAAAATGTAAACATCCACATATCAACTTTCATTTTATAAAATAGTACTGGCTAATGTTCCGCGAGAAGTTTGTTTATTTAGAGTAATTTTCCTGTCTTTAGAATGCAAACAAATACGCTAATTAAATAAATATTAATTAAATTATAAATCTATAATCGTTTACTATCATAAACATTGTAAAATTTGCTATATTTTGGATGTAAACTTAAAATAGAAAATGTTGTAAAAGTCACGTTAGGCGGATTTGTAGTTACGACCACGTTACGACATTTGAAAAAGTTAGGTTAGCTTAAAATTTTACACCAACCTGAAAAAAATAAATACCCATTTTGTCAGCTGTTTTGGTGATCCAGAATTTGGAAAAAGAAGCCATTTTTTTATTGCAAAAAGAATAGTTTATTACGAAATTCTGTTACCGTAAAAAAGATCTAGACGTTGAGATAATTTTAAGGTAAAATACCGTTTAATATTACGTTTTTAAACTATGTATATTTATTTTTTCTTTTTCGCCATCATGTTGGTATAAATGTAATCTGTCTATGTTTGAAATTCCTCGGAAAAATTTTACTATTTTCCTGTGAAAACTGTGGATCTATTAACGAATAAACGATAATTCTTAAGACTAAAATTTAGATAAATATTATTGTAAGGTATTTGTCGGGTTTTCTTTTAGACAGTGTTAGTATTTTTTGTGTTTTTTACGTTTTAATCCAGCATGGCGGATCCGATAGAGTTGCGTGCAAGTGTAAATTCGATTAAACGAGTAGATCCATATGTTAAAAACATTCTGGCCACCGCAACGCAGGTCGCCCTGTACAAATTCAATATCGCCCGCAACGAGTGGGAAAAAACCGACAAGGAAGGCGCCCTATTTCTCTACAGTAGAAATGGGGAGCCGTACCACAGTGTTATGATCCTAAATAGGCTGAATAAAGAGAATTTTATCGAGCCTATTGTAAGAGATTTCGACTATCAGATGCAACTACCTTTCTTACTGTATAGGAATTCTAAAAGTAAAATATTTGGCATCTGGTTTTTTAATAGAGACGAGTGCATACAAGTTGCTGATCTTATCAAGTCCCTCATGGAGAAAACTAACGCGGAGGAAGGGATACATCGCCTGGATAGGCGGCAGAATGGAGTAAGTACTCAACTAATATCAATTTTAGTTAGTTTAACTAAATAAACTCTCCTTTATGCAGCAAGGAAGCATTGACATATTCAGTATGCTGTCCAAAGCGCAGGAAACTTTCAACAAAACCCCAACGAAGCAGGACTCAGTGCCTGTCTCATCAACCCCCAGAGTTCCTGATGTCACATCAAAAAGTGTAATGGACTTTTTTGCAAAGGCCAGCACTAACAACACCACCCAAAAAACACCAGCTAGCAGCGAAAATGTGTTGCATCGACTCATGTCCAATCCAGCACATAGCGTTGAGCATATAGAAAAGCAACAGCGGTCTGTGACGCCTCAAGAGCATTGCTCGGGGATCAGAATAGAAGCAGATGGTACTAATAGGAGGAGTGTACCGATAAATATACCAGGAACCAGTGGAACTCATGTGCCGTTAGATAATTTTGAGGTAAACTTCACAGGTTATGTTGTAATAAAAGACACAGTGGCGTGCATATCTTTGCTGAAGGTTCAGATTTGAAAAAAAAATGCTCTGAATAAAATAAGTTCTTCAAATATGAAATTATGTTACTTTGTAACACACATACATGTTAGTGTGTTATATTTTTATGATTTTTTCTTTCAGATAAACGGTCCTAATGTTTCTCACGTTTCGCCGTCAAATCAGAACGTGTCCTGCTCACCTTTAGCATTTCTGATGCAACAAAACCAGCCTAAAGCCCTTCCTAACGAGTCGTTACAACATTCTGTTAGTATGTTCGATAACAACAACAAAGATAATATCTATAAATTGCTTAAAGGAAAACAGTCTGTAGAGTCACAACAGTCTGATAAATCCGCTAATAATTCGTTGAGTTCCAAAGAGTTGTTGAAGTTTTTCGATAACAGACCTTTGTTGATGACACCCATGATGTTCACCTCGCCTAATGTGTCAAAAGAAAAATCCCCAGCCAAAATGGAGCCTGTTGAAATGTTAACTGAAAAACAACTAGCCCAAGCTTTGATATACCTTTTGAAAAATAATGAAGATTTTATCAAACAAATTCACCAAGCTTATACAAATTCGATTCTGGAAAAAGTGGACAAGTCAAAAGACGCAGGAGATCTATAAAGATATAGTCTTGTAAGTTATTATTTATTTTTATTAATTTTTTGTTTAGTAGCGACGAAAGTTAAATATTTTTCGATGTTAACTTCAACAAGAACTGAACTATAGTGAAATTTTTAAAGATAGTTGTTTTACGTAGTAGGTTCGAATTTTTGTGATAATTGATTTTTATAGACCAAATATAATTTCAAATCATATAAAAAAGCATGTACTGAAATCTCTTGTTTTTTAAGCTTTACATTTTTTGAACCTATTGAAGGCTCAGAGTGATAAATAGTTGAAAAAAACGCTCTGAACAAGATTAGTGTTAAATTTTGAGTATATTACTTTAAAACACATAAACATGATACTGTGTTATATTTTTTTAACCCAATGAAGAATCAGAGTGATAAATATGAAAAAAAAAACACTCTGAACCTTGATTTTTGCATGTAATTCTCAAATAGAGCAAAAATATAATTTCAAATAATATATTTGTACTAAAATATCTTGTTTTGAGCTTTAAATAGGTTTTTCAACTGGCTTTAACTTAACTACGGCTCAGAGTGATAAATAGTTTAAAAGACGCTCTGAACAAAATACTTGGTTTTGAAATTTTGATTATGTTACTTTAGAATATACATAATGTTGTGTATTATATTTTTTTAACTCTAATGAAGAATCAGAGTGACAAATAACAAAAAAAACGCTCTGAACATTGAGTTTTGCTGTTAATTTTCAAATAGCGCAAATATAATAATTTCAAGTAATATATTTAATTTGTACCAAAATATTTTGTTTTGGGCGTTAAATTTTTTTAACCAGTGAAAGCTCAGAGTGGTAAATAATTGAAAAAAAACGCTCTGAACAAAATATTTAATTCTTCTTCTTTGATTATGTTTCTTTATGACACATATACGTGATATTGTGGTATAATTTTTAACTTCAATGAAGAACCACAGTGATAAATAGTGAAAAAAACCACTCTGAACAAACTATTTAGTTGTTCAATTTTGATTATGTTACTTTATAACACATACACGTGATATTTTTTCATGCGTTATTTTTTCGAATTGCGAATCAGAGTGATAAATAGTGAAAAAACGCTCTGAGCAAACTATTTAAAAAAATAGTGTAAAATGCGCTCTGAAAAATATATCTAGTTCTTCAATGCATGATATTATGTTATATTAAGCATTACAATGAAGAATCAGAGTGATAAATAGGGCAAAAAGCACTCTGAACCCAATTTTAGTTGATTAGTTTTGCTTCTAACTGTCAAATGAGTTGGTTAGTATACTGTATAATAATATACATACTGTTGTGTTGTATCAAGCATCATATTGAGATTTTTTAGTACCCAAGCTGTTTTTTTTTTTAATTAAATTTAATTATGTTTGGTCTGTGCTTTAATATAGTCAATCAATATCAGTAAACCTGATAGGTTTCAATTTTTTTATTTAGTTTTGCTACATGACATAGAAGCACTTTAAAATATCTTCTATAATTTTTTTGGGATGTATGTTTTCCTAAAAAAATACATTTTTTTATACTATGTATATATAAAATGTTTTACTATACGTTTTTTGAAGAATATTAAATTAAAAAAACTTATAGGATTCTTAAAAGAAAAAGAAAATTTTCGCGTTTTTTTTTCGACAAATAAATATCAAATAGAAATTAAAAAATCTCTGGTAATATTTAATTAGAATAAATATTTTTATTTTCTTTATGTAAAAAATGTGTGTTTTTAACCGAATCGAGTTTTTTGTTTGTTTGTGTATTGTTTCTAGGTAAAAAAAGATAGGCTGGCTGTGATCATACAGTACAACTGAAAAAAAAACAGATATAAAACCAGTGTTGTCAATTTTAGAGATTTTTACTTAAAATTAGTGGTAAAAATATTAGGTTTTATTCAAATTTGAGACTTAACTTAAAAAAAAAACACCTTTAAATTTAGTTAACTTGGTAGCTCTATTTAAAACAACTAAAACAGCAATTTAGGTTGGTATTAATTTAAGAAACGTCATTCCAGTTGTTTACCAACCTAAAATTTTAACTGTCATGTATTTATACAGACAAATATCTGTTTTTTTTTCAGTTGTACACCGTTTAAACCATTTCTAATTAGATATTACCAGATATTTATTTACTAAACCTTTTATATAGTTTTATACTCTAAATATATTTCGTGTTATGTACACATGTCTATTCTAAATTGTCAAATAAAATTTGTGGTGTTTTCGATTGGTTGAACTATTTTTTATATTGTAAATTTAGAAAAAGGGCATTCCAATCGATTTTTTTGTGTGTTGAACGTACTGTGTGTTTCTCGAGACTAGGCCCTTCCGAAAGCCGGTGTTTTTTTGTTGCTGGTTCGCCCATACTGAGCAGATTTATTTTTTAACGACCCATTGTTAATAAACACCTGACGACTGTTTAAAATTGTTTTATTTGGTGATTGGTCCATTAAAACGGAAACAACATATATAATAAACAATATTTTATTAAGTAGTCTATACAAATCTTACACGTTATTATCAGGAGTAGTAATATAGACAAATAAATAAGCAAAAAATAGCTTTAAAAAATATTTTTTTAAGTACCTAACCTAATATTTACAATACAAATATGAGGAACAGATATACAATACATCTGCAAATATTTATTGATCACATATAGTACCTTATATTAGTTCTGGTGGATTGAGACTATACATTTATTTTAGAAAAAAAATTACGCTATACAAAAATTATTGCACAATTTTTCTTAATAGGATTAAGTAAAGAAAAATTATTTCTTGGGTATTTCCAGAAAAATGAGATAATTGAAAACATTTTAGGAATTAGATAACCACCAATTTAGTTATTAGTGTAAACAAAAATGCAGTCTTTATACAGTCTTAATTTTATAAACGAAAACGTCACGTTAAGTGCACTTTTTTAAGGCTCACCCTGTATACTACTGTCACATGAAGGATTTGTCGCTATTACTATGACGGGATTTAAGAATTTCAATTTTTTTCATTCAATCTTTTTTATTATGATAACTATACAGGGTGTTCCGAACTGTATTCCGGACTTAGGCAGCATATTCTGCAGATAAAAATAAGTAAAAAAGTTCGTATAAATGTATGTCCTGAAATGCTTAGTTTTGGAGATACAGGGTGTAGAAGTTTCATTTTTATTTCGGTTTTTTTCCAAATAATTTCTGAAGTAGCTACATTATGAGTTATTTGACATGAGAAATTTGATTTTGATGTCAGGTATAGATAATTTTGATTCCAAATATCTCGAGAACCATTACTCGTAGCGATTTTTACCAAGGGATCTTTTTTACGTAGAAAATGTCGTAAATGAATAAATGAAAAAAAAACAGATATAAAACCAGTGTTGTCAATTTTAGAGATTTTTACTTAAAATTAGTGGTAAAAATATTAGGTTTTATTCAAATTTGAGACTTAACTTTAAAAAAAAACACCTTTAAATTTAGTTAACTTGGTAGCTCTATTTAAAACAACTAAAACAGCAATTTAGGTTGGTATTAATTTAAGAAACGTCATTCCAGTTGTTTACCAACCTAAAATTTTAACTGTCATGTATTTATACAGACAAATATCTGTTTTTTTTTTCAGTTGTACACCGTTTAAACCATTTCTAATTAGATATTACCAGATATTTATTTACTAAACCTTTTATATAGTTTTATACTCTAAATATATTTCGTGTTATGTACACATGTCTATTCTAAATTGTCAAATAAAATTTGTGGTGTTTTCGATTGGTTGAACTATTTTTTATATTGTAAATTTAGAAAGGGCATTCCAATCGATTTTTTGTGTGTTGAACGTACCTGTGTGTTTTCGAGACTAGGCCCTTCCGAAAGCCGGTGTTTTTTTTTGTTGCTGGTTCGCCCATACTGAGCAGATTTATTTTTTAACGACCCATTGTTAATAAACACCTGACGACTGTTTAAAAATTGTTTTATCGGTGATTGGTCCATTAAACGGAACAACATATATAATAAACAATATTTTACAGTCTATACAAATCTTACACGTTATTATCAGGAGTAGTAATATAGACAAATAAATAAGCAAAAAATAGCTTTAAAAAATATTTTTTAAGTACCTAACCTAATATTTACAATACAAATATGAGGAACAGATATACAATACATCTGCAAATATTTATTGATCACATATAGTAAATCTATATTAGTTCTGGTGGATTGAGACTATACATTTATTTTAGAAAAAATTACGCTATACAAAATTATTGCACAATTTTTCTCTTAATAGATTAAGTAAAGAAAAAAATTATTTTTGGGTATTTGAAAATGAGATAATTGGAAACATTTTAGGAATTAGATAACCACCAATTTAGTTATTAGTGTAAAATGCAATGCAGTCTTTATACAGTCTTAATTTTATAAACGAAAACGTCACGTTAAGTGCACTTTTTTAAGGCTCACCCTGTATACTACTGTCACATGAAGGATTTGTCGCTATTAATATGACGGATTTAAGTACTTCAATTTTTTCATTCAATCTTTTTTATTATGATAACTATACAGGGTGTTCCGAACTGTATTCCGGACTTAGGCAGCATATTCTGCAGATAAAAATAAGTAAAAAAGTTCGTATAAATGTATGTCCTGAAATGCTTAGTTTTGGAGATACAGGGTGTAGAAGTTTCATTTTTATTTCGGTTTTTTTCCAAATAATTTCTGAAGTAGCTACATTATGAGTTATTTGACATGAGAAATTTGATTTTGATATCAGGTATAGATAATTTTGATTCCAAATATCTCGAGAACCATTACTCGTAGCGATTTTTACCAAGGGATCTTTTTTACGTAGAAAATGTCGTAAATGTATATTTTTTTACTACAGGTAACAGGTACAGTAAATATTGACGTTACTTCAGAAGTTATTTGGAAAAAATCGAAATAAAAATGACACTTCTACACTCTGTATCTCCTAAACTAAGCATTTTAGGACATACATTTATACAAACTTTTTTACTTACTTTTATCTGCAGAATATGCTGCCAAAGTTACCGGAATACAGTTCGAACCACCCTGTATAATAATAATCACTTCAAGTAGCACCATTTTCGTTTATAAAAACTCTATTTATATTTATTATTCTTTGGTAACGCATTTATATACAAGAATCAGTTTGAGTGGACGCGTAACCTTTTCATCTTGCAATTAAATTAAATACAGTAATAACTAAGAAGAAAAAATATTCGTTTGTACGAAAATTTTAAGTTTCCTATCTTTTTATTGAAAGCACCTTCGAGATACCTTAATTTTATACATAAATAAAACCGTCAGGAAAGTATATTTTGCTTTAAATTTAGCTCTATTTTGTTCAGAGAGGCTCTTCAGTTGTACGGAGCAACCAACAATGATTGAACGAGTCGGTAACTTGATTGATTGAGACCAACTTGTAGGCAGCGATTTAGTAATAAATAGTAGTGGGAACTATCGAATGAATACTATCGAAACATTCGATAGTTGCAATTCATTCGAATAATTCGATAGCTAGTAAAAAAACATTCGTTGAAAACTATTCGAATAAAAATTATCGAATAGATGAGTCATCTGCCTTGAAATATTGTATTCTAGTAATTCGGCAGCAAAAACCATTCATTTATAAAATTCATTCATTTAGAAAATTCATTTATTCGTCAGGATCGATTATAATAAAATATTAACTGGATTTTAGTTGTCGCCCGGCGACGTAGGTTTCTTTCCGAAAAACCCGGTCGGTGGCAATGCTATGAAAGAAGCCGGCATCTTTGATTTTTTGTGGAGTCAGATAAAGATAAGGACACATTATTTTTTTATTGAGGTGCTAGTATTTACACAGAAAATACATTATGAAGGGCGCTGTTGCCATATATTGGTATTAGTCTCGGTATTAAAGAATATTATTGTTTGGCTTTAGTTAGTTAGGGATAGTATGTCTATATATTTTATATTTTTTTATTAATATTCTGTTGTTACACTGCAATAATACTTGTTATTTTGGATGTAGGAAAATTATTTTTAATGTGTTTAAGCAAAGATTGGTTTAATAAATAATAATAACAGTAATAATTTGTTATACCTATTAACAACAAAATTTGAAATCATTTAATATAAACATTTTTTTAAGTAGTAGCAAAATATAAACAACAAATTTGATGTCAAAATTATTTATATTAGATCCTATTTAAAAATAATATAGTCTCTCAATTTTTTGTGGCAACGTTGGTTTATTAAATAATAATAATTACAGAACTAATTTGTTATATTAACAACAAATTTTAAAATCATGAAATATAAACATTTATTAATTTTCTAAGCGTGCAGTGTAATGCAAGGAAAATATAAATAAAAATTAGAAATCAAAATTATTTATATTCGGTACTTTATATTACTATTTAATAATAATAATATTTACTTTTACTGGTATTTACTTATTAAAAAATAAATGAAATATTTCTTCGCAAAAAACTACATGTAAGAGAATTAGCATAAACAAAATACAAACATCGTTAACTTTTTTTTTAAATTGGCACGTGTAAAACTTTTAATTTAATTTTCTCTACAACCACATTAATTAATATAATTATTAAGTTCAACTAATTCATATTATTAAAACATCTAAAATACAAATATGTATTTTTAAAATTAATTGTAAGTTCATCTCATCTCTCATAAAAATTGCTACTTCTCAAAATTTTCCATTAAAAAATAGACCATATACCATATAAAATTAAATAATTGAAAGATCGGGCTACGGAAAATCACGCAAACTTTCGGAAAAATTTTGACCACCTGCACACGCACACAATCGTCAATTAAAAAAACTACTATTTTAGTATTTTAAATATTTTAATAACCGCAAAAATAGCACAGTATTTATAAGGCGAAGTTATAAAAATTTGGAAGAACTAATAATGCACTGACGCACACAAAAATCAAACGAATACTAAATTTCATTTATCAAAAACATTCGATAGTCGTGGCTCAACGATAACCATTTAGTCGCACGGCGAGGTTGTCACATATGCTTTAGTATACAAATGAATGAATGATTTTATTCGAATAAAACCATTCGATAGTTGAAATCATTCATTCAGTAACCATTCGATAGTCTAATTCAATCGATAGTTCCCATCGCTAGTAATAAACAGATTTGCCCAACGGACATAAAAACAGACATAAACCTATGACACACGGCACAGAGTAGATTGTTACAACGCTAAAATAAAAGAGGTTTTTTTAATACAGTCAAATATAAAATAAATGTATTCCTAAAACATCTGGAGAGGTTAGTATGGCTATCGTTCTTTGATTTTAAAGAATAATCATACAAAATGTTTGAGGTTTTTTGATTTTACCGTTTATCTTGACATAATGTCATTTTAACAGAACTTAACGGTTTTTAATAAAGGTATCTGTTGAAAAAAACTAAAGTGTTTTGAATATTTGTATTTAGATATTTTAAATAGTTTTTTTTCTTTGTTCTTTGTGTTTTTTAGCAACAACAATCATTGTTAATCGCTCCGTGTTTTTTCCATGTGAAGAAGTTAAATTTAAATGGCGCAGTCGGTAGGATAGTGAAAAAAAATGTCATTTAGTGAAAATTTACGTAAAAACTTGCCAAAAATTAACATTTACCCCAAATAATCCTTAACAAAATAGAGCTAGATATTTCCCGATGTTTTTTATATATTTATTCATGACGATACGATCAGTTTTTTGTATTTCTGACATAACGAGACTAACTGTAAGTCTGAGATTACTAAAATTAAGATCGATTAACCAAGTTTTTACGCTAAAAACTCTTTTTCGGTACCACAACATTTTTCTTTGCTGTTTTCGACTATATTATGACTAGTTTCATAGTCCAACCTTTCTTTTTCTATTACTAGAACGATGTTATTCGACGAATTAATTTGCCGCGATTCTTTGTCCAATTTGGAGTTTGTGTCGTTTTTGGTACTTTCATTTACTGGACCAGGGGGTCTTCTACTGGTCTTGATTTCATTTTTGACGATTAACAGAGGAACCTGTACCGGAGCCTCGTTGCGTAGGTCTTCTTGTCTGCTGTCGTGGAAGGCTTGGCTGTAGAGCGGGTTCCTAGAAGGGTACTGGCTCTGTTTGGAAGTACCTCTGTCTTTGCGCTTAGTCAGCATCACTCCGTACATGCCACCGCTGTAAAGAAACAGGGAAATGTCATTTTTATTGATAAACAGAAGTTACAATTCAACGAATAATGAATACAAGGACTACTGTGATGTTATAGAACGCCATTTTTTTGGTGCCAAATAAAGGAGCTGAGCCCAGGCAGGGACAATTTTGGCGATTTTTAAACGGTTTTATTTAGCTCGACCCGTACGGTATTTATTTATTTGTTTGTTTATTTGGGTCAAAATTAGAAATTGAAATTTAAGTACCTTCCTGTTGTCAGATTGATCTGAAATTTGGTACACACCTTTAGTTCCGATGACAATACAATATAGTAATATCAATAACATTGTAAATCTAAGATGGACGTCGTTACAAAATGGCGTATTAGGTGAGGGCATGAGTAGTCGTGTCCAGAACAGTTGTGTCCAAGATTGTGTGACGTTAGAAGGACAGTTAAAAAAAAAATAAGTGATTAGATGTACCTACGTAGTTAGCGGTAGCTTTACCACCCAAGTTAAGGTAATAGGTTAAAACGTGCTGAGGACTGTATGGCATTAGGGTGGCTAAAAATGTAATGTCGCAAGCGTTTTCCCCTCAAGATTGGGCGCCTCTTGTTGTATATTATAGCCTTGCCCCTCTACTGGACCTCTGGTAGGGTCGACCGTTAAAATGTCCATTACTCGTGGGAACAACATGGAAACAATAAATAAAAAAACAAACAAAAATAAAAACGAAACTGCTACACAACGAAAAAGAAGGCTCGAAAAGGCGAAAGAAAAGTATAGAACGAAACGTGCAAAAGAAAGCGAAAATGAAACCTATAGTCGACTACAGAAACGAAGAGAACGGTTAGCAACAGAAACACCTGAGTAACATGATGCCAGGTTAATAGCACAACGTGAGAGACAAAGGCAGCTGGTAGAGTCAGAAACACCTGAGCGTCATGAGTCCAGGCTAGCATCACGTGACAGACAGAGAGAGTTGTTAGCGGCAGAAACACCTGAGCGTCATGAGTCTAGGCTGGCATCACAACGAGAGAGACAAAGAGAGTTGTTAGCGTCAGAAACACCTGAGCGTCATGAGTCTAGGCTAGCATCAGGACGCGACAGACCGAGAGAGTTGTTAGCGTCAGAAACACCTGAGCGTCAGATTGTAATAAATTATCAGGTAAAAAACCATGTAATAATGATGCACTAAATGAATTAAATAGAATGAGGAATATTCGGTAGGCATTTCCGTTAAATACTAAAAACTAGAAAATAAAAAATCGATAAAAAAAACATTTAAGTTAAACGGTTTTATCTTATGTGCACTGAAAACTAGAAAATAATAATAACAATTAGGTATTTTGAACTTCTAGTTCAGAAATATTTTAGTACTAGGCAGAATAGCTTTTAGGCATATTAGACTAAAATAAAAACGTGGGGCCCATTAATTATTGCTGTAATACTTTCTTCTATACTAAGTGTGGATTGCATCGACTTACTATAATCGTAACTGGAGATTTTGACAATCAATAACCAGCCGTGGCGGCTTCACCAGCGAACGCCCAGCTCATGATCTACCAAAGTATAAAGATATGCTTTGCCATAGGTAGGATTTCAGAGGGGCCCCACGTTTTTATTTTAGTCTAATATGCCTAAAATCTATTCTGCCTAGTACTAAAATATTTCTGAACTAGAAGTTCAAAATACCTAATTGTTATTATTATTTTCTAGTTTTCAGTGCACATAAGATAAAACTGTTTAACTTAAAAGTTTTTTTACCGATTTTTTATTAATAGTTTGTTATGTGTAGTGAGCTTTGTATAAACTTTATTACAATAATTGTGATTTGTTCAGCTTTCAAGTGCAAAAGCCGCAACGATAAAAAGAGTCCACTCGACCTTTTTAGCGTTTTTTTATTGAATTTGATAATTTTTTTTTGATATTATACAGGGTGTCCCAGAAATAAGTGCAAGTAATTTTAAGGGGTGGTAGACCTCGATAAAAGAAACATTTTCTCTTTATCGTTTTTCAAATAAGTCCAAAATAACGGAGTTATTTTACTTTGAAAATTTCCAAAAAAATGACTTGTTGCTAAAATTTTGAGAACCACTGGATCTTTTCTGGATTTCCTTTCTTGTAAATTTATTCTACTATCTATGTTGCCACATTATCAAGATATTATATTTTTTAACTAAAAACTAAAAAAAATTTTTCAAAAAATTCCGAATTTTGAAAAAAAAAATTCGGAAAAAAACTCGTGTGTTTCTGGGGTTGAATTATATTAACAGTTAAAATACTTGCACTTATTTCTGGGACACCCTGTATGTACTTGAAATGTATATATGTACGTCGATATTACTTTTGTACCTTTTGTTAACATTTTAATACGTTTTTTTTATAATTAATTAGTATGATACCACCTAAATACGCACCATAGGCGTAGTCAAAACATTTATCAAAAATATAAATAAACAAATAAGTCTAATAATTCGTAACAGTATAACTAACTTAATTTTTGTAAACTCAAAAAAATGGTTAGTATCTTACCTGAGTTTATTTTGAAGTGAGTTTCTGTTTTCGTTTTTGAGTATTTTCACAGCCAAGGCGATCAAAACGAACAGTATGATTGCTCCACAAATCGGTACTGCTATTGTGGCAACTCTGAACCATATGTTTGTGTCCGTGTACATCATCTGTTCTTGATTGTTTTGTTGTTGTTTACCCACCGAGTCTTCCTCTGCTATAAATAAAACCATAATAGTTAAATTTATTATAAATAATTTCTTGTTCAAAGTACATATTTGCAAATGAATTATTTTATTTTAGATTATTAATTTATTAATTTTGATTAAATTTTTGGGGCATTTTTGGAATAAAAAAAATTGAACTTTGTTTGACAGCAACAATACATTTTTAATTTTACCATTGATCGATGTCCGTCAATAAAATCATAACCCCAAATCAAATGACAATGACAATTACTAAAAAGAATATGCAGTAATTTACGAAATGCGAGAATTCGACAATATATGACGTGTCGGTTTCTAAGCTCCGCCCATTAATGTGACGTCAGACTGAGACAGTCTATTCCAGTGACGTGCTGTTATTTTTTAATATATTTAATCTTCAATTAAAATTAAGGCACTCTAATACGTGTTTATATCGTTGTAAACTTACCGAAAGTGTTGTTCGGTATATTCTTCGCTACCGGACTGTCTACGTGGTTGCATAAATCACTGGAACAGCAATTTAGGAGTGGTTTAACTTCAGCCGCTGGATATTCTTGCTTCAACAGGCAAATATTTCTATCGGGTCTGCAAAATAAAAATCTTAATGTAATGTAGGCAACTAGTAATACATCCTGGTATGTTTAACTGGTTGCATAATATCAATTAGTGAATTAAAAAAGCGCAAATACCGGGATATTTTTAATTTTCTGTCTTTTCTGAAATAACGGATGTGCTTTCCTGGTTCTTAGAGCTAATATGGCGTATATACTTTACAGATTTCCTTCTTTTTTGCTTAGCTATGGGTCGTTAAGTGCGCGCTGGGCGTTTCCTAGACCAGTTTGCCGTTGTTGCGAGCCGACCGTTTCCTCGACAAGTCCCTAATTAATTTAGTAACATAAATAAGAGCGATCTGATTTTTGTTTTATTTATTATACGAAGTACGCGCTGTGGCTCGGAAATATTTCCAACCGGTTCTGAATTTAATCATATTAAAGCGGTATTTTAGCGGGGCACGCCGCACGGCTGCAGATACGAATTATTATAAGGCTTGGAATATACAGAATGTTTCTTAAATAAGTTCAAATATTTGATTTGATATTGGTAGTATCTTACACAAATATTATAAATATACTTCCCGGCACAAAATTCAACGTCATAGAAGTATTTTTGCAACGTTTGAAATTGTTTAATTTAATAGTTAATGCTTTAATAGAATTTTTTTAGAATTTAGAATGAGTGGGAGGGGGGTTAATCACTTCGACCTTACAGATCCATTGTGTCCCCCTTTCTTGAATCATAACTCATCATACAGTCCCAGGGCTTTGACAAAAGCCAGTATCTGGGACGGTTTTATAGAGGGTAGTTCTCCATTTCCAATATCAGTCGTACCAAAATTCATGGCACGAATGGTTGTCGTCTCGGCGCACTCAGTGATGAGGTGTACTGGTGTTTCACCATCTTCCCCACAGAATCTACATTCGTCGTTTCTTCTTAGTTTCAATCTACTGAGGTGTTCATTGAGGAGACAGTGTCCTGTTAAAAACCCCGTGACAATCCGAAGATTGTTCTTACTCAGACCCAGGAAGATCTGTGATTTTTCTTGATCATAAGCCCTCAGAAACTTCTTCGAGTGTCCTAGACCATTGCAAGATTTCCATTCTAGGTTGCGGATGGAATCTTCCAAGTTCTTGAGTTCCGCCTTGAGTTGGTTACCACTTGGAAAGCAGAACGGTTCTGGTCCAGTTAGTGGAGTGTTCGCTCCTTTCCTAGCTAGATTATTTGCTTTTTCATTGCCTTCTATCCCTTGGTGAGCAGGCACCCAGTGCTTTAATAGAAAATCCATATATCTAATAAACTACGAACTAGTAACTGCAATGCATACATAACCAGAAATCGGAAAAGTTTCGCAACAACTACAGCGTTATTTATGACAGTTTATTACACGATTCGAGTGAAAGTCGCTTCACCGTTTTAACTGTGGGAAAACCATCGAAAAATTCGAAATGACCATCCGAAAAGAAAAATGGCCACTAATTAAACGATTATAGCGATCGTTTGAGAAAATCTTGTTAATATTTTACAGCCGCCGGTATGGGAACACTCGGTGTTAGATGCTGGCGGCTTTAATCGAATGCAAGAATTGAAAAGTTAAAAGTTACGAGGCAATTGAGCAATGTAGTAGGCGGTCCGAAACGAGGATTTTAAGGGAATAACATAGGGGGAGAAACATTGTACCCTGTACAAATTGCTTTACGCTGGTACGTCAAACGTACATTTTCGTCAAGAAAAGTATAATTTTTACTCCTAATAAAACAATTCCGAACAAACACTATTGTTCGGAAATAGTCTTAAGTCGAGAATGAAATTAGTATTATCTAGCGATGGGAACTATCGAATGAATTAGACTATCTAATGGTTACTGAATGAATGATTTCAACTATCGAATGGTTTCATTCGAATAAAATCATTCATTCATTTGTATACTAAAGCATATGTGACCACCTCGCCGTGCGACTAAATGATTATCGTTAAGCCACAACTATCGAATGCTTTTGATAAATGAAATTTAGTAGTTGTTTGATTTTTGTCTGCGTCAGTGCATTATTAGTCCTTCCAAATTTTTATAACTTGCCTTCTAAATACTGTGCTATTTTTGCGTTTATTAAAATATTTAAAATACTAAAATAGTAGTGTTTTTTTTTTAAATTGACGATTGTGTACGTGTGCAGGTGGTCAAAATTTTTCCGAAAATTTGTGTGATTTTCCGATCTTTCAATTATTTAATTTTATACGGTATATGGTCTATTTTTTTAATGGGAAATTTTGAGAAGTAACAATTTTTACGAGAGATGAGGTGAACTTCATTCGATAGTTCCCACTACTAGTATTATCCTTGTTTATATATTCTTAAAGTTGCCCAACCGACTATATGGGGACTGCCTCTGGACCCTACAACTAGACAAGGAACTAGACAAAATGTGCTGCCAACTGGAGGACAAATCGTGAACCTTTCGGGGCGGAGTCAAAAAATATCGATTATTTTCGATATTTTCCTCAGAGTAATGTAATAATATAGCCCCGGGTTTCTGCGAACTTTAATAGTGATCAGCTGATTATTAAGAAATTTAAACGAAACTTTTATTGTAAATTGTGGATTATTTTGCCTGTTATTTTAAGAATTCTAAACCGTATTAACAAAGAAATTATTATTTCGATATGTTGGTACATTATTTATAATAATTTATGATAATGCTAATGCTGTTAATTAATATTAAAAAAAGTTACATACCTATTTTAATTTGATTTAATGCAGGTTTATAAAAGAATAATTTCATTCTTAGATTATTTTATTCTAAATCGAGTGCTTTATGAATTTTACGATATTTTTTTTTGAAAACATAAAACTTTTTACATTTTTCATGCCAACTAATTGGAATGGTATTATTGGTATGAAAATTTGCCAAGAAAGAAAAGAATTGGCTACAACTTGTAATTTTTCGAAAAAAACATATTATACCTATATCGCTGACAGGCTTAAAAAATGGCGCTTTTTATGAAGTCATGGCCAACTATGGTTTCCATTTAAAAAAACATAATGTTTGTGTCGTATGTCAAAAATGACAGGCTTTAGAAAAAAAAAGAAAACACAAACTCATTAGGTATGTGATTATCTACAACTTTTATCTGAAAACTTTTTATCTAAAATACCGTATGATCGAATAAAAACGGCATCAGCGATGGCTATGAAATGACGATCGATGATATTTCCCATATAATTTTACATAGACAGCGATCTTCATTTCATAGCCATCGTTGACGCCGTTTTTATTCGATCATACGGTAGATTATAATGGAATTAGAGGCAAGTTTTAAAATAGCCAAAATTTGTTTTTTGCGAAATATCTAGTAAGCCTTGAACTTCTCCGAAAAATCCGAAAGGCGCATATTTATGACTCCACAAAACTGCAATTCTTTCCCCATTTAACCGACTCTCTGTCTCCAGTAGTTTCCGAGATACCCATAGCGAACATCGTAGGAAACTCACCCTGTATAGTATTTAGAAAGTAACTATTATTATTATTTGACTAGATTAATTTGATTAATAAGACTCGATTAATTTATTTTAAAATAAATTTGATCAGATTTTTTTTTCGTATATTCTACTACCAAAAAAACAAAATTATATGATAACGCACTTTTCAACGAAGTTGAAGGAAGATATAGTGTATCTATCACAATACTTAATAGAATTACTACAATTAGAAGAAAAACAAAAAGAAAAAATACCCAAATACCTTCACTTCACCTACTACTCATCTACAAAATAAACTAATCTAATCTCTTATAAAAACACTACACAACTACTTGTATTCTACACTGAAAAAATTATCAAACTTACTAATTAATCAAACAAAAAGAAAAAATAACCAAATTATCCCTTCATCTACTACTTAACTACAAAATAATAAACTATAAAAACACTACTAAACTATTTCTGATATTCTATACTAAACATTATAATTAAACTTAATAAAATTAATCTAATTTTACACTACAACCACTACAACTACAAAGAAATAAGAACATTTTTTAAAACTAAAAGAAACAGAACTTCGATACGTGCAACCAGTATAATAGATCAAGCGGACAAAGAATATTAAATACTTTAAAAATGTGCATTCAGAAAGAAAAAATATCTCGAAAATGATCTAAACAAACATTTTTTTTTCTTGTCAGTGAAAAGCATCGGCCTCGTCGGCCTTGCGAAATTTGTCGGGTATTTACAATGGTCGAATTGTATAATTACAAGCTTTTATAGCATATCTAATAGATAAAAAGTATCTGGTCGATTAGTAACCAATTGGCACAGTCCGAAAATTATCGATTTTTATTTTCTCTGTTTTTATTGGTCGCTTCAAAATTCAGAGTAACAAAAAATATTTTTCTCTAGTAAAAAACCGTGAAATACGCCCCACCATCTGGTGCTTTACATCCATAAACGTCTTAGGTTGAGCTACTTTAAAAACTCATATACAAGGGTATTATCTAATGTCAAAGTGTAAAGTACTGTCAGATCAAAATGTCGGTAAGAATTTGGAATGGACTAGAAGATAAATTGGAGAAGGCAGGAGTTATCTTGATCATCATACAGCTGTTTCAAAAAGATATAAAACAGCATATTTTCTGAAACTATTGTAGATTCTCGGGAATGAAGATAATATTATAGTCTAACATCAGAAGAATGAAATGTAATCGAATAGCGTATTTTATCACTTGTGCATAAATTTCAAAATACGTCCCTACCGTTTAGAGGGTAATGGATTCACACGAAATGATTGCATAAATCGGTCCAATATTTTAATTGATGAATAGATGTGAATAAGTGTCTTGAGCTCCCCTACTACAAGTTTAAGGCGTAGAACAGTCGTTGTTGATGGTCTTTTGGAAATTCTCACACGAGTCAGCGGCAAATCCCGTTAGAGACGGGTGAAGGAGGCCTAAAATAAACGCGGGCCCGACATATTCGGTTACTTTCAAAAAGAGCCGGGGAGCCGGGTGCACAACAGGACAGTATCTAGAGATTC